TTATTATTAATTTATTAATTTTAAATTTAATATAAAAATTTTATTACGAAAGTTTATATTTAAATTTTATTAAATCTTTAATTAATTAAAATAATTTAATGTAGTTATGTTAAATAAAACGAAAATATTTTTAATAATAAAATAAATTAAATTTTATTATTTTAATTGGTATAATTTTGTCGAAAAATTTTTTTAAAAAAGTAAGTTTATTTTAAAGAAATTTTAATTAAAAATTTTTTAATTAATTAATAATAAAAATATAAATGTTAATAAAATTTTTTTAATTAAATTATTAAGTAATAAATTTAAAAATTATATTTACAACCGATTTAAATTATTATAATTAAATAAAAATAAAAAAAAAGATTAATTTAATTATATAATTAATAATTATAATAAAAAGCATTTATTTAATTTATTTTAATATATTTACTGTTAACGTCATTACGAAAGTAATATTAAAAGATATTTTATATTATATTTAAAGTTAAAAAATAAATATAAAATTTAATTTTAATTTAATATTAAAAATGTTTTAAAAGGTATTTTGTAAATTAATATAAAAGTTTTAATATATTAATTATAAAATTATAATAATAAAGATATATTTTTTTTAATTAATATAATATTTATAATATTAAATTTTAATTTAATAAAAAAAAAATTTATTAAAAATATAATAATTAATAATTTAAAATGTTTAAATTATTTTTTTAATAATTTAAAATGGTTTAAATTTTACTGTTTTTTTAATATGTTTTAATTAATAAAAGTTATAAACGGTTAATAAATAATAATTTATAAAGTTAACGTGGTAATTTTAATAATTTATTACAAAAATGGATTTATTATTAAATTAAATTTTATTAATTTTTATTATTACTTTTTAATATTAATTAATTTAATTAATGTTGGTTAATAAAACACCGGTCATGTGACCATGTCACATGACTAAGGTTGTGCCTATACACACCGCTTAAAAATTAACCCACACACATGTAAATAAATATTCTTTACTTGGTAAATTTCCCACCTTTTTTTACTTAATTAAACACACCAATTAAACCATTTTATTCGAACTACCTTGTTATTTCCTACCTTTCGTATTACGTAATACACGGCAACATTGTTGCCACTTTAACATTGGCCAATTTTATAAAAATAAAATTATTTTTAATGGCGTAATAAATGTTATAATATTTAAAGATTATAATAATAAAAAAATAACGGTAATTAAATGGTTTTACCGTTTATAATTATTTAAATTAACTAATATTTTTAAAAAGACTTTTTATTAAATATTAATATACGTTACAATTAACATTAATTTAATATATAAACAATTTATATATATTAATTTTAAAAAAGTAAAGTTAATTTATAAAAAATATAACATTAAATTAAAAATATTTTTAAATTTTAAATTTTATAATATTTATGTTTAATTAAAAATAAAAAGACTTATTTAACATTAACCTTTAATTTTTATAATAAAACCTTTATAAATTATTTATATAAATCTTTTAACATATAATAATAAAAGTTTAATAAGTTTTAAATATTTTTATATATTTATAAACGGTTATTTAAACTATCGTTAAATTAAATTTAATTAAAATAAAACGTTAATTGTTAATTAATTTATTAAATTTATTAATAAAATTAAACGTTAAATAAATTTAAAAATTTAAATATTATATTTTAATAATAATAAAAAGTTTTTTAATAAAAAAAACGTAATTAAAAAAAAATATGTTAATAAAAACATTTAATTAAAAATTATAATGTTTTATATTTTAAAATAAAATAATTGTAACGAAAAAATTAACGACGTTATTATTATATTTATAAAATTAATTATAATTAATTTAAACTTATTTAATTTATTTTAATCATATATTAAAAAAATAATTATTTATATAGTTAATTTATTACCGATTAAATTTAATATAAAAGATAAATTATTTTATAATTACTTTTACAATTATTTAAAATTTTACGAAAAAGTATAAAAAGATTATTTGTTATATTTACGTACTTTTAACATTATTGTTTAAGTTAAACGTATAAACGTTTTAATAATTTAAAAAAAAATGATTTATGTAAAAAAAGGATATATAATTAGATATATTAATAAATATGTAAAAATATATAAGATTTAAATGTTAAATTAATATTATGTTATTTATGTATAAAATGTTAAATTTAATGAAAAAATACGTTTAAATAATTTAAAAAAAAAGGAAATTAAATATAAAACTATATTTATTAATTTTAAATATAAAAAAATTAATAAATTTAAAACATTAATTAAAATGGCTTTTAAATAAATATTAATAACTAATTAATTAAAGATTAATTAATTAAAAACCAAGTAATTAAAGATAATTTTAAAAAAGTTTTAAAATTAACGTAAATTAACTTTTTTTTGTTAAATGATATTAACGTTTCAAACGGTATTTTGTGATAAATAATTAATATTATTAGTTATATTAAAAACAGTAAAAACAGTTAAATTTTAAAATATTTTTTTTAAATTATTTCCAAATGTTTTTCTCGAGGATTTAAAAAAAAAAGAATTTAATAATGTTTTTTAAACCTTTATTAATAAATCCTTATTTATTTAATATTTAATATTAATTAACAAGATATAAAAAGGTAATATTATTAAAAATATATAAAAAAATAATTTAATAATAAAATTAAATATTATAAATAAAAACGTATTAAAAGTTAATATTGTTAAATTAAATAACGATAATGTTAAATTTAATTTAAAAACTTAATTATACGTTAAAATTAAAGCTATATTTAACCTTTTAAAAAAATAGTAATAAATTTTTTTTTAAATTTTAAAATTATTATTAATTTTTTAAAAAAAAAAGAAATAATAATAAAAACCAAATAAACGATTTATTTATTTTAAAAATGAAATATTTAAAAAATCTTTATTTGTTTTATTGGAAAAAACCGTATTAAATATGATATATTTTACAATTAATAAATTTACCGGTATATTATAAAAATTTACACTTTTAATTATTGTAATAAAAAAAATCATTATATTATTATTAGTTAAATTAATTAAATATGTTAAAAATAACTTTAAATTTTAAAATTAATGGAAAAATATTTTTAATTAATAATTCCAAAACTTTAAAAATTGTAAAGTATTTGAATTAATTAAATTATTTTTTGGTTAAAAAGCATTTTTAGTTAAATGGGTAACCGATTAAAAATTTAGCTTAAAAAAAGAATTTTTAAAAAATAAAATTAAACTTATGGTATATAATAATTTCGAAGAAAATAATTAAGTTATATAAGATTTATACGCCGTAATTACAAGCGTTATAATTATTAAAATATTTTTTATTTTTATGGTTATTTTAAATTTTAATTACTTTTAATTTAATATTATTACGGCATTTTTAAATATAATAATTCTTTTAAAAGTGATTATTTATATATAATAAACATTAAAATATATTAATGGCATTAATTAAGTTTAGTTATTAAATTAAATTTTATATGGTTTACATTAATCATTAATATAATGGTTTTAAATTATTTTAAAAAAAATAATTAAAATAAAATTTCAATTAATGATAACAAAAACTTGTTTATTTAAATATAATAAAATTAAAGCTATAATACTTTTATATATTAATGATTTATTAATTGCCGGCAAAAGCTTTAAAATTGTTAAATTAATTAAAAATATGTTAGCAAGTAAATTTACTTTAAAAAAAATGGGAGAAGTTTCCAAATTTATTGGATTTTAAATACGTTATAATAAAAAAATTTGTTAAATTTTTATCGATTAAAAAAAATTTATTAAAAAAATATTATTTAAATATAATGTTAATATAATTAAACGCATTAAATTACTTTAAAGATTAAATATTATCATTTTAAATATTTAATTATTTATTATTAAAACAAAAAAATATAATTATATTTAAAAAATAAGTTTTTTTAATTAATTAATAATAAACATTTGTTTTAATATTACAAAAATAGTTAATAGTTTTTTAAAAATTAACGTTAAGTTAAAAAAGATTTATTTTAATTTTAAAAAATATTTATAATAATATTTTAAATTTATCAAATTATTTAACATTATATTAAAAAGAAAATATTTAATTATAAACTTTAAATTATAAATTTAAGTTAATGTTACATTTATAAACGTATTAAAATTTCGAAAGTTAATAAATGTTTATATTATTATATTTATAAAACGTTTTATTTAATAAACTTTAAAAAAACAATTATTAATTATATTAAATAATATTAAGGTTAAATTTACTAATTTTATAACTGTAAAACTTTTAACTGTGTAAATTGTTAAATTATTTAAAAAATTAAATTTTAAATAACTTAAATTAATTATTATGTTTTTAAATTTAATTAACGCTATTGTAATAATTTTAAATTTTTTTAATAACGTTTAAACTTAATATATTAATATTTAATATAAATGGATAATTAACCGAATTAACCGAGGAGATTTCCAGGTATAATATGTAAGAATAAAAATTATAATGGTAAATAACTTTATTAAACCTTTTTTAAAAAAAAAATATAAGGAATTTATAAGATAATTAAATTTTTAAAAATGCTTTTAAAAATAAAAAAAAAATAATAAAACTTAATGTAATGTATTATAAATAATAATAAAAGTATAAAAAAGTAAATACAGTTTATTTTACAATAAAAATGAAAAAATTTACAAAAAATTAATAAAAAAATAATAAAAATATTATGGTTAAAAGTTCGAAATAATTATAATAAACCTTAAAAAAAGTGGATTTAAAAAAGTTATAAATAAATAACGTTATTAATGACAATTACTTTAAAAACGTAAAATTAAAAAAGTTTAAAATATAAAAACAATTTTTAATTACGAAAATAAGTCGGACCTTAAAATATCATGATATATATAAATTAGTTATTTTTTGCATTATTAAATAGCCTTATATTATAGTATAGCTTTACGGGGGTGTATTGCACTGCCTTATATATGGCTTATACACCTGCCAAGGCGGTAAGCCTAGGCAGACTAGACCTATATTAGCTTGGCACTTTCTAGATAGCTTCAATTACCAAATCTTTCCCTTTTCATCATCTTGCCGTTTGCAGGCAATACTTAATTATACCAGTGATTATTATATCCATTGTCCGTGTCGCTATGAAAGATCCGCCCCCACAAAGAGCACACATAATGGGGATTGCTATCGCGAGTTATCCCGGAAGTCGAGCAGCAGGTAGATACGTATTGCCTTTAGTCTATAAACACATTGATACATGATACTCTAGATTTTCCGCTGTCTAATAACAACCTCGAGAGGTGGCTTCTCCCAAAGTCCGAAAATCTTCTGATTATGCCAGTCTCTAGACTTATCATCTAAAGCTAGGTCGAAATTCCATAGGACCCTAGCCATAATCAAATGCATCTCGTGTATTGCAAGGTTGCGGCCTATACAGTCCCGAGGCCCGAAAGAAAAGGGGCGGTGAACATCACGACGGTCGTTATGGAATGGCGACGCCGGATTCGTGGCGGATTCGGGGAGCCACCGCTCTGGGATGTATTCCGGCGCTCTATGGAAGTTAAGCTCTGAGTGGTAAGCTGACATATGGTGAACTCCAACGACAGTCTATAAAAGTACTTGTTAGATACACGACATTAATAGCAGATTTGACATCTTGATTCCTTACCTTTTCGGGAATTGTCAAGCCCACAATCTGCACGGGCGGTCCTTTTGGTACCGAACGGGATAGAGACATCGGAACTGGAGGGAAAAGGCGCAAGGCCTCTTCCAAGCAGACAGCCATGTAGGGTAGTTTAGTGCGGACTTCATGAAATGTAATTTCTTCTTCCGATTTGAACGCGTTACGAACTTCCTCCGTGGCCTTCTTAAGCGCATGTGGTGTCTTTAGCAGCCAGTATGTCGCCCCGCTTAAGAGTGTTGCAGTTGTCTCTGATCCAGCAACCATTAACAGATCACTGTTCGCGATCAGTTCGGCATCACTCAGCTCGTGTGGCTGACCACGTGAGCGCATAAAATAATCCATGAAGTCACCTCTATCCGCCTGTTTCCTACGGTAGATACGGTCATGGGCAAGCTTGGCAACAAGCGCAAGGTGGTTAGCCTGTGAGTTGCGAACTTTAGATCCAGCAACAAGCTTGAGAATCAGACCCAAGACAGGCGCCACGCCGATCAAAACCAGGACAGGCATGTACCTCATCAACTTGGAGATATTATCGAGCCACGCATTTGACTTGCCTTCAGCTAGGCCCTGCAGAGGAGTACCATACGCAAGGTCTGCGATTAAATCGAAAGTTGTGAAATTATACCACTGGACCATGTCAGTTGAATTGCCCGACTCGGACACTTCTCGCAACCGCTCGACCAATAGGTCAACATAGACTTTAATGAGCGGCTCTTGTTGCGCCAGGGCCTTGTCGGAAAAGGCTGGCAACATTGCTCGTCGGAAGCGGAAATGGTCTGATGCATTGGACGAGATGATCTTTTTAGGGTCCATGTTGATCCCCTTGGGATAGTGCTTCGGAAATTCCGCATGTCCATGTCCGTAGATGTCTTTCCAGGCTTGTGGGTTGATGAAGGAGATTGCGTTAGGGGAGATTCGAACAATCTCGCCATACTTCTCATGAGCTTCGCGGACCTGGAATTCGGCTATTCCCCGAACCATACCAATCGTTCTCATAATTGGGAATGCAATCCATAGTGGGGGGCCTGGGATATGTCGAAGCGGGTGTAAATAGAGATTGTATAGAGCTTGAAGGCACGGGTATGCGATGCCGAGGAAGATGGCAATGAGGATGAGGTGCGAAATGTGATATTCTTTGAGCTCGCTTACGATTTGTTGTAAGAAGCCTGCCATTGTGAAGAGCTTAAGAGCTTAGAATCTTTGCTTTCCATCCAGAATCGTGCGTGATCCACGGTAGGAGTGCCAACATTTATCTCAATGCCTCAGACCAGGATTCAGGATTCGAAATTCGTTTGACCAATCATACCCTTACCTTTACTCACACTCTGAATATCGGATCTCTGTTGAACACCGTGCCCGTGACCCACAGGTAATAACGAACACGGGCAGCACGGGCCACGCGGTGGATGGCGCAAGCCGGGTCTGGAGCACCGGAGATAATGATACCCGTTATGAACGGCTTCATAAATTTATACACTACGCAACCAATCACAACGTCTTCTAAATCCCCAGGTCTTGGCCATCTACAACACATTTGAGCCTTATCATTGTCTAGATTCCGCAACCTCTGACAAGACTACACACAATACGCATCGTGCTTTGGTTATACTAGATTATGATATCCAGGAATAAGAAGATGCTGTATTGAGAAAGATTTTAATCTGGATGCTAAACCTAGAAGATTCGAAATACTTCTAACTAACCCATTTATACCCTGACAAGATCAGATTAATAGTGAGCAGCATTAACCGTAAAGGTAGAGTTATTAAACAAGCGCCTACATTATTATAAGGACTTTTAAGCAATGTCAAGTTATAATTTTAGCAAAGTGGTAAAGGTTATGTTGGTTGTGGAAAGAAGTGCATACCTTAGGTATGTATATTTCCTTAGCTACTACATACTTACGCAAGACAACATTATATAGGTACTTATGTGCTCCTTGAACCTGATTAGATCTAAACATCATGTATATAAATGAGTTGGAAGTAAATAAAGAAAATATACTTGCGCTGAGAAATCTTTAGTTGGCCGGTAATGCTGGTGGAATATAGCAGCAAAGAGGCAAAGGGAGTAAGGAAAGATATAAATGGATTCACGTAGAAATATGATCAGTCATTTGGGGTGCATGAGATCTAAGTGTAGGTATAATAGTGATTAAAGAACCAGAAGCGATTGATTATGTAATACAATGAGCTAAGTTACTGAGGCTAGCTTCGTGACAAATGGCCTTTATTCGTGATGGATTATGAACATGAATTTTGCTGTAGGTGCTGTTGTGATTATAATTAAAACTACATAAGGTAAATAACTATTGTCACATCTTGAAATGCCTTTATTAAATTCGAATCGCAAATATATTTATTAAACTTGATTGATTGATGTTAATGTAACTAGTAAGTAATAAGTTCCGAATGTATCTTGACTTGAGAGACTGAATTCCTTCTATCCTCTTTCATAGCAAAGGCTTGTTTCAATAAAGGAATGATAAACCGGAATCGGTAAGTCTGAGTGACCATACCTACCCGGGTATTGTATATAAGCGGACAAAGTCAATGACTAAACGCTATCTATTACAATGTCAAATGGTTTTCTATCTATTTATTTCTTAGATTTGTATGCTACCCAGACATGAAGAAGTACCTAGCCCATCTCTAATATAATGGGTTGTGGCCGAATACATACCTAAACTACTGAATAAATTCAACAAAATCTGGGCCCATTGCAACGATGGCCGGCAAGTGGAGAACGACGTACAAATATAGCAGTATACACCTTGGAGTCCCTCAATTCCCGGCGATACATGGTGGTGATGCAACAATTGCAGCAGATGGCTTTCTAATTCTGGAAATTGACGAACCTGGAGATTATGTTGCCCAGTCCATTGCAAACTGGCAGATGTATAAAGTAAAGGTATTGAAGCAGCATTTACAACACGTACCCAGAAACCAGGTGCAGGAATATGAATTCTTACATCCCGCGCCACCTGAAGTGAGAGTTTCAACTATGTCTCCCGCATCATTCACGAACGTTCAAGGCGGCGCATCATGCGTGCTTACTCAGGATGAGCATTTCCAAAAATTGAAATATTTTTATTCAGATGGTGAGAATTGGACGCTTTACCACGAGTGAGTGCTTCTGGCAATAGTACTAGCAGCGGTTTTTAAGAACAGTTTAATTAACAATTCACCCCTTCCAATTTAGATATCTGAATGGAGGATCCCTGGAATATTTAATACGTAAATACAACGACGGTGGCTGGGTAATTCCGGAGATATTTATTTGGCATGTTGCCGCCGAATTAAGCAAAGCATTGGCATATTTGTACTATGGCTGGACTCCAGTGAATCGCTGCAGAGTCAGTGGCTGGACTATGGCTTACCACCGGGCTATAACGCCAAGTAATATTCTCCTCGAATACTCAGGGAGGAATCCGGGCGCTGCACCTAGAGCCGGCATTGAATCAAATGCTTTCCCCCGGGTTGTACTATCTAACCTTTCGCACTCGGCCATAGAAGATGACGACGATGCTTGGCTAAAGCCAGGCCTTCATGCAAATGAGGCACATCCGAATGAATGGGAGGACGTCTACCATCTTGGTTGCGTGTTACGCCTTATGTGCATGACCCATATTCGGCTCGGGGAGGGTTTAATAGCTCACCAGCATGTGAAAAACGAGCGGGGCGAACATGCCTGGAGCCATCGGCCAGACAGCAGGTTCCTCGATGATGTTAACATAACGCCTGCGCTATCTCACCCTGCAGGTCCAGGCTATTCCGACTTTCTTATGGATATCTTGGGTACATTTGAATGGGACGGTCAAAGAGACAACGATATTGTCTCAGAGCCATATAGGGAGGATGCGGTTCCTAGTATTGATTGGGTAGTAGATACGTTGCTGCCCCGGGCAGAGATCCAGGTCGAATCTTTTAGACAGGGACGCAAACCCAAGGATCACTTTACCAATGTTGATGTATCGTGGACGAGGCCATGTGGCCCTTTAGTGCCGATTTTGTTTAATGATGAAGAAGAAAACATCCTCGACCGTACGGAGTATCTACTAAAGACAAAAAGGGATTTTATGGAAAACTGCGAGTTACAATTCCCATTGCCTAAGTACCGCGAAATGGATTGATCAATGTTTATTGTATAGTTGGGTAGTTGGGAGGTATTGGGTATGGGTTATATAGAAAGGAGTATTGTGGAGATGAACTCAAGGACATCAGTTGAGAGGCATATTGTATGTACTAGGAAGTAGGTACCTAATCTTATCAGGTTGTAGATAAACACGTGCTGCTACTAATCGGAAATATTCCGTATGGCGGGGGACAAGAGAGACTAGTGGAGCTATGATCCACACCGCCCGGCATAAAAATAAATTTACTTCTAGGTATTTTCTTAGACTTTTTACTATGTAATTCTACTGTTTAATAGGGCCAAAATATTCACGATATTTCATCACCGTAGGCCTTATCAAGATGGCTTCTAAGCGCAAGGCCGACGACTTTATATATACCCTATCTGATAACGAGGAGCTTCCCAATGAAGAAGAGGTCATACCCGAGCCGAACCCACCAAAGAAAAAGGCCAAGAAAAATAAGCGACCTACTCAATTAGACGATGACGAAAATGGTGTCTGGGGCAAGAAAGATGAGGATGATGGAGCAATGGATTCCGACTTCGAGTTTGCAGAGGATGGTACTACAGACTTTAGGGCGGAGGATTTCGAAGGTTGGGGCTTTGATGGTGCGAAAAAGGGCATGAACGGAAACGTAACGAAGAGGCTTGTTGACGTGGACGAGATCGTGCGAAGAAGAAGGGGCACTCAGGGGGATACTGAAGTAGATAACGAGAAGAAAGAAGTCGCAGATGGTGCTAGTAGCGAACTTGAAGACGAAGATATCGAACTTGACGACCAGGACGACGAAGTTTTAGCTGAAGATGGATTTGGTATGGGTGCTGCTTCGGACGAAGAATCAGGCGATGATAGGGCAGAAGACGATTCTGATCAGGATGAAAATGACGAGAATGATGCCTCGGATAACGATTCTGTCGCAACCCCCGTTGATCACCCTGATGACGAAGGAGAATCCGACGAAACGGACGATGAGGAAGATTCCGAAGAAGCCGCTAAGAGAGCGGCCTTCTTCGCACCTGAAGAGAAGAAGCCAGCTGGGAAGCACAATGGAAAGTCTTCGTTCCAAACAATGTCCCTTTCACGACCGATTTTGCGCGGTCTTAATTCTGTTGGCTTTAACGAACCCACTCCAATCCAAGCGAAAACAATACCACTCGCGCTAGAAGGAAAAGATCTAGTTGGCGGCGCAGTTACAGGCTCTGGAAAAACTGCTGCTTTCGTTGTTCCCATCTTAGAAAGGCTGCTGTACCGACCAAATAAAATCCCCACGAGCCGCGTGGTTATTTTAACTCCTACCCGAGAACTCGCCATACAGTGTCACGCAGTTGCAACCAAACTCGCTGGCCATACGGATATAAAGTTCTGTCTGGCAGTCGGTGGATTGAGCTTGAAAGTTCAGGAAGCAGAACTACGTCTAAGACCCGACGTTATTGTTGCCACTCCGGGTAGATTTATCGATCATATGCGTAACTCGGCTAGCTTTTCGACAGATACGGTTGAAATTCTGGTTCTAGATGAGGCCGACCGAATGCTTGAGGATGGGTTTGCCGACGAACTGAACGAGATCCTTACGACTCTACCCAAGTCACGGCAAACAATGCTATTCTCCGCTACCATGACTTCTTCCGTTGACCGACTTATCCGCGCCGGTCTAAACAAACCAGTACGAGTAATGGTAGATTCTCAAAGGAAAACGAACGACAAGCTAGAACAAAAGTTTGTCAGGTTAAGACCAGGTCGGGAAGACAAGAGAATGGGTTATCTCATCCATATCTGTAAAACGATGCATACTGAGCGTGTTATCATATTCTTCAGACAAAAGAAGGAAGCCCATCGTGCTCGGATCGTTTTTGCCTTATTTAACCTGTCGTGCGCCGAACTACACGGAAGTATGAATCAGGCACAGGTAAGCAATCCCCTTAATACGCTTTATTTCCCCCCCATTTTCTAATAGCCCGTAGCGTATTTCAAGTGTCGAATCCTTCCGGGATGGTAAAGTGTCTTTTCTGCTTGCCACTGATCTGGCTTCTCGAGGTCTTGATATTAAAGGTGTGGATACCGTTATCAACTACGAAGGCCCACAAACCCACGAGATATACGTACATCGTGTAGGGCGTACTGCACGAGCTGGACGTTCGGGTGTTGCTATCACGCTAGCGGCAGAACCTGACCGGAAAGTCGTAAAAGCGGCGGTTAGATCTGGAAAGGCCCAGGGGGCCAAGATCAGTAGTTTGATCATTGATCCTGCCGATGCCGATAAATGGCAAGACAAGATCGACGAGATGGCTGATGAGATTGAGTCGATTGCACAGGAAGAGAAGGAAGAGAAGCACCTGGCACAAGCAGAGATGCAAATAAAGAAGGGGGAGAATATGGTTATTCACGAGGATGAAATCAAGTCGCGACCGAAGCGAACATGGTTCGAAACACAACATGAGAAGAAGAAGGCTAAGGAGGCCGGGAGGGCTGAGCTGAATGGGCTGATCGAGTCGCTAAAGAAAAAAGGGAACGGCAAGCTAAGCAATAAGGATAAGAAGAAGCTAGACGCAAGGTCAACAAGGACGGAGGGTATGTGGAAGAAGGGCTCTGCCGAGAGGGCAGGTAAAGGTGCCGTTCTTAACTTCAAGAACGATAAGAAGAAGAAGAAGGCGGCCAGGACATCTGGCAAGATACAAAAGAGATAGATACCTAGGTCAAGCGATACTAATACTAACATGAGATTATTCGCGATGCCTGGCTCCTACGTTATAATATACCGTATATACCGTACCTGATATATGTAGTTTCTCTGGGGTAGAGCTAGCCAATGATAGCCAAGTATGATCAAGATATAGAACTGTCAATGATACTATTGCCATTAAACTTGAGTATTACATAGGTTTAACTACATGTAATTATGATTTATGTGTACCTATTTATGTGTACCTAATAGAAAGGTACGGACAGGGATGAGTATCGGCTAGGATTTACAACTGATGTCACCAGTGCGCGGCCCCCACCAAAAAACTACATTTGCCCCGTTTGCCCGTGAGACTCCAGGACAAGCTCCAACTTTTCCAACCTCGACAAAGAGTCAGATGATGAAATATTACCTGTCAGCCCTATCGCGAAATCTTCCTCCCAGACAAGCCTCTCTTAATCTTGTAAACCATGTGTTAGTTTAATTGGCCCTTGTCAAATTCAACTCTCTCAGTCGTTCGAAGACATAAACCACCTGGTTGAAGCCTGGTCACATTGCGAGTGATACAAACCTGTTATATATTATTTCGGGTGAAGCTGTAACGAGTTTAAATACTTGGTCCTCGGAATCCTCCAAGGTGGCTCCATCACGTCGATTCCTACCTTCACGTCCTCATCCCCATCATCGACAGAGCCTCCTCCAGTACCTTTTCCCACATAACCTACGCGAACGCTACCGCGAGCGACTCATCGGTTTCCACCTTGATACCTTTCCTCACTACAAACACCGCCTCCAAAGTCGCATCTATCGCTTTATCCTCGACCGTCAGCGCCGTCGCCGTGAGCAGTCGCGTCTCGTCGACCACGCGCGACGGCTGTTGCTCGGCTTACCAGCTCCTAATACCAAGGGCCCGAGAGATGGATCAAGATCTATATCGGGAAAGATGACAACTATGCCAGAATATGGGTTGGGGAGTGGGAACTTGGGCGCCGATGGCGGACGCGAGAGAGGCTCGAGAAGAAGGAAGCTTGCAGCTATGGCGGGCAGCATGTACAGGGCTGGCGCAACGGCGGTAAATGAGATTAAAGAGTCTTACTATCAGACAAGATCGAGTGATACCGATACTTCAGAAGCGACCAGGATCACAATACCAGATTCCTTCCCCGACGTTGCCATTGTCACAAAGGGAAACGAGCAGATGGTCTTATTTCCGTCCTATGCAAAGAGACACGTGAAGAATCAACCTAGGCAATTCGAAGATCCGGCAGGACCACCGCATACTTCAACTATGAGTATGAACGAACAGGATTACTGGAGGAACGAGTGGTCGAGACACGAAGATGAGAAAGCTATTGTAGACGTAGATGTCCGAGGCTGGATATACATCCCTCACAGGAGCCCAATGACTCGTCGCAACCGAATATTGATTGGTCTGGCGAGACAGTTAAGCGGTATTCCCGCTCCAAGGATTCAACAGGCCGACCCAAGTGCTACTACGGAACCCTCTTTGGCGAGAATACACGAACAACACGAGGAGGAACGTGAGCGAGAGAGGATCGCACAAGAAGCCAAAGAAATCGAGCGCAGGGGCAGGTTTGAGGAGGAAGCCGCGCAAAAAGGTGGCTATAGTGAACGACCAAGGGATGAAGATTCTGAAGACGAAGGAAGCAGGCGACGCCCGGACCAGTACTCGCAAGATAGCAGTAGATCACCACCCTCTGCGCCATCATCACCTGTTCTCCGAGGGCGCACTAATACAACAGGAACTACTGAGCTCACTGAGACAGAGCTGGCAGTTGCAAATGCAAATCTAATGGCTCGTATCGCGCCTTTTATGACCACGCCGTTGGTTGAGATTCCCATCACCTTATTCTTCTATAACGAAAAGCAAGCCCAGTCGCGCACCGTAAAGACCAATGATTCAGGGCACTTTGTAATAAGGGCGGCGCTCGACTTCGTTCCCACCCATGTACGCGTGCTCGCGAACGAGGACATATCCTACACAGAACCAGTGCAGCTCATCGAGCCGAAAGGAGTCAGCCTAATAAGCGATATCGACGACACCATCAAACGCTCAAACATCTCTCTCGGCGCCAAGGAGATATTTCGAAACACCTTCATTCGTGAGCTAGGTGACCTAACCGTAGACGGTGTTCAGGCATGGTACAACGCTTTGCATGACCTCGGCGTGCGCATACATTACTGTTCCAATAGCCCATGGCAGCTGTACCCGGTGTTAGCTACGTACTTCAAGTTAGCCGGCCTACCGCCAGGTTCGCTACATTTGAAGCAGTATACGGGCATGCTTCAGGGCATATTCGAGCCCGTAGCCGAGCGGAAAAAGGGCACGCTAGAAAAGATCATGAGAGATTTTCCGGAAAGGAAATTTCTCCTAGTCGGTGATAGCGGCGAAGCGGATCTCGAGGTATATACGGAGTTGGCGGTTGCTAATCCCGGGAGGATAGTAGCCATCTTCATTCGAGACGTTACGACACCCGAGCAAACAGGCTATTTCGATTCCGGATTCGACGCACGTAGTAACGGCGGACGCATTCCTCGAACCAATTCGAGCATCCGGCTTAATCAGGCATCTTCTAGAAGTAGTAGCAGCGATAGTAAAGAGAGTAGTCTAGCCGGAAGACCCCCGCTCCCTCCTCGAGTAACGACCACGCCGAAATTGTCTAGCGGAGCCGTCGTGGGCGACCTAATTGACCTGTCGGAGGAGCCGGAGCCGGAGCCACAGCCAGAACGGCTCCGGCGGGTCGAATCGGAGCCCCAGACGGTAGGAAAACCTGCGCGACCGGCAGATCTACTAGCACGGAAACCACCGCCACCGAGACCTGCGAAACCAAAATCCCTACAAAGCACGCCGGCTGCGCCGGTACTAACTACCGATGACGGCGGGCCTGCTAAAAAGCCCTCAGGCTCGGTGCCCCCGCAGCCGCCGGAGCCACGTAAGATCAACCAGGCGAATAATAGAGCGTTGACACCTAGCCCGCTAGCGCAGATGCAGGTGTCGTCTGACCACGCCAGCGGAAGGGACGGACTAAGAGCGTTGAAGAAGACTAAGAGTAACGGCCAGATATCCGAGAATCTAAATATTCCTCCCCTCAACTCGTCATCTAAGATCGCGCCCCCTCCTCCGCCCCCGAGGCGAGGCACACCTTCCAGCACAACCACGACGACAAAATCGAGCCCGCGACTCGTGGCGACTCGCGCTAGCGACAGCACCCTAGTCCGCCGCCGGACAACAGGGGACTCGGAGGTTGAGTTCGAGGGTTTGTCGCCTGGTATTAATGGTAGCGCTACGTATAACAACGGGAGTCCAAATGGACAGACGGCGGTTGTGAACAAGAAACTGGACTTGTGGCGCCGGCGGTTGCAACGTGCGCAGGAGACACTGGAACGGCACGGCGTGGCGCTGTATACGTGGCGTCGCGGCGATGAGGTGGTGGATGAGGCAATTGGGATTGTGAAGAGATGCATGGAGGAGATGGATAGACGGTAGGAGTAGGTGAAAACGGATGCTTAGTTGTGATGAGGGATAGGAAGGGAGATGGTGAGGACTGTCAGTATATATTTCACGAGTGAGTGTTTATATCTTATGGTGGTATGTTAACCTGATACCAAGCGGCGATTGCAACTGAGTGAAGAGCACATTTTCGGTAGCTAGAGCATATCAAGACTAGAGAACGACAGGACGTTACTGTTTTATAGATTATGAATGTACGTTATCGAGGTTCTACATACTCGAGGAATGAGAAGAAGCTGGTGAATTACGAGACATTTTAGTTGTGTTGTTTACCTATAGGCAGTTTTATTGGGACAATACTGGCTTGCTAGATACGATGATAACCCCGTGCTAACTCAGGTATGAGAACATTAGAAGACTCCCTCGGAATAATCCACAATGACGAAGTTCTCTAGAAACGGCACTACCCAGCTCTTGAATTCCGCATGCCACGGGTCCTCGTTAACGTAATAGTTCCGGTCCTCGATCGATTCGAATTCCGCAACGAAAGCGTGTGTGAGATCACGCTAGAGGCTTAATTAGCGACCTTGCAACTCCATATATCTATGACCCTAGTAGTTCGGCGCTTACCTGTGCTCCTTCGATAGAGTTGTCTTTGCCGCCGGTAAGAGACCTGATGTATTGTTTCCCCGACGTGGCATTGACGCAGCCTTCCTTCAGACCAAGCATGCGCGACGTTGCCTACACCGAAGTTAGTATAAGTGAGTTATATAGCGCATTGGCAACCGGAAGCTAGTGGGAACGGACCTCATTCACGGCGTCGGCGCCGGTGTCGGCTTTGAATTGGAATAGGACTAGATGTTTTAAAAGCATGTTGATCTGAATATAAAGGTAACTGGACTAAAATATTGGGAATAAATAGAAGAATATAGTTGTAAGTTGTAAAGATGGATATAACTCCTAAGGTACGGATCTTTAGTATATAAAGGAGATATTCGGCATTTTTCTTGCATGAGGACTGAGAAATAGGGGGCAAGGAGTGGGGTCCTCTAGATCTCCTCAATGGAGCCAACGAAGCCAACGGAGCCTCTAACTAGATATGTAAAACTCCCGAGAAACGAGAAGATTATTGATCTTAGTTAACGCAGATTACGGTAAAGCGTCGCAAGTAGACTCTCTAGCTTTTCACGGGTCCTCTCTTACCGCCATCGTTCTCTACGCTCTACATAGGTATCAGCTACCGAACATCTCAATATAATGGCCGCGTGGGCCGTGGGTATACCCGACGCTGAAACGCTTGCCAGGCCTTTGATAATCAGATCAACGCATCCGTCCCCGGGGTTATGCACCGACTTATCATACCGGCGGCTTTCCTAGACGGATCAGAAGAGCCGCATTGCTAGTACAAGATTATAAGATTAATTGTGGAATTTGGAGGTATAACTCTATCCTCGATAAAGTGGTGAATAGTATCGCTAATACTACGTAGCATCGCCAAAGACTAGATCAGCGCCAAGAGTAAGGTCATATAGAAGCTGTTATATAGGAGCTTAAACTCGGGCTTCAACCCGGCTTGTCCAAATAGCAAACATCTAGGTCGCCCCGTATTGCAGCCCCAATAACCGACCAAGGCTCGAAATTGGAGCTAGGCAAGTGGTCTTGAAGAAGTCGTAACATGGCTACGTTGCCAGCCTGCGCAGCTACTTGAATAGGCGGTGCGGATACGTAATTATGGTCCCTGGTGTCGTAGCCTTCCGCAAGTAGTCGTTCGGCTAGCGATGCAAGATTAAGATGAGTGACAACTGTTAAGGTGTTCACGCCGAAGTTCTCTTCCGGCTTGTCTTCTTCGACGACTAAAGGGCCCCGTCTATCGATATACTCGGAGCCTAATACGAAACTCCTATAGTGTAATGTTGTTTGTTATTGAATATTGAAGGCGATGTTAAAACGTATAAATAACATCGAGCGAAGCACGAAGAGTTATGCACCCAAGTGCCGAGGAACCCAAACCTACGCATTCTTAACATGTTACTTCTAAGAGGCATCGATCAATCGGGTCGTTCCCGAGTACATCCAAGTAGACATTTATTACACATCTTCCCCACTACCTATATAAGGGGTTGGCTCCTAAAACTCCTTATTCTACACGTATATTGACTATGTCTAGAACTCCATTAATGAGGCGAGAACCTGACTCTTGTGCTAACTAATAATGTGGGATTATATGGTTCATTAATGGACACTACACTAGGACAAATCCCCAAACGCAGGGTGTCGTTTTATAAACCTATATTGAGAGAATTGGCCCAGTTGTCAAAAAAGAAATGTCAAACCAATCCGAACTCGGACCATCATTTCTATTTAGTTAACAGATTACACTAGTTGAATACACCGACACTTGCGTCTCTTTTGCATCTCCGCACATGTCTTGGCTGCTGCAAGTCTACTCTAGGGCTTTGCCGGTCGCGCCCATGGTAGCGATGAGGCGTTGGCGTATATGCTCACCAACAATAGTCTCGACGCCAGACCCGTCGAGGGCCTTGCACTTGAGCTTGAGCTGGCCGTTAAGAAACCAGGGCACAGAGTACCTGTGGTTGGTGCCGGAGGTGATGACACGGTGGCGTGCGCTGCGGTAGTAGCCCGCGGTCCACTTCTGCATCATGTCGCCCATGTTGATCACGTACGAATTCTCCTTGGGCGGCACCGTGATCCACGTCTCTGTCGGCGGGTACCATACCTCCAAGCCCTTCGTGCCCATCTCCTGGAGCAGAATGGTGACGCAGCCGAAGTCGGTGTGGTCACCCACTACTCTTAGTTAGACATGCATAGAGCGGTAGAAGAAGCAAGAAAGGAGAACATACCGCCAAACTGCCGCTCGTCGAGGACTTCTTGGGGAGCGTAATGCAGCAGTCTCATGGGCATGGATGGGTTGACGGCAAGCTCATCCATTACGTCAGGAGGATGTCCCCAGGCCTTTGGAAGACCGCGGGAAAGGAGCTTGAGGAGCACTTTGGAGAGCGCAAGCATAGTGGCTTGGTACTCCATGGCAGGAGTTCGAAATTCTTCGTCTTTGAGGTTCTTGGGCCACAAGTTGGGGCCGGTTGAGAAAGTGCCAGCATCTGGGTGGTCAGCAGGGACCTCGTGGCCGATCATGAAGCACTGATTCACGTCAGTTCTAAGCCTCTTCTTCACTGTTTCTAAATGCTCATTATTTCGACGTAGTATTAGGCATTGCCATTCATGCGCTCACCTCTTTGGTGTCGGGTAGGAGACCTTTTTGGTGGGTTTGAATTCCAGGGGGCTCATAGCCGCGGAATGATTTGCCCATCGACTTGCCGACCCAAACATCCATACGCTCCTCCTGAGAGAGTTCGAAGAATCTCCTAGCACACTTGAGGATTCCGTTGCGTTTTTCTTCGCTCACACCATGACCGACGAGGTAAAAGAAACCGTACGTGGTGCAAGCGTGGCGTATAGCATCGACAACACCGCTCTTAGCCTCCTCAGATGCATTTGGGTCTGTGAAGGGACTGATGTCCACAGTAGGGATAGCATCGGGTGCCATTTCTGGAATATTCTCGACGCTGCCCATCGTATTATCAGTTTTGACTACGTGTGTATTATATTTTTAAGGTGTTGTCGAGTTGTTATATTTAGGCAGTCATAGATAATCAACGCCTTGTATATAAATATTATTCCCCTTAGTTTCCTACTACAGAATCGAGATCACTAAAGACAACAAAGACAACTATACTTTTCTTATCGAAACAACGAGCTGCTGACTCAACCAGATCTTATCTGATGAAGGATTCTACGATCATATGCCATTAATACAAACGAGTACAGTAGTTCAACACGTTGTAATAGAAACCCCAGGTAGAACCGTTCCCCGAGGCTCGGTACCGTAAGGTGACATTTCTACCTTTCCTAACAGTCTAGAAACTCCAAGCCGATTCGTATAGTATGTATGTACGCGTCTTACTGGCATACTGTGGCGTATTTCCGACAATAGTTATTGACAGGGAATTCGTTTCTCCGTGATGACAGGCTGATCGGCACAACCAAACAAGTTGGTGTTCAGCAACATTTAGCTGAACACAAGAAACTCCGCACCGAGTCAAGTAGATAGGTAGCGATTTACACGAATTAAAGCTTCTTCTTGACTTTGGATTGGTGTACCTATTAGCATTTTCGTGCCAATATATCATGCGAGAAGTGGCAAGGTCACCCCAGAGTAGGATTGCGGGAATCAATTGACGAAAATGGTGTATCTTGACATGAGAGAAAGCAAGATAAGGACAGTGTGAAGTTGCTCGCTTTATTATTGCAGTTGGCCGCTGCGCTATATTGCTTCTTCCCCTACCGCTTCGAACTAACTTGTTTAATAGATCCGAAGTAGATCGTAGAATCAGGATTTTACAATGGCCAAGTGCTGTGATAGACTGCTTGGGTGTTCATCCCTGGCATTGCGAATTCAGAACATGATTCGGGCGATGCTCTTCTATTACACGCAAGCGTTTCTCCGCATCCCAAGATAAAAGCAATATAGATGAAGTAATATAGTATTCTAAGTGACAGACTGTCAAATATGGCTGTAAAGGCGGTGTAATGGTATCATACCTCTTTAGAAATATAGAACTGTTACTCCCATATCCGTACAACAATCTGTCAAACTTCGCTTGTTTCCGAAACAGACCTAGATCGATATCAATAAACCGTCAAGTAAGTCAGCAGGCTAGACTTCACTCACAAAATTCTCATTACTTACCTAGGTATTTATATGATTTGACTGACATTTCTCAGCCATACAATCCTCCAGAACGCCTTCTACCGCGTATCTCCGCACTATAACACCGTAACCAGGAGTAACTTCAGCCATAATAATCATGTCGGAACTCAACGATTTCCTGGTTCTCTTGCAAGACAAGCCGGGTATGTTGCAGACGCGCCTCAACAACGTACAGGCGCATATAGCCCACCTGAAGAGCCTTGTGGAATCTGGTACCGTCGTCATGTCTGGACCGACTCTTTCCTCACACCCCAAGACCGCCGGCGAGGAGCTCGCCGTCACCGGTAGCTCTGTGCTTGTTCGTGCGAACTCGGAAGAGGAGGTCCGCGCCTTTATCAACGACGACGTCTACGCCAAAATCGGTGTCTGGGATCTCGAGAAAATCACTATTGTTCCAATGAAGTGCGTGGTGCGAAAGCCTCTATGAGGCGATGTTGTACTTGGACCGCCGGGCTTAGATTAGGTACATCTGGTTATGAGACTTCATGTAGTGCTAGTTCCTGGAAAATAGAACGAAAGGCATGTTGTTCTATTAGTTAGGATATAGCATCAAAATCTGTATGGGGTCTTCCTCCTGGATAATCAATGAATGAGGGAGATACGAATAGACTAGACTCTTGTCGTTTCATACGAGAGTCTTGTTGCCTCATTGATATCCAGATAATTAAACATTGGAGCTTCTCTCGCGGATTCAAAAGTGATACAAATGCAATTCATATTTATTGAGGGGGGATATAATAGAACTTATGAGATTGAATTCTTCAGAGTTGGCTACCAACGAGATATTTCTAAAGTTTACTATGATTAAAGGTATAATTATAGAAATGAAGTTTCGTCTACCTCGTGGCCATTGTCAACCTGATGACATCAGCCTCTCTGGATGTATAAGAGACCCGACTCTTAATTTTCTTCATAATATTGTGCCGTAAACTCCAGCCTTATGCAGCCCTAGCATTTTCCTACCGCCTTCCCTCTATGCGATGGTATATTATAAGTGTCATGGCGTAGCGAGGGGTTCGGCGAAGTCCCTTGCATAGTATGTGGGTGTGTCTTGAGAATGTACTGTGAAGTGGCCATCACGCCTTAATGTTGAGCGCCCAGCCGGAGCGGTAGACTCTCAACGCTGCATACATAAAGCCTGATAAACATGCCGCGGCGCCGCCGAATCCCCATAGACCGTCCCATTCTAAAGGCTTCGTTTCGCCGAGGATAGCTCCAGCTACTGGACCACCTACCAGAAGACCCAAAGCAATGATACCAAAGCCCATACCTATTCTCGTTCCCAATTTCGACTTGTCTTGGGTCAAAGGGAAGAAGCAGACAGGCGGCATGGCAATGAAAACGCCGCTGAAGAACCCTGCGAGGACTGCGATGGTAATTATCGCGCCTTTAGTGTTCGCGGCCATGAAACAAAGCATCAGGATACCTGTGATGAACGCACATGGCGCAACGACGTTAAATGGACCAATCTTGTCCGAAACGGCGTTAGGAACGACTCGACCGAAGCAGGATGCGGCGTTGAAGATAGGAACCATGTAGAAGGAGAGAGCTTCGTCGGTGAGACCTCGTTCCTGGGGGTAGTACGAAATGTAGAAGATGAGGATGCTGAGACCCATGAAGCCGACGAAAGTGGTGATTGTGAAGGCCATATAGGGGATATCGCGGAAAGCAGTCCAATCAATCATAGATCTGGGCTTCGGGGACTTGAATCGCATCCTCATAATACTGATAGGGATGAGTAGAGTTCCCAGAGCAATAAAGCCCATAACACGGACTGACCAGGCATATCCAATCCTGCCTATTAGTTGATATAAGACGACAGGATATATGATGCCGCCGACGGAAGAGCCTGCTGATGATAGACCTAGAGCAAGGCCGAGTTTGGTGGTGAAGTAGGTAGGGATGAGAGATACGCAAGGTACAAATAGCATCCCTGCTCCTAACCCGACACAGAGACCTTGGGCGAGTACAACTTGCCAATATTCCTTACACAAGCTTAACATCATGTGACCAAATACGATGCCAAAGCTTCCAACAATCAACAGATGTCGTAGGTAGCCCCTATCGTAGATGGGGCCGGCGAAAACACCACCGACCAGAACCATGAAGGATTGAATCGAACCAATCCATGAGATATCCGAAGACGACCGATGGAAGAGTGCACCTGATTCGTAGTATGTCTGGAAAACGCCGAAAGCGTTTAGGATACCCCATGTATTGAAGAACAACATGAAGCCGCCGAGCACATGGAGCCAGGCAAGGAGGCCGCCGTTAGGAGGTGGTGGGGGACCCGCCCTTTGCGGCTCTAAGGGTGCAGACAGTGCCTCATTCTCGAGCTCGGTCGGGGGTGTTCGGGTCTTATCGTTGGTAGCATCGGCCTTTTCACTTCCGGCTACGAAACTGGTGTTGGAAACGGTAACATCTTCGGAGTCGCTCATGCGCGCATGCTTAGTCTCTGGGTTGAGAGCCATTGCGGCGGTGGTGATATTGTTGATGATGGTACAATTGTCGGGTAAATTGAGATAGATATGATGGGAACAAGGAATTGGAGAGAGAAGATTGTAAAATACCAGCCGTGTGGTTCTGTAGACTCTTGCGTAGGGCTTGGGGAACTGCGTTTCTTCTATGCTCGGAGCATCGGAACTAAGACAAATCAAATGAGTGTGTCTAATTTATTGTCTTATTTGTTCCTCGTCCATTTGAAGGAAGAGAAAGGGGGTCGGTGACGTGTGGTAGATGCCAAAACACGCGCGTGTTGAACCAGCTGTCTATACCAAGTGCCGAAACGTAATAAAGAAGTAAGCAAGTAGTGAGGATCTAGTATTAATTACTTGAAGGGATCTGAAGACACTGACGTGTACTAGATATCTCCCTGAAGCTTTCCTACGAATGGACTAGGTACTTGGAGAGTTATTGGAATCCTACTCGCTGTTTATAATGACTCAGGTAGCCGTGGCGCAACATAGTATCTTATTCCTCCCCATAGCAACCGTAGCAGCTAAACCGATTTTGAAAATTTTAACTCTGGGTACTTGAAGAAAATTTTAGTTCCTCTTTTCTATCATAGCAAACCAGTCGCTTTGGAAGTATCTCTGGTTGTACCTACTTTGGATATGATCTAGTTAGATGATTGGAAACTCCGAGCCGCAGCTCGGATATCGAGAGACAGAGCAAACATATTGTTTCTTGATAGGCTGATTCATTCAACTAATACATTACATACGGTAATAGTCCAACGGATTAGGTAAGATAAGATCTTTCTTGGCAGAGTCCAGTTCAGTTAATTCCCTAAAGGGGTAACTGTCGCTAGGAACTTTATCCCGTATTTACACAGTTACAACATAATGCAACAATATAATACAAGACACTGCATCATCCATCTATTTTTAAGAGATTACTTGTGAGACATTAATGTGCGAGTATCTCATAAATAATACCATATCAAATTTAGAGATCCGTTAGCGGATATGTAGAAAGTAGTTCCTGATAGATTCTTTATTCCGCGATGTGCGGATCTCCGAGATCCGAGTCGACCATTCTAGACTCCGGTAAACCCGCCGGCTCGGATATAACACATGGACCCTGTAGTAAATTCATGCATCTTCATGCATTTCACTTGCATCTTGTCACATACCTACTCCAAGGGGCGCGAGTCGGGATTTGCTTATAATTACGACCTGCTATATTCCTATAACCTTTAATCATATACTGTAACCAATTTCGATCTGATAATGGCTTATTGTAAGTACCTAAGAGGCATAGCTTTGATGTTATACTCCGAACTCTAACTACGAGCCGTAAAAATCTCCAGTAATATACTAATATCAACTCGGCGGTTTCCTATGCGATCTATCGTCTCGGCTGCGGAGGTATCCGTATAGTGAGTGCTTTGCTATTCAGCGGTTTTCTGTACATATGTTTAGACACCAACACATCTCATTTGAAAGGAAGCAAGGCAATCTATCTGCACCACATGTCATATATAACATACAGTAGTGACATCACCCATGGCTTTCAGTCTTTCGAGCAAGCAGCTCCCTCAAACATTCTTAAGCTCCAGCGCTACCCGTCAAATAAGTTCTAGATTTCTCTCGACATCCTCTATCATCTCCAATAACTACTTCGCCACTATTATATCATCTCCTCGCCGGTCTACTAGTCCTACGCAACAACAACAGCAGCAACAGTCCAGAGGTTTTACGCATTCAAGAAGCAAGATGGCCACTAACAACGCTGCCTGGATCAAAGAAGCGAAAGCCCATCCTTTCGTGGTTGAGTCCGCTCCCGTTTGGACCCCAGAGGCTAACGAGGTTCTCGTGAAGAACCATGCCGTCGCTATCAATCCCGTCGATGGCTCTCTCCAAGCTGCCGGCTGGTGGCCTCTCGATTACCCCACCGTGCTAGGCCAGGATGTTTCCGGTGTGATCGCTGCCGTTGGCCCTGGTGTCACTGCCTTCAAAGTTGGCGACCGTGTTGTCGGTCACGCTCTTGGCATGGCCAGCAAGCGTAGACAGGATGGTGGCTTCCAAGAGTACACAATTCTGCAGACTAACGTGACAACTTTACTCCCCGATAACATCCCCTTTGAGAAGGCTGCGGTACTCCCTCTAGCTCTATCCACTGCCGCCTGCGCTCTCTACCAAGACACCCACCTGAAGCTTCAGCTCCCTACTGTCCCCCCGCAAAAGCCCACGGGTAAGACGTTGATCGTCTGGGGTGGTTCCTCCGCAGTTGGAAGTAATGCCATACAACTCGCTGTCAACTCCGGCTACGAAGTCATCACTACCGCCTCCCCCAAGAACTTCGACTACGTAAAGAAGCTAGGTGCCAGCCAAGCCTTCGACTACTCTAGCCCAACCGTCCAAGACGACCTAATCAAGGCCCTCAAGGGCAAGACTACAGCCGGCGCCCTCGACTGCATTGGAGGCGCACCTCAAGGGATCCTGCAGCAGGTCATCGCCAACTCCGAGGGTGTAAAGGCTGTGGCGTCTACCAAGCGGGGTTGGCCCGAGCCACCGGCGGGCGTTACCATGTACTCCATCTTTGGCACCTCCCTTAGCGGCAACTTCGTTGGAAAGGCGATTTACAACGACTTCCTACCTGCGGCGCTGAAGGAGGGTACTTTCGTACCAGCACCTGAACCAAAGATTGTCGGCAAGGGCGTCGAGAAGATACAAGAGGCTGTTGACCTGATCAAGAAGGGTGTCTCGGCCACCAAATTGGTTGTCACTCTGTGAGTGGAGATATATACTCGCATAAGTTGAGACAGACGCGCGATGGAGGACGCAGTGAAACCTTGAAGGTATCGCTACACTAGCACATATCTAACTACCTACGATGCCATTGGCGCCGTGTATTGATAGTAGGCTTGAGTCTAACTGTTGAAAAGATTAGATATACCTAGGAAGAAGAAAATTCAATAAGTTCCCACGTCCCGCTTTACAGGTCTCGACCATTCGACATACCTACCTTGCTTTCTCATGATAACCCAATATGTATCAAGCCCATTGCTGCATATTGCTGCGATGATGGGATCTTGCCCCTCTGAGCTGTGTGGTAAAGAAACTTTTTATTCGCAAGGGTTATGTGATACTGAACGTCAACCGGACTCCGCATCCGTGGCTTTCCTTTTCCAGAGCCATCCACTAGCGTTGGATCTTGGAAGAGAGAGAGGTAACAGTCACAATAATTGGCCGAGACAGGTTCTAATATATCGGTATATCGGCGGAAACTACAGACGCCTTCCGACTTATACGTACGTGGCGCTTCAAGATAGACATCTCATTGGCCTTATAGATATAACCATAATTTTGCAGGTCCACTAAGCGATCGGGCGGAGCCACTCCCGCAGATCATAAACACCACATTCGATATATGTTTAGTCTAAAGCAAGTTTCTGCAACAACCTTGACATGATATAAAATGGCAACTGGGAGTGGATAACATACGGCGGTGAGGTGAGCATCTTAATTAATGTGTGGCTGGCTGAGTCAGGTTGAGGACTAGCTCGCTATCTGTAGCCGTAACAGGCGATCCGTGTGTTGTGGTGTTGTGGTGTTGTGCAGCAGCTTCTGTACCACACTTGTCTCGGTGTTAGGTGTTCTACCTAACTATTTTTTTAAGTTGTGTAGGTATACTTGTTGTATATACCTTAGGTACCTAACGTATTGTATCTCGTGTGAGCGGGGGAGGTGATATGTTAGGTACACAGATGGGAGTGAAATTCTTGGGCATGTGGTAGGCATGTGGTATATTCCATCCGTGGCGTACTTCTGTAGTTGTAGAACTACATGAAGTTCAAGTAAAATCCGTAACTCCATGGCGGAGACCGAGTTGACAACCCCGAGACGGGTAAGATCAGGAGGCATATATACCCTTTGGTATCTAGTGCTATTCCATCTATTTCTCTATCACTTCTCATCAAGCTTCCCCAGCCCTGACGATAGCCTATACTCTTACTGATCATACTGGGAGGACGATCGCTGTTGGTGGCGAACCATGTGGGGTTATAAGCCCTGTCTTCCCACGCATCAAGGGTCCTGTTCAGGTTATTATCCATACCGCTGGGAGTCCTAGATAACCTTCTGGTGGTTCCTCCCTCACTACTCTCACGCCCCTAGCTCGAACGTCACGCCATGGAGGGGGCAAAGGGTGTAAGATACCGGTTGCACATAGGTAAGCTTAATTGTGTAGTACTTTGATTTCTCTCGACACGACTTTAGCATGCAAGCGAAGCGAACTGTGCATCGTAACATGGGCTGACCGATTTGCAGGATCGGTACTTGTGGTCTTAATTGGTGGGATTTGACGTACATAATATACACCTGCACTATCTGCCGATACCGTGACTTGATTACTTACATGTATAACCCGCAAATGACTTACAGCTTACAATACTTATATACCTTAAGCTACTCAAATTATTCGAAAATTCAACCTTAAACTCTTTAAACTATTCTTAATAACTAGTTCAGTAAAGATTTTATGCGTATATTGCTTTAAAGTATAGTTTAGAAATTCAAGATACGAGAGATATGCAAACAACACAGGGCTACCTGAACTCCCCAATCCAACGGCGTGCATGCTTGGTGTATATATGTACACAGAAACGGTCGGGACCGAACCAAGACCAAGACTCCACATGTAGATTCTTACCTCGGGGCAATCTTCACTCTACATCAATCCAACTACCTAATAGAAATGCCTCGTTTTACTTCTTCAGATGTAAGGTACCTAATTCATAACCACTATAACCAGACCGGTTTTATATATCCTAGGATGAATCATCACAATACTATCTTTCAAGTCTATCCATAACTTTGGTGCCGTTAATTAACCTCAATACTGAGCCGTGTCGGACGGGATCAATTAAGATAAAACGCGCCTTTGAAACTTTGCCATCTTCCAAGCTCTGGTTAACACCAATTATCAAGTTGCCTCTTACGAAACTCTACGTTCTTAGATTGTCTATAGTATATTAAGGCGGCGGTATCATACCGTTTGTGAACGTCATGGGGCACCAGGATGATAGCGTGTTAAGAACTAAACTTGGGATATTGTCTTCCTATAACGGTAATCTCCATCAGCCCCCTAACGCTGTTCCAGATTTGACATAGGTACCTAGAGTTATGTACTAAGAATTGCATGACTTGCTCCAGACTATCGTCGCCCTATTACTCAGCCTGCCCTACAGGGCTAAAAAGCATAATGACAAGAAATGTAATTGGATGCCGGAAAGTATCCATTTACAACAAGTTAAGAAGCCCAAGCAGTCGATATTGCTCGCAGAATTGGCTGGCTAGCCCATGCATTGTGTATCACGTATCACGAGTGTTGGACACGGCAGGCTGGGCGTAACCATTACCCAAAGAGCCTCAGACATAAATGGTCACAAATGTGACACGAAAAATATATGCAGCCAAGATAGATACTCCCCGCCATCGAGCTGTACCTACACTACCTGATCCTTATGAGACACGAGGAGACTATGCCGTAATACTTGATGTTTTAACCTATGAGGTGCTGTACGACTCCTACACTGCTGAAGTAATCCGACGGTTCCTTTGCTGACTTACCTCGGACCTTAGACGGCATGCAAAACGACCCGTCTTATCTATACACCTAGCCAACCGACTTAGTTGGCAACCCTCCTACCATACTTGCTATCACTCACGTGGCCGGCTGAAAAAGTGTCAATAGCTAAAGAGTGGGTTCAGTTCTCGATATCCCCAATGATAGTAGCACATGGTGGTGTAACATGGCATGGGTTTTCGAAGTTAAGCTTTTACTTCTTAGGGGTACCTCATTATAGACCTTTTACATACCTACTCCTATGTAACAGCTGGTTCGAACTACATCGCGAATCCTACGGCGATCACTCAGCCTAAGGGTAAATAGGTATACATCCCGAAGGTACGGATTCGATCCTGCGAAGCTTAACTCGTCATCTATTCATCACCTCCAGTTAGGTTTTTGGTCAGCAAGCCCCCTGAAACCACATGTTCAGGGTCAGCCCGATCGCAAAACCGACTGAGAGTTTTATACTTAGGACTCGTGTAGAGAGGCTACCTAGGTATGTGTCCCATCGGTGGAAGACGCCTCACGCATTAGCGGGTAGGTAGCGGCAGAGTTTCTCGGCAGCATCGTCATTCATTCCTATAGATAGGTACATAACCATATAATACTTAGTCCCCACAGCAGGAATTGCTTTTTTTATACGTAGCTTGTCTTTAATCGAGGAGGAACCCTATAAACTTCTAGCTCCCCAAGATTGTTGCAAAGTAACTAAGTCAAGTCCGACTAGCGTAATAATTCAAGTCTCATTTCCCACTGAGATGCCTCAGCCGGTTGACCTCAGCGTTAAGACGTCGACGCCGCCAACACGACAAAATCCAGGTGCAGGTATGATATATGAGTCTCTTAACCGTTCATTCATAACAGGACATGTCGTCTTTATCCCGCGCGTACGACATTGATACTTCTCTCTAAGGCTCTCATGTTGAACAGGTACGAGTGATACCTTAGAGTAATGATCAATTGGCAAATCCGCACATCTTGCCATAGGTTGACGCTTGACTTTTCAATATCTCTGTCTTCTAGGTTGCTAATATACGTTTCTTATGTAGCCTGTGAAGAATGCCGTCGTCGTAAGGTCCGATGTGATCGGCAACAGCCTGCGTGTGGCCTATGCCTGTCATCCGGCGTACAATGTCAAGTTACAACCCCTCGTCCTCCTCGTGGTCCGAAGCGCGGCTATTTAAAAGCGCTACAAGCTCGCATCGGTACGTGCTGCGGTATATCGAATGGAATTTTGACCTGCCCCTAGTAGATATATTTCCGGAATAAAGGCGGCTTCGATTCGAGTCACGACCAATCTCATGCTAACACTCTTATCCCCGATTTAGCTACCCTCGAAGGAACTTTACTTCAACAGCAACAGCAACAACCCTGTAGTAACAGCAGTAATACGATATCCATCTCTCCTGGAGATACCTCGATTGAAAGCCTCTCATTCAACGACTCCTCGCCCTTAACATGGGACTTTACCGTCACCGCTGACGAAGACGCGACACTCCGCGATCTATGTCAGGGAACAGGGCCCAGCACAGCATCAGGAGGATCTTCGTTAGACGGGGGTTCAGTCCACGCCTCAACATCACCTATACAAGGATTTGAGACTCTTAACGACGGGATGGGATTCGCGGATGCGGTAATGACTCGAAAGATGTCGGAAATGTCAGAGGGGCTAGACGGAATCAACATATCAAATTTAATGCAGGCAGATTTGTAAGTCCATTACTCTCGACTCTTCCTCTCTCACCCTCGTAGCTTTGCCTTACTTTAGGTAGAGATCAGCTCTACTTTGACAGAGTGCACGTCTTTGCGCCTGTACTACATCAACGCCGGTATTTCTCCTGGGCTCGTAACATAGCTAAGACGGAAGCTCAATCATGCCTCCGGTATGCAATGTGGACCTTGGCTGCATCCGTGTCAGCACACTATCAGAACATCGGCGACTCCCTATATCGTTGTACCCGGCGGGCTCTCGAGGCCCTCGACTCGAAATGCACAGGTCTTACGATGACTGAAATGGAGCAAGTCCAGGCCTGGCTCCTACTGGCAATCCACGAATTCATGTGCGTCGATTTTAGCAGAGGCTGGATAAGCGCCGGTCGCGCCTTTAGACTAATTCAACTCAACTGGCATCAATACACGGATGGGCCGGACGTAAGCTTGACGCGGACGGATTGGGTCGATGCGGAGCAAATGAGGAGGACATTCTGGCTGGCGTACTGCCTGGACCGGTTTATAAGTGTCCGGAATAACTCGCCCATGACTTTTAGCGAACAGGTAATAGTCAAATATCTCCAGTGGTCTAGTTGGCATCGACTTGGTGCTGACTTACTACCCCCCTTAACTAGAATACAACCCGCCTACCGGCGCCAGAAGTAGATTTTCAGAATGAGCAGCCCACTATAAGCGGATTTCTTTCAGAAGCAATAACGACAAGGGATGCTATATCCACCTCAGCATTTGTCAAATGTATCGTTGTCGCAACCGTCGTCGGCCGAGCCCTCAACCACGGACAACAATCCGTGGTCGATAGCATGTATATTCAGGAGTCGCGAAGCTTCTGGGAACGGCATGAATGGATCAATTCCACGGTGGTACAACAGATGGATGTGTTCAACCAGAATTGTCCCACTGCCGCGCAAGAAGCGGATCCGATGCTCCTTTTTATCAGCATGATGTGGCGAACGACGGTACTCTACATGTATCAACTTATTAAGTCGGTGATACACACCGCGGATGAGAAGAGATCTGTCTTGGCGGATTACACGAGGCAATCTACAACAGCCGCCAAGGAGATTGTGAATCTGACTAATAAATTATCACAATTGAATTCTTTCAAGGCTAGTCTAACCACCTACCCCTACCTCCTTATCACACTATTCCCACCTCCCGTTGGTGTTTGTCAACATACAACATACAACATCCATATACTGACAGTCTCAACTAGGTCCACCCACTTACACCAATACCATTATCGTTATGCGCCGAGTTTTTCGTCACTTACCACGAGCTGGGCGATACGTACGGCAAACAGCTCCAAGAAATTACAGAAGCCATGCACGGCTTAATAAGTTTTAGTAATCTTGGACCGGGTCTTAATTCCTACACCAGGTAAGGAGGAAATCTTGTGTATAGTGTGTATCGCAATCTCAAACTGTATAATTTGACTTTGGTCGTCGAAGTGGGCGGTACATAATAATTTCATGAAGTTTTTTGGATGGGCCATGTTTACAGACAGACAACCCACGCTAGAGTAGAAGAGTCTCGAGACAAAAAGCAAATACCAAGCTACTGTGTTAAGGATTTTATTTTTCCTGTGACTCTTTTTTCTTTCGGCAAGGCAGCCAGGATATCCCCGTTTACAAGACGTTATATTAAGCTCCCCGCCTTACGCCTACATAAGACGAGGATGATTACATCAAGTCCAAGACTCTGGCCATATGGATCAGCCCTAGATCTAATAGATTTAGTAATTCACTGTTTGAATACTAGACTTACAAAAGTAATACTTTATCTTGTGCTCTAGGTTAGGGTTGTAATATAATAGCGCGATTTAATTGCTTTCGTCTACTGATATGATTTGGAATATCTCTAGCTAAAATGCCTCAATTTTCTCGCACTCTACTCCCTGCGATAGTGTAACACTACTTCTACAGCGCCGCACAGCGCGTGGTTAAAGGTTAAACTGCAAGTAAGTCTTACGTACATGGAGGATGAAGGAGTAAGGGGAGAAAAGTAAAGATCTACAGCAAAGCATCAGCTTGGGTTAATCGGTGTATCGGTGGACAGTGGACTAACATCCGGTATCAATCTAAGCGGGCGTCGGTGATGGGGCTAGGTACGCTACTGCTGTGTAACTAACGCTATATTGGTGTATTATGTAGCTAGCGGTTACACTGCAATGAACTACCTAGCTGACTACTAGTCTACCGAGGTAGTTGGACCGGGCCGTTGGAACAAAGAGCCTTAGAGGCATTAGAATGAAAGTTAAACTGTATTATAGGTATACCTATAGGTACCTCTACGCTATGTTCCGATGTAACGTGGTATATGACATAGAACTTGTAGTAACCCGTTCGCGTTATTTTCTATCGATGGATATTAACCGCGATCACTTATAGGTATATCGAAAAGTAAGTTCCGGTGCGGGAAAGCATAATGAGAATAAGATGTAGTTAGAGTACCGAGGTAGAAGAAGAAGATAAGCCGGGGGTATCTCGAAAGTACCTAACCTAACATAATCCGTAAGCAACGTTGTCGTGTACTTCGATGCATTAAAGCCGATCGATCCCTGGGCGGTAGATCTATTTTATCGCTAACAATGTCTTTTCTAACTCCATTCATGCGTAATGTCTCTGTTGCCCAAGCCTCGTATCGTCAACTACACCACATCGCAACTACTAGGTGCTTGGCATGCGGCTCGATCTTGGCTAACACGCCTTACCCTATAATTCCGACTGCTTCTGATGTCTCAAAAAAAAAAAAAGCCTTCGTTTTGGTCCACATGGTCAAGTATATACATTAGGTACCATAGCGGAGGAGGGGGGTTTGGGAGAATGATTCTAAAACTGGAATGGTTCCGTATGGCGCAACGTTTTTGGGTTTTAAGGGCTCTGATTGGTCAGAATTTGGGATTAGTGGGTCCCGGTCCCACTTTTAAAATCTTATTTTACAAAAACCGTTCTACAACCGTAAAACCATTCCATCCCATACAATCGTTCCCATTTTGGGAACGATTGCCCGACTTTTGACTTAGAGAAAAAAAAAATTTTATAAAAATTTCGAAAATTTTTTTTTATTTTTTTCTAAGTCAAAAGTTTACCTTTTCCGAAGTAAAGGTTATAAGGCTTAAAATCGAAAGAATTTCCATTCCGAAATAATTCGATGAGATTGGCCACCTCGTCCCATTAGCTCAAACGTTAAACTTTAAACCTTATAATTAATTGTGGGGTTTTTGGTTACACAAACGCAAGAGCTGTGGGTTCGAGGACCAGTCTTTCTAATTTTTTTGACTTTTTTTACCTTTACCCCACTTTTCCACGTGAAAATCACGTGAAAGTCACGTGAATAGCAAAATCGTTCTATTTTACGAAACTATTCTGCATTTTGGAATCATTCCACGATGTTGGAATGCACTAAGCTGATTCCGTTGTTTCCATTATATGGAATAGTTTCTATATATGGAATCATTCTCCCAAACCCCCCTCCTCCGCTATGGTAGGTAGGTACATACCGCTCTTGGTATTCCATCACCGAGGAAAACCGAGTACCTAGAATAAAAACTGTGGTTTAGGTAACTAATGTGCCTATTGGATGTAGATAGGATAACATCCTAGACCGGTCCGATTCTACCCAAGTAGGTACTTAACTCGTGTATATTTCAAAGTCTACCAGAGGTGTAGCGATATGGCACATGCAGGGCTTGCCCGCATACAATGTAATATCGTGACTTGGGCCTATCACGTGGAAAGAGGCGGAAGCCGACCTGGCCAACATTCTAGAGAAAGCATGTGGGGGGAATTGGGGCTCTATATTCTTGGCTTGAGTTTATTTCATCTATTCAGCTTTACTAATAAGCCATGGTACTATGTGTTATATGAGGCACACATAGCTACTACCCCTTTTTATGCAACAATGCCAATACAACTGCTCGACTCTAATCCCTTTCCCATTAAGAGTAAGTGTGTAGTGTTCGTTCCTATTATACAGTCTAGGAGATATGATTTCCTTACACGATGGAGTTGGAAGGGATGATATAGCAGATAAAACATATGTATCTAGCCGATTCACATGCACGACTATATAATTACATTGCTATACATGCCCCATGCCACGAGGTAGACCAAGAAGCTAAGAAACAACTTGGCTGTTCCGCAAGGAACTCTAACCTAGTTACGGGAGCCTATGGCTATACATTAGGTATTACCAGTGTTCTTTGTTCTAGATATCTCATCTAGATTCCTGACACCCCACATAGGCAGACCAATTAGCAAGACTCAAAGCTACCTACTGTTCTGAAGCAGCAATAATCCTCGGAAGAAGCTGGCTGGTAATGTTCCATAGCTGGGAAGACCCGGTAACTAAGAGTGAACCGGTGTACCAAGTGTTGCGGTAGCCCTGCAAGGAGTATATGTCGCGGTAGATACCCTTACGAATAGCGTCCGCGCTAGCAGTCGGGTGCAGCGGTGTGTGGCTCTTATAAGCTACGAACTGCGGCTCGGCATTCGCATCTGCACCCGCTACCGTCTTCTGCAGGAGCTTGAGCGTGTCGCGCGTCTCCGTCTCCACTTGCTCCTTCGTCAGGTCCGAGAGGGATGTATACCAGTAGTAATACGTCCCCTCTACGTTTGTAGGGTTGAACATTACGACTCCCGGTAAGCTCGCCACGTGGGACTGTGTCTTCTGTCCCCGGTTCACGTAGCTATAATTCGTCGGTAGCCCCAAGTTTGTAACAACTCCTGTGTAGTAGAATCCCCCCTCGAACTGCGATATGATGTTCGTTTCCCGCTCATCTAGGCCGAATGGCTCTAGGTTCTCCAGCACGGGTGGTGCCGAAAACACCAGCTGTTTGGCGATGACACGTTTGCTACCTTCGGGGGTCGATACGCAGAGCCTCACCCCGTCGGCGGGCTTGCTGCCTCGTTGGCCGTCGGTCACGACAGAGTTAAGAAGAACATCAGAACCGAGCTCGGCTAGGGCGTTACTATAAGGCTCAGCCAAATCGCCATTGGCATTGACAATGATCTTGCCCTCGAGCTCTTCTTCCAGCATGACCGTGTTGAGATTATTGAAGACATATAAGGCGAGGATCTTAGTTAAATCACCGGGGACGGCCGGCCTAGAGTACGTGGCGATAGCATCATCGGTAAGATTGAACTGTTCCATGTACTCAGCCCAGGTCAGGAGTAACTCCTCAGGCACTGGGTCGGGCAGCTCGAGGCCATTTTCAAGATAAGGGTACTTGTGGAGTGCCTGGAAGTAGTCTTCATTGAGAGGAGGGATGGAGTAGTTTAAAACAGGTGAGCCATCCGTGAAGTCGATATATAGCGGAATCTTGCTGATGGGGAATGTGCCTCCGCTGACAGTTATATTGAGAAGAGCGAAAAAGGAGCGGGAGACCTCATCATCATGGTACAGTTGCAGGCCGTAATTGATAGGGGTTCCTGTTGTAGGGTCGTGGTACGTGGAGGTGTGACCGCCTAACGCCCCCCGTTTCTCGATGACGATAATTGACTTGCCCTGGTCTTTTAGGTTGATAGCCGCATAGGTGCCTGTCGCACCTCCGCCGACGATGGCGATGTCGCGAGTTATCACCTCGGCGCCTTGACATTGGGCATGAACATTTCTCGCCAACACCGACGCAACAAGGGAGAAGCTGCTACCTAACTTGATCGGCTTCATTTGAAGATGTCTTAACTCGATATCGACTGGGACTAAGAAAGAGAGACGGATGGCTTCGCTAGGAATGTGCAACTAGCTTGGTTCGCGATAGGTTTGGGAGTTTCTAAGATGGATATTCATATCACATTTATAATGCCCATTCATCCCTCAGAACTCTTTAGCAACATATCTTCTTGGAGCGATGCTACCAAGCAATACGAGTACCTGAAAAGCATCTCGGCCGACTATTTTGTCAAGCCTAAGTATCTCCTATCTTGTGCCGCCGTATGCGGACCCGAGCTGACAGTGGGCAACTCGTGTGGCTTGATAGCTGAGACTTGCAATAGATGCAAAAAATAACCGAGTAAGTCTATGGCGTTCGCCGATTCAACGATCAAAGTGGGGGTGGCATTGTGATGACTTAGTTCTGTGGTATGTACGGTGTCACATTGCATCAAGCTGACGAATCTCGAATGTTAGAACATCTATGTCGGATCCTCTTCCTGTTACTTCCGGAAAGCCTCTTCGGTAATTAAGCCTACCGCATATCTAACAAGTTTATATTAATATTCAATAACTATATTTTTATATGATACACATCGGACTTACTTGGCGGTATTGGGAGAAGAAAGGACCACCTGCTTCTAGGTCAAATTCTATATTGTGCTATTTAATCTTGCGTAATTGTGACACGCTCATTGTCATCAGTTAGGCAGGCTTTGTTCGTAAAGTTGGCAGAGTAGCATGGAGCCTGTTGACCGGTCTGGAGAGTAGGTGACACGGCGTTCGTCGGCTGCGAGAGCTCGGATCCGAAACCAGGGAGATGTATCCAGACGCCATTGATCACGGTCACAAGACTGGAAAAAGCATTTTCAATACGCAGTCGAAGCAAGTCTCCTAAATTTCTATGCTGCTTATGACCTTGAAAAATATGAAATACCTATGTGTGATTGTGATAGGATTTTGGCTTGTGTTAGGAACGCATTCTGCAAGATCTGTTACACGAACACTATGTGGCTTTTCAAGATCCTCAGGGTAGTAAACCGGTGTGGCGGATGAACGACATAAGGTCACTTAAGGTCACCGAAACATTTTGGCTAGACCATTGGGATCTCGGGATCTCAGCCTTATAGAAAAACATGCCCTGGTCTCTATGGTTTCTCGCGTAAATTGTTAGATGCTATCAAGCCAGTCATACATCGCATAGCCGTTCCACAAATCATCTGCAACGACAAGCGGCTGATGAGTTACGATTAACAAACATACCAAGTTACGTGAGGAGTATAATATACTATTTTAGTCCGCGAATCTATTTTACATATTGTCTAAGAAGATATGATAAAATATCGTAGCTTCGGGGCACTTTAGGTTCAGCAGAAACATCTCACTATATACCTAGGTAACCTAGGTAAGTATAACTATAACTCATTCCTATGCTCCTCCCTTGCTCTAAAGCTACATACAAAAGCTTAGTGTTATAGTAACACCAGCAAGGGATAAAGAAATGTAAGTCGACATGGATTACGGCGTGTAGTTAGTGTCACAATTATCATGTACCCCAGGATTCCGATACCATGGATCCAGGGCACCATTACTACATACAAGCATGTTTGATATGTGCCTCTCGTTCATATCTTACGAAAATAGTTTTGTGGTAGTTTCGGATGCCAAGTGTTTTGAGCGGTATGAACCCCAAGCTTCTAGTGCGTAGCATTCATAACTTTGTCTATATACCAGGATGGCTTCAGGGGGTATAATTATATTACACGTACCTTACTACCTGGTATGATAGATTGGGATGACGGCAATGCGAACTCGCGAAGCTTATATGTTACTAGTAAACTTGCAAAAAAGATCGTCTTCATAACATGATCAGGTCATAAACTTCAATTCATATTAGGAATCATGATATCTATCTACATAACATAATAGAGTCCGAAGAGCTCTACACACTCAAAGTTTCTATACGAAAATATTCGGGTATTCTTACCAGTTGTGAAACTATAATGCACCACTCTCTGGGCTCTTCGTCACAGCTTGTCTCTTCGCGTACTCCTCAATAGTTCCTTTAATCATACCATCGTAATCAAAACGCCAAATTTTGAGTGAACGGTCGCGAATCTCTTCAAAGCACGTCTCGGCCTTGATCCACTTGCTCTCGTCACCCCATTCGGGCTGCTGATTCAGGTCACACACGCGACGGCTGCTGTTGACGATCCACTGGCCTCTCGTTCGCCGCATCAAATCGAAGACCTCGAATGCCTTGCAAACTGCGGCTTTTTTCTTTGTTGACGCCGACTTATCCCCTCTCAGCGTGTCGTTGACTTGGCTCATTAACGTGCATAAGCATAGCGCGTCTTCAATACCACAGCAGGCGCCGGCGCCATGGTGTGGGCTTGATGCGTGCGCAGCATCGCCAGCCAAGCAGATATTTCCCCTGTTGAAGTAAGGCACCGGATAATCCCACGTGTCGAACACCGCCCACTTCTCAATCTTCTCTGGGAAGTGTTGTATGAGAGCATTAAGACAAGGATTCCAGTCTGCGAAGGCGTTCTCCAGATCTTTCCTAAGTCCCGGTACGACCGTTACCTTGTCGTCTGGCCACTCGTTAGGATCTGGTAAAAAAGCTGTGGCGTTGATCATGGTCTGATTCGCAACCGGGTAGTGGATTAAATAGGCGTTTGGCCCTATGTGATTGTGCTGGTTTCTGGCTTTATACTCCCCTAGAGCCTCGACGGCCTTTTCCATTGGAACTAGGGCGCGATAGGCAACCTTATGGGTATAATGAGGATAAGAAGCCGGATTGTCTTCTCCAAAAATGAGTTCCCTTACTCGCGACTTGATGCCATCACACCCAATCACTTGAACATAACTCCCGGGTTAGTAGCTACAGCCCAGTTTTGGAAGTTTATGTAGATGGATACAGAAGACTTACCAGCGTCGGCTTCCGCAGATGTCCCATCAGCGAAGTTAAGCTGGAGCCTCCCGTTAGGACCTTTCTCTTCGATGTTATTTAGGCGCTTCTTCAGCTCTACAATCTCCTGCGGTATGACCTTTACTAAGGCCTCCAAGAACTGATCACGCCGTGTCCCCTCGAAGCCCCTATAACCCGCATTTAATTTGTAAAGCATCTTCTCGTATGAGGGGTCGTCCTTTCGACGCTTGTTGTAGCCGTCGATCCATCTAAGGTAATCATTTGGGTCGTTCTTATCTGAAGAAGTGGGAACAGAGCCACCCGACCTCAGAGCACTAACGATATCGGGATTCATCAGACTCATACATTGTATAGCATTGGCTGTAAAAGCCATACCGGCGCCTATCTCCCGGAAACCTTTCGCTTGCTCGTAGACCTTGACTTTGACATTATGTTTGATAAGACCAGCTGCGAGGGATAGTCCAATGATGCCACCACCAATGATGGCGACCTCAATCAAAGTATCCTCAATTATTCCTGGCATGATGATAGAGTATGATATAATTGCGCCAGTGAGTTTTGGTTCTGTGAAAGAAATAATTTGATGGGCTTGGATGATAAACGGGGCGGAAGAACACCACGTGGTAGAATGAGGGTTACGGAAACTATATCATAGCATGTCCAGCTTTCCCTTTGCGAAAAAAACGGGTGGTATGGTGGCTGAGTCGCGATATTGGTTCTAATAGTGATGCCCACCTACTGTCCTAGATTGAACCCTTTGCTAAGACATAGTACGTAATGAAGTCTTACGTTAGAAAATATGTGACGGAGTAACTACCTTTCCGCGGCTTATACCGCAGCCGAGCTGTGCATCTGTCAGCTAGCCACAGCTTTACTGATACTAACTTCGCACGGAACAACAATAGACGGCCGTTAGGCTCGCGGCTGATTTCTACTAAAATTCCATATTGCGTAAGGTCAACATCGCCTTTCAATAAACGGCCCCTATATACTTGATATAGATTATACGATTTTTTCTGGTGGCTTCATAATGATCTACCGGTATGGCACAGCACCGGACGGTAGGTAGATCAACTTCGAAGCACCCGAAACCATGTCTAACAGGTTTCAAGGAAAATAGAGTAGGTAAAAGGAAAACGCCGATAAGAAACAATGCGTGGAACGTTCATAACCAGTCCAACACCCTTGGAATCCGGAAACTAGCGTAAAATAAACCGAAATCCTTCTTGGTTGAGTAACTCCTAGAGGATGACACTAACATGAGGGAAAAAGCTCAAATGGTATTACTAGCGGAGTTTTTATCAAACGTATCCTTGGATCCTACCACCTAGGACCGACATTGCAACTTGATACGTACCTAACTATCCACTCTAGCTCATCAGGTTCTCGCGGATATCGTTTCTCTGCCCAGGATCGATCGCGTACAACTTCCCACGTGCTATACCTTATCTTGTGTTGCTCGCTCGTGAAGCCTTGAATGTGGATGGAAGATGGAAGAAAGGAGGTGACTGTTTGCAGCGGTTAACGATTTTCCGCCTTTCATGCCCTCCCCTCTTGCGCGATCTTCAAGCATCCCTCCTTAGCGGGCCATTGACCTACACTTGCAATCCATCAGCACGTACACGTTGTGAAACACAGTACCTAAGATAAGCTGGCAGTTCAATGCAACTGCTTTACCTTTCTCCAGGCCGAAGGTAACGTAGGTTAGTCACAAGCTGAATATGGGGTGGCACTTTATCCGACCTAGCCTTACCATCTTTATCGCCCTACCTTATACCTTATTATATCTATTGCCCGATCTTAGACTCTTCATCCGGGATTTCCAAAACATCTGCGGCCGGGTAGTCTCTTGCTCATTTCCTTACATTATAAAATAGAGACTTCTGTGGTAACACAATTTGACATATTTCGATTATTGTTGGCCAATACTCCCTCACCACCAGGACATATAGGTGTGGCACCTTCATATAGTTATTCTAGTTTCAGACTTAGAATCCTGTATTATTAGATGTGCTATGGACGTGACTGTCCAATAGATCACTCACACGAACGCGGATTTCAACACTTAGTCTGACAATTCCAATTCAACTTTCCTTCAACAACATCCATCGACGACCACCATGATCGATATGGGAGACCGTCGAAGAGGCCCTTTCTCTGGGCCCACGATCCTGCTGTTCGGTCCGCTCGCTTTGTCTTTCAACGAGGTATCTTTCGCCCAGGTTCGTAAAACAGTGACCGATAACGACGAATTCCGGTGGGCTATCGATACCGTTTCCGAATTCCCTCAAATATGGAAGTCTCTCACTACCTTTATTCCCAGCCTCAAGACTGCGTCGGCACTTGACCAACTAGAGGACCTGAGTGATGCCTTTCTAACAGGGCGGCCACTCGAAATTTCCTTCCCTCTTCCGAATAAACTTCTCATCCCACTGGTCATCATCTCCCACCTCACTCAATACGCCACATTTTTGTGTAGCAGAACTGAGGGGCAACATATTGACCCATTCGACGCATACAGATCAGACAGAGAGACCCTCGGACTTTGTACCGGACTTCTGAGTGCCTTCGCTGTTTCTAGTACAGGCAACAAGGAAGACTTTAAGAAGTATGCTGCTGTCGCTGTGCGATTAGCCATGCTAATCGGTACTGTCATCGATGCCCAAGACGAGGTTACCGAACCCTCGAAGTCCCTTAGTGCTATATGGAACTCTGCAGGAAGTGGCGAGGAGCTGCAACGTATTATGGAGAGCTTTCCAGGGGTGAGTCTAACTTTACTCATCACACCAATGGGGGAATCTCCTTACTGTACCACGCTTATCCCTCCCTTTGTGGCTTTGAGTCTAATTTGACGGTCCAGACGTACATTTCCGTTAACTATGACGAGAACCGCGCCACCATCACAACGAAGGCTTCGGCTATTCCCAAACTGCAACAACAGCTAAGGGGTGCTGGGCTTATCGCTTCGGAAGTTGGTCTCTATGGACGCTTTCATGCTGATATCAATATCGAGAAATTGGTTTTACTCACAGAATTTGTCGACACTCACGTCGAGTTCCAGTTCCCAGACGCTACATCAGGCCTTGTACTTCCCACCCGGTCAAACTGCGGAGGCGAACTAATCACGCGGGGTCCGCTGCACCATCACGCGTTACAGTCCATCCTAACAGAGGTACCACGGTGGTTTCAAACCATGTCCACTGTCCGTGACAATGTTCTGAAAAGTAAGGACTCGTACATCTTATCCTTCGGCCCCGAGCGCGCCGTGCCGCCATCACTTTTTCGTGATCTCAACTCTCAGGTATTACATATGGCTGATTCGGAGAGCACGGCTTCGCGATGCGAAGCTTTCTCCGAGAATGATCTACGGCCATTCTCCGATAATGACGTTGCCGTTGTGGGTATGTCGATCAAAGTGGCCGGCGCCGAGACCTTAGATGACTTCTGGGACCTTTTGGTCTCCGCTAAGTCGCAGCACAAGGAAGTGCCAAAAGAGCGTTTTTCTTTCGAAACTGCTTTCCGTGATGTTGACCCCAAGAGAAAGTGGTTTGGAAACTTTATCGAGAACTACGACAAATTCGACCACAAATTCTTCAAGAAGAGCCCTCGGGAAAGCTCAAATATGGATCCCCAGCAACGTCTGTTCTTCCAGTGCGCCTACCAAGCTCTAGAGCAGTCCGGCTATTTTCATTCTCCCGAGCCAGAAAATAATATAGGTTGCTTTGTTGGTGTCTGTTCTCGCGATTATGATTGTAATATCGCTTGCCATTCACCTAATGCATTTTCTGCCACTGGTAATCTGCAGAGTTTCATCTCTGGTAAGGTTAGCCACTATTTTGGTTGGACTGGTCCTGGCTTAACGATCGATACGGCCTGCTCCTCTTCAGCTGTAGCTATCCACCAAGCCTGCCGTGCGATAACCAATGGAGAATGTACCGCTGCCCTTGCTGGTGGCACCAATGTTCTCACTAACCCCTTATGGTTCCAAAATCTAGCCGGGGCATCGTTCTTGAGCACAACTGGCCAATGCAAACCATTTGATGCTAAGGCAGATGGTTACTGCAGAGGTGAAGGGGTAGCTGCAGTATACCTGAAGAAACTATCTGCTGCTGTGGCCGATGGTGATCAGATCCTTGGTCTCGTCGCAGCGACAGGTGTGCAGCAAAATGAGAACTGTACTCCTATCTTCGTCCCGAATGCACCGTCTCTTGCAAATCTTTTCCAGGCCGTTACTAAAAGGGCTCGACTCAAACCCTCCCAAATATCAGTTATCGAAGCCCATGGCACCGGTACCTCCGTTGGTGACCCGGCCGAGTACCACGGCTTACGACAAGTATTGGGTGGCCCTGCTTCTGGGCGGGATGAGGATATTCTGCTAGGATCCGTGAAGGGTCTCGTCGGCCATACTGAGGCCACCTCAGGGGTTGTCTCCATGATAAAAGTTATGCTTATGATCCAGAAGGGGATGATCCCAGCCCAGCCTAGCTACACTTCTATGAACCCAGCCATTGGGGCAACCCCGGCCGATAAAATGAGTATCCCTACGAGTTTACAAAGGTGGGACACCAAATTCCGAGCTGCCTTGATCAATAATTACGGCGCCTCCGGTTCCAACGCTTCAATGATCCTCACGCAATCCCCATTTATCAATACCAAGATAACAAAAAATACCTCAAAGGTTCCGGCCGGTGTTAAGTATCCATTTTGGCTCGCTGGTTTAGATGACCAAAGTCTCCGTCGGTATAGTAAGGCTTTCCGCAAGTTTCTCAACAAAGAAAATTACCCGGCAACGGATTTCTTCCTCTCTAATGTTTCCTTCAACTTGGCCCGTCAGAGCAACAGATCTCTTGACAGGGCGGTCCTATTTAGCGTGCGTTCAATAGAGGAGCTTGACCAGAAGCTAAGTTCTCTGGAGAGAGGCGATTCTGGCATGATAACCATTACTCGGCCTGGCTCCAAACCTGTTGTGCTCTGCTTTGGGGGCCAAGTATCGACGTTCATAGGTTTGGATAAAGGCCTGTACGAAAGGATAGCTGTTCTGCGAAAACATCTAAATAATGTCGATGCGGTCGCTCGTCTGAATGGCGCAAGGAGTATCTTCCCTGGAATATTCGAAAATTCACCCATTAAGGATACTGTCCAGTTGCAGACGATGCTCTTTGCTATTCAATACGCCTGTGCACGATGTTGGATCGAATCGGGGATTAAACCTGTAGCAGTGGTCGGTCATAGTTTTGGTGAACTCACTGCGCTCGCTATCTCGCAGGTGCTTTCACTCGAAGACGCCGTGAAGTTGATAGTGCACCGTGCGACGCTTGTCCGTGATGCCTGGGGTAGTGAGAAAGGTGCCATGATGGCTGTGGAGGCAGACTTGGACGATATTGAGAAGCTACTTTCGGAGTCGAACAGCAGAGTTCCGCAAGAGAAGCCTGCGAGCATTGCCTGCTACAATGGACCACGAAGCTTTACTCTGGCCGGTTCTGTCGCAGCAATTGACGCAGTTGCTGCTACTATCTCGCCGTCGCTAAGGTCGAAGAGATTGAATGTCACAAATTCGTTTCACTGCACCCTCGTTGATCCTCTTATTGAGGCCTTGGAGCAAGTTGGAAAGACGCTTACATTTCGTAAGCCGTCTATTCCCATAGAAAGAGCTTCTGAGTTCCCCGATCAGGAGAGGTACACGGCCAAGTTCATTGCTGATCATATGCGTCATCCTGTCTATTTTGGCCATGCCATTCAGCGACTCTATAAGCAGTACCCATCTGCCATTTTCTTGGAAGCTGGTTCCAACTCCACCATTACCTCTATGGCGAGTCGTGCGCTTAGTAGTCCCGGTGATATTCACTTCCAAGCTATTAACATCACGAACGGTGATAAAGCGTGGGATAACCTAGTTGATGCGACCGTGAACTTGTGGAAGGCTGGTGCGGCTATACAGCACTGGGCGCACCAGACTGCCCAGACGAAAGAGCATTCTCCCCTTTTACTACCACCATACCAGTTTGAGCAAGCAACTCACTGGCTAGAATTTAAGGTGCCTCCCAAGACAACCACGGCTTCCCCGGCACATGCGACTGATCCGGAAGGGGGGAGGCTCCCAGATAGCCTCCTAACCTTTGTTGGTTATCAGGATAGTAAGAAACGGGTTGCCAAGTTTAGGGTGAATACCATGATCCCTAAATATGAGAGACTCGTCGTTGCCCACGTTATTGCGCAAACTGCGCCCATCTGTCCAGCTACCGTGCAGCTTGACCTCGTCATTGAGGCTGTTCGTGGTATCCGATCGGAGCTGGAAACAGCTAAATTGGAGCCACAGATACATATCGTACAAAACCAGTCACCCATTTGTATTAACCCAGCACGGGCTGTTTGGATTGAGTTGGAGGAGGAAGGAACAAGTAAGAGTCCATCCTGGAACTTTCGGGTCTTCAGCACGGACATGCCTCAAGGAGCTGCCAAGACTCTGCATACGACGGGTAGAATTGCCTTCTACTCAACAGAGGATTTGACATTGAAGCTGGAGTTCGCGCGTCTTGAGCGACTTATTGGACACGCTCGCTGCGTTGAGCTGTTGCGGAGTGGTAATGTCGACGAAATCCTATCGAATAAAAACATATACAAAATATTCTCAGAGGTTGTTGACTACGGAAATGACTATCGCGGCCTCCAGAAGTTGGTAGGCTGTGGAAACCAGTCCGCCGGTCATGTTGTTAAGAAATACAATCCTGAGACCTGGCTTGATGCTCACTTGGCCGATAGTTTCTGCCAAGTTGCTGGTATTTTCGTTAATTGTATGACGGACAGAGCCTCATCTGACATGTACATTGCCAACGGCATTGAACAATGGATTCGCTCCCCTAAACTTCGTCTTGGCGATGCACGACCGGACAGCTTCCACGTGCTCGCAACTCATCACCCTTCAGACAAGCAGTACCTCACCGACGTATTCGTCTTCCATCCTGACACCGGCGCACTGCTGGAAGCTATCCTCGGGATTAGTTACGTCAAGATTCCCAAAGCCTCGATGAGTAAGCTCCTTTCGCGTCTTACCGCCGGAGGTGCTACAGCTGCTGCGCCATCCGAGCCAGCCAAGGTCGCGTTGTTCGAAGCTGCACCTACGGAGATTGTTCCACCGGATCCGGTCTCTACGAAGGGGTCCAAGCCACAAAAGGTGAACAAGCAGTCGCCTAAGTCAAGTATAGTTCCTAAAGTCAAGGAGATTTTAGCTGACCTGTCTGGTCTCGAATTGGATGAGATCAAGGACGATAGTCAACTTGCTGACCTTGGTATCGACTCTTTAATGGGTATGGAGATGGCGCACGAGATCGAGGCGGCTTTCAAGGTCACGTTGCCTGAAAGCGAGCTTATGGGGATTGTCGATATGCCTGGCTTGATTAAATGTGTGCAGAAGGCAGTAGGTGGAGATGCCGCCAGTGATATAAGTGAGCAAAGCGAAGATGATACTTCCAGCGACAGTGATGCCAGGTCGTGTAGCATTAGTGAAACATCGTCGGGGCATCCAACCGGTCTGACAACTCCAGCAGCTGATTACGACAAGGATTCATACGACGTTCTTAGTGCATGCGATGACGAGCTGAAGCTTCCTTTCGCTACGGTTATGCAGGCCTTCACCGAAGTGAAAGCTCTTACAGATGACAAAATCGCCGAACACGGGCAGGCCAACTATTTTGACACGGTGATGCCATTGCAGACAGATATGTGCGTCGCACTCACACTCGAGGCATTCGATCAACTCGGACAACGTCTTCGCGAGGCGAAACCGGGAGACAAATTGCGCCGAATTTCCCATCCGAAGGAGCATGGCCGTTTAGTCGACTATCTCTACCTAATGCTGGAGAAGGAGGCTCACATTATCAATGTTAACGGCGATACTATTACCAGAACTGCCACGGCAGCGCCGGCAAGGCCGAGTAAGGAGATTCTACAGGAGTTACTAGCACGCTTCCCCGATCAGGAGACAGCCGATAAACTTACATTTTACACTGGATCAAACCTCGCAGAGGTCCTGAGTGGAAAGACCGACGGTATCAAATTGATCTTTGGTACTCCTAAGGGGCGTGAACTCGTCTCTGGCTTGTACGCAGAATGGCCTTTAAATCGGTTGTTCTACAAACAGATGGAGGACTTTCTTGCAAGACTCTGCTCGAAGCTTAATATGAATGAAGGCCCGCTTAAGATCCTTGAGATGGGCGCAGGTACTGGAGGTACAACCAAGTGGCTCGTCCCCCTCTTAGCCTCGTTGAACGTGCCAATCGAGTACACATTTACCGATCTTGCACCGTCATTCGTAGCCGCCGCACGGAAGAAGTTCAAGCAGTACCCGTTCATGAGGTTTAGAGCTCACGATATCGAACAGGCGCCGGCCGATGATCTAATTGGAACTCAGCACATTGTTATTGCTAGCAATGCTGTTCATGCCACACATTCTTTAGCTGTTTCCGGAAAGAACATCCGCAAAGCACTACGACCTGACGGGTTCCTTATGATGCTTGAGATGACTGGTACATTGTATTGGGTCGACATGATCTTTGGATTATTCGAGGGTTGGTGGTACTTCGACGATGGGCGCACTCATGCCGTCACACACGAGCTTAGATGGGAAAAGGATCTGCAAGCCGTTGGTTATGGACACGTCGACTGGACGGATGGGGATCGACCAGAAAATAGATGCGAGAAGCTGATTATCGCGATGGCTTCGGGTGAGAGGTGCGAACGGTCCCCAATTCCCTCCTCTTTACCTACTAAGAGCCTATCAGCTGACCTAGTGGCACGACAAACAGTAGTCGATAGGTACGTTCGGGACTTGACAGATGGCTTCTCGGCTGGTCTCGAGGATGCATCGTGGTCCCGTGTCTCGAAAACGAGTCCTAGTGGGAAAACAGTGTTGATTACGGGCGCAACTGGTAGCTTGGGATCACACTTAATTGCCCAATTCGTAGAATTAGCAGACGTCACTCGCGTTGTCTGCTTAAACCGACGCAGAGGAACCGACCCAGAAGAGCGTCAGAAACAAGCCCTCATCAAAAAGGGCATCTCCTTATCCGACAGAGCTATCAGTAAGCTAAGCGTCTTCGAGTCAGATATGTCAAAACCAAATCTCGGCCTACCTGTCGAGGACTACGAAAACATTGTCGATAGCGTCACTCATATTGTCCACAATGCGTGGCTTATGAATGCGAAGTGGCCACTTCGTAATTTTGAGACGCAGTTCCAAATCATGAAAAATCTCCTCGACCTTTCCCGCGAGATTTCTATTCGGCGCGCCCTAGGTACCAGAGTTACCTTCCAATTCATTTCATCCATCGCTACTGTTGGTCACCGACCTATCTGGTCAGGCGAGCCAATAGTTCCCGAGGGACGCATGACGATCGAGTCGGTGTTGCCTACAGGATACGGCGATGCCAAATACATATGCGAGCTGATGCTTGATGAGACGCTACACAAGCATCCTGATCGTTTCCGCGCTATGGTCGTCCGACCAGGGCAAATAGCAGGTTCGAGTATAAGTGGTTACTGGAATACTATGGAACACCTTTCTTTTTTGATTAAGTCTTCTCAGACGCTGAAAACGCTGCCGGATTTCGATGGCCTACTATCTTGGACACCGGTTGATGAGGTCGCTGGCACGCTTGCTGATCTTGTTCTTCTCCCCGAAGATAAGACGCACTACCCTATATACCACGTTGAGAATCCAGTTCGTCAACCATGGAAGGAGATGACTCTCATATTAGCTGATGCTTTGAACATACCACAACAAGATATAATTCCTTTCAGAGAATGGGTGCAACGCGTTCGGGAACACCCCAGACAAATTGAGGGGCCCGAGGGCGAGAACCCAGCGTTCTTATTGATCGATTTCCTAGACGATAATTTCTTCCGCATGTCCTGTGGCGGCCTCTTACTTGATACCATTAAAGCTCGAGAGCACTCGAAAACCTTGGCAAATACGGGACCCGTTAGTGAAAGTGTAGCCAGGAGATTTATTCAGAGCTGGAAGGATATAGGGTTCCTAAGTCGATGAAATGATTTCTCATGTAAGAGCTGGCACTCTGGGTGTTGTAGAATAGTACATATAGGCAATTTATAGTTTCATTTCTTGTTCCGCTTTCATGTCTTTCGCAAAATCGCGATTTTCACCTTTTGGTGTAAATAAACTCCCATATCCAATGAATTGTTGTATTTGTTATTGTGGTTTGAAATTATGCGGACAGGCGGGTTTCCATTTGACGTCCGAAATCTCCACTCATTACACGCAGGTACGAAAGGTACCTTAGGTACCTGTACCCTGTACCCTGTACCCTGTATGTACCTCATGTATGTACACTTACCTCATCACGTGAAGCAAACTTTCTCGTGCATTTTTCGGGATTCAGGCAATCACAGCTGAGGTTGATCTTCGGTAATAGCTACCCCCACCTTGGCAGCTTAAGTAATTCTGTTGATTGGGTGACGCGGATTTGCGATTTTTGATTGACAGCACGCTGGAGTGATAGAGCCATCGCCGCGCCAGCGACATCAATTTCCATTTTCTTTCTTCCTTAACCAAAATAAAAATCCACAAGTCAAACGTCCCATTCTATCCCGCTGTTTCCGCAACCCAATACTCAGCTTCTACCGTTCCTTCGTCCAAAACGTCCTCTTGCATCATTTATATTTTTCTTTCCGACACGTTTTATCGCGTCTTCCATACTACTAATTAATCCTTATACCTAAGTAGACATGGGTGAATCTCGGTGAGTGATGACCTCACATCTATTAGGCACCCTTAAGTCCTAAAGTGGTAGTTCCTGACTGACGCTCTATCGCTCCTATGTAGACAAGAGCTGGTAGCATGGCTGAACAGCCTTCTTCAGCTAAATATCACCAAAGTTGAACAATGTGGTACTGGGTAAGAATATCCTTGCGCTTTAATATTTACCCCTCCCCCGCCAAACAATACCCAAGCTATATAGGAGAGGAAAACAATCGGTCATAACCTTGCTATGAGTGGTGTTGGATATTACCAACGCAAGATTTGAGCTAATCTTATATCCCTTGACTTTTATAGTGCCGCTCTCTGCCAGGTCTTCGACAGCATCTTCCTCGATGTACCTATGTCGCGTGTCAAGTTCAATGTCAACACCGAATACGCCTACATCCAGAACTTCAAGGTCTTGCAAAGTTAGTTTCCCCCTTTTTCTACCTCGGCCATTTTTCGGCCTGTATCGTATCTAAAGACTACTATTATCATGAAGCCATTCATGTACTAATTTTCCTTGTTTCTAGACACATTCGCCAAGCACAATGTCGACAAGCCCATCCCTGTCGAAGCCCTCTCCAAATGCAAGATGCAAGATAACCTTGAGTTCTTACAATGGACCAAGCGATTCTGGGACCAGTATTATCCCGGTGGAGACTATGATGCTGTCGGACGAAGAAAGGGTGCTCCCCTTCCTGCCGGTGGCGCTGCTGCGCGAGCTACTGGGGGCGCCGGATCAGCCGCGGCACGAAGAGGTGGTACAACTCCCACGACCGGACCCCGCGTACCCAAGGCTGGTGGCGGTGGTGCCGCTTCAGCTGCCCTGATCCAAGAGAACGCGACATTGAAGGAGACGGTTGTCGGTCTCGAGCGCGAGCGAGACTTCTATTTCAGCAAGTTACGAGATATAGAACTCTTGATTCAACAGGCTGTCGACGAAGACCCCGAGATCGAGAAGCAGGAAGATGGACTCATCAAACAGATCCAGACGATACTATACTCGACCGAGGAAGGCTTCGAGATCCCCGCCGAAGGAGAGGCACTGGACGACCAGGAGACGTTCTAAAGCCTGCAAGAGTGACAAAACAACAAGAAAGTGATAAATAGTCATCGCCTGGGAGTTCGGTAGATGGCCATGAATTAATATTGGAGCGGCTGGTATGGTGAGCCGAAATGGACAGGACGATGCGAGCGCTAAAGAAGAGATGCATCTAGAACGGTGTCATTAAAAAGCCCTCGGTTCTCTTATTCAGTTTGCATCATCACAGGAATGGGATCCCGGGTTCCTGACAGTACTAGAAGACATTGTCCGCTCTAGACTAATATACCCGCTTGACTCAAGGGTGTGATGCCTAGAGATTTGATGATAGATATTAACACAGACATTTTTTTTTCTTGTGGAAGGTATTTGTTCACGTATTTATTCACCTAATTACTTTATTTCGTACCTAATCTAGTAGTATTCCTACATATGTACTTTACCTATTCTAAGTTGCGACCACCCCCCTATAATAAGGTTACCTAGCTGCATATCTCGGCCAACCTCGTAATAGGTACCTGCCTGTTATTGTTGCGACTTCCCTGAGAAACGCGATTACTGTGAATTTCTTATGATTGAGGGTTCTGCCTAAGGTCGTTCTTCCTATTAGCAACTTTCTATAACATTATTATGGTATCTCTTCCTCCACGGATACAAAAACTTAGCTACAATTTTTTTAAGCTTCTTCCATTTTAACTCCCCGATGGATCGCAACGTGTGACATCACCATTAGCACCGTCGCTACAATGGCGCCGACAAGTTACCCCAAAGGCACGAGTAACGCCGAAGCTCGCAAGACTGTAGCACTTGCGCCTATGGCGAAACATGCTTTGCAAAAGAATACTCATCCGCAGCGAAGTTCTTTGCGTAGAGCTGTTCGAGAAAGTCTACTTGACTTATCAGCCGTAGCAACTATCACTACTCCTCCCCCTAGTTCTCAGGCACTATTTCTCCCTTCGCCGTCATCAACACCATCTACCTCAACATCACGCATTAATGCCACTACACAGCGCAGCTCTTTGCGTCGAGCACTGAAAGAAAGCTTGCGTGATGTCACCGCTATCAGTACTGTCGCCACGATAACAACCACTTCCCCACCAACTCTATCGCCAACTCTATCGCCAACTCTATCGCCAACACCGCCAATAACTCCTAGATTCATGTCAGCCAGAAGCTCTACTCCATCGTCACCATCTTCGCTAGTAAATATGCTGGAAACACCCGTGACGCCTTCCTCGATATCGCCGCTGAATTCTACTACTGCCAGATCGTCACCTGATTCGGCTTCAACTCCCACTTCCCTCTCCTCATTGCAAAGTAACAGGAAGTCCACAATATTGCAGAAGCAGCACCTGAGGTGGCTAGGAAGAAAGCTCGAGTGTTTAGATAACAAGGAAAGCGACGGTTCGGGACGCACTGGGATTGATAACGGAGATGAGCGCAGTGAACATCCTGAAGTGGTGGACAAGACTGATATTAATGGTATCCCTACATCCCGCAAGGGCTGGTACCGCGTGCGGTCCATCATCACCGAGGCTCACGACCGAAACGGTCATCTCATCTACTTTGTCGACTGGGAGGGTCATGACCCTCGCACTGGAATCGGCTGGCCAGGATCCTGGGTATGTTTGCTTTTATCTACCAGACTTCGATTTCCCTTTGCTACAACATTTCCAATGAACCTGGCTGAGAATAAACAACAATATAAAAACTAACGCAGATATGATATTTAGGTTAATTCGAAGAATGTCTCAGAAGCTGCAATTCGTGAGTGGCAGGACAAGCGAACCAAACAGGATCCTGATAAGAAGATGGTCTTATAATGACCAGGAAGCAAGGAGAGCGAGGGACAAACCAATGCGCCAGCCTACTTGCACCATCACCAAGCAATGTCCATTTCGATCATGCTATCCATCTCTTGCTCATTAGCTAACCATCGAAGCCTGAAGCCGAGATACGACGAGAGGGGGGATTTATCGAGACGCAAAATTACTACGTATCTCCGAGTAGCCAGAAACTTTGCATTTCTTAGTCGAACGGACTAAACCAGTTAGCATGAAATATGCTGCTGACGCATGTAAGATTATGTATATAAAATTCCTAGCAGGCAAATTCGCCAATAAACTGGCAAAATTATTAAATCATGTATATCAAATAATTGCGACTGTACCTACTAGACAAAAAGGCTTTTACGCGCACATGTGACGATTGCTACCTTTAATGCCAACTCAAGGGTTAGCCCGTACCCACCAATGAAAAGGTTTACTTTACTGGCAACTCATCAGGGGTAAGACAAAGGGGTTGAAGACTCCTTAGACAGCTTCCTGTTGGGTATCTATACAATGAGGCTACATCTATCCTGAGACCGAATCGATGGACTACCTTCATATGAGGAATTGTGACATCAGGAGGGATTATCGGGATTGCCTCCCTCTAAAGCGTAATGTAGATGTTTCCCAGAGCTCGAAGTATTCCTCCTTGAAAGATATTTTCTAAGATTTTACGCTTGATATGATAGTAGCTGACTTGGTTGTAAACCCTGCCGTCAGAGACGTCAAGAATCAGACTAGGATCTCCATTGCCACTATCTAGCCTCTGATGCCCTATGCTATGGTGTGAACTTCGTATATTACAGTTATGCCTTGGTTTCTGGTAGACACCTTCACAAACGAACATGCCTCGCAAAGGTTCGATCTACCTGCCAGCCTCATTAGGAAAAGTGTAAGGGATGTCCACATCATCCAAGAATGGTTCTTATTGGCGGGACACAAACTATCGGCTTCCCGATTCGGTGGTGATACCCCGTTCCCGCAAACTTCTCCGGTAAGATATATAGATCCTAGATCCAACTCGGACGAAAACCCGCAATCCCGAATTTGTATATAATTCAGTGTCTTGTGCAGGATCTTGACTCGTTTGTTCGCGCAACGCCCTGTTGTGGGTGCGGCCCACGCGGCTATGGACTCGGATCCCGACTACGATTCGTGGAAATACCTACCGTTCGAGCTCGGGGAATGCGAAGACCTCGAGAACTATGAGCCGGGAGGCTTCCACCCGGTGCACCTCGGTGATGTGTACGATAGGCACTACCGAGTCGTCCACAAGCTCGGGTTTGGCGGCTTCTCCACCGTCTGGCTTGCTCGAGAAACCATCACGAATCGATGGGTCGCCTTAAAGATCGTTGCCGCTAGAGAGTCGCCTACGTACGAAGACCGTTCCGTGATTGCGAGAAATCCTAGCATTGCCGGGTCCCGTCTTTTTGTCACGGTTGACCGGCAGTTCTGGATCGACGGTCCAAATGGCCGACATCTTTGTCTCGTGTTACCGGCTCTGGGCCCGGACTTGTCTAAGCTTTCTAGGGGTATCTACTCAAGAGTAAACCCAGCGTTTGCCAGGGAGGTGTCTCTCCAGGCAGCCCGAGCTCTTATACAGCTCCATTTGAATGGGCTTTGTCACGGAGGTAAGTCAATCAGGTTGGACACAGACAGGCTCAGGTGCTAACTCAGTAAGACTTCACTGTGAGCAACATGGCATTACGCCTCATTAATGAGTTTGATTTGTACGAAGAGGACTACCTATTTGAACTTTTTGGACGTCCTCAAACCGCACCCCTCCGAACCTACTCCGGGGATCCTCCAGGACCTCACGGACCCAAATACATTGTGGTCCCCTTAGACTTCTGCTCTTCTGCTACCAACCTGCTCAGCAGCGAAATCTGCATCATCGACTTTGACCAATCATTCACAATCACAGGCCCGCCGCTGGAACGGCCTGGGATACCGGCAAAGTACCTAGCACCGGAAATCGCGGTCGGACGACCCGCAAGCCCGGCTTCGGACATCTGGGCCCTGGGATGCGCCATCTTTCGGATCCGGTCGGGTGACGACCTCTTCTTTGACTATGATACTGACACCCCGACCGACGCGCTTAGGCAGATTGTTAAGGCCCTAGGCGAGCTTCCTGAGGAGTGGAAGCAGACTAGGTTTGACGAGGAGGGGGTCGCCGTTGCAGATGGAGAGAGGGGTGAGTTATTCTGGAGTTTGGAAGAGACGCGGTCGTTGGATGACCGGGTACGAGGCATTATTGATGAGCCACTTGGTCTATTCATAAACCGTCTAGGAGAGGCGGTTAACGCCACAGATGAGAAGCCAGGGGCTGCCATGTTCGACGATGATGCCGCGCTCAGGGAACCCTACTCGCCCGCGTTAAGCTCGATCGTATGGAAGCCAACGGCGGTGTGCGTCGCCGGGACCTACTTCATAGCGTACTCGGATGAGTTGGATGGCATACTCGAAGCGTTCCCAAGGATATCAGAACTCGAGGCGTCGTTGCTAGTCGACCTCTTATCGAAAGTCTTCACGTATGATCCGGCGACGCGGCTTAAAGCGGAAGAGTTGGTTACGCACCCTTGGTTCTATTTAACTGTAACCTCTGGATCAGAGATCGATTCAAAACAGCTCGGTAACCGATGTCAAGGGATCCCGATAGAATGAAATAAATTTATACTTGTATCATCAAACCGCTTCGGCTGCTTTCTAAGCATGTTTTTCACTCAGTCAATGTTTATTTTATTCTAAATAACATGTTCAATATCTCCATATAAAACCTTTTATAACCCTTTCATTTCATTTTAGGTCCGGCTTGGAAACATCGGTGCTTAATCGCGATTGCGTAAAAGATCTTCCCCATGGGGATCTTGATCTCGAAGCTTGGCAAGATGACTACCCCAGAACTAACGATTCAACAACAGGGAGCAAGATTTCGCTCATTAGCTAATCCCCAATTCGGGACAGTTGCTTTCATTAGCACTCCTCCTCCTGTTAAGTTGCATAGTCCCAGTGGTCTGGATGAATGCAGCTATAGGTATAGGGGTATATTCCCTCTGTTAAGCTTGTTGGACCAGTGGAGAGGGGGGACAAACCGTCGCGTTCCATGGTACTATTCAGAACGAACGCTACGCTAGACCGGCAGTACGAATACGGAGCAGAAACATATATGTAATAAGCACGATTATATCTAGCTAGAGACCATCTCCTTTTCCTGGTATATGCACTGCGATGTACCTACCTATATGTGTCCAACCGCAGCTAAAAGTAGTAGTGGCAGGCTGCGAGGTGACCTTTCTAATCTGTAAGTCTGTCACATTCGCTTCGTGCCAATAGCTGGAGAGGCATGGGTTCGGTTGGAAGAAGGTCGATGGAAGCGAAAATGGAAGATTCCCCTTTTAGAGACTGGGATCCCGAGGGTCCATTCACCCATTTCTTATTTTCTTTTCCGTTCTCTCTTTTTCTTATTGTACTCCTTTTCCGACCGCGTGACCTTTGAAATTTTACCCTCTTGGAAGTGATGCTGACGACTAACGTGCTGACGATTGGCTCCTTCGGGAAGAACCTAATAGCAATTCATCAATTGGCTTGGAGTCAGTAGAGATTCAATACGCTAAGAAGCGTGTTCACATTTGACTGGCATTCAATATAGTCTTCTTATTCTCTCGGTTCGCTCTGGCTAATACAGTATGTATGCAAGACATATGTGGTCACCTCAATTCATTCTCGTTAACGTCTAACCTAGAGTAAAGACATTGGAATTGGGGGATAATATAAAAACATGTAGTATTAACATCCCCGCTCTTTGCTCCTTTCAAAAGATGCTCCCCGTTCCCCATCACCCCCGTCACCCCAGATCTATTCTCATGCCCACTTATACCCTAGAGCTTAGGCATGGGTTCAATTTAGTGCTATCCTGGCATTGATACATCATTGAGCTTGAGCGTGTTCTCGATGTTAGTCGTTGATTCGCCAAATCCTAGAGCGCTAGAAACAACTGAGGTCTGGGTCGTAAGGGAATAAGAAACGTGGTCCCCAGACTGCCTACTGTATTTCCGCAAGGTACTACCGAACACATAGCTACTACATAGGTTGTCAATCTACACACTTATAGCGTGACATTGGTTTTTATAGAAACAGAAATGTCGATCGTGTTCACATTTATACTTGATTTAATTGGCTACGAGCCCGCTATTAATATATCCTTTTTGCCTTCTTGAACACTGTCTACCTACATAGTGGTACCCGTACAGAATCTTGTGCGGAGCCCCTGGCTCTCCCAGCAGACGGGATTGACTACTAATCCTGGCATGTGGATATACTGCTGCAAATAGTAGCTGAATGCTATGTGCTGCTGCTTATTCGAGGCACAGCATCACATATGACGATATTCCGCTGTTTGCCTAAGCCGAGAATGATAAAAGTACCATGCCGTAAGCTTATGTCTTCGTGACGGCGAGGATTGATGGGGTAGTATGTGGGGAAAAGAAAAAAGGACGGGCCTCGGCAGGGCTACATATACAATGTAGTAGTAGAAGCCCAACCAGTAGACGATCCCGAGTTTGCTCTCTGGCAAACTCCGGGAATCAGCCCGCTCGGAATGTCTCCCTGTCTCCGTACTGTACATAGACATCATATTCCCAAAGAGGGGAAAATGAACATCGAGCTGTCTATTACGTACAATTGGGCCTGGTTGTTGCTAGGGAAAAGGATATGGGGAGAACAGTAGTTAGCATCGTTACCCGTTCGTGCGTCTTGTCCCGTGCTTGCAGAGAATTAGTCGTGGCTAGATTCGGTGAGTCTAATACCAATTTGTTGACCGTCTTGTTCCATTACGATATGGGTTATGGCTAGCAGCCATACCAGTAATATAAGAGGCGCACTAATAAGAAAAAGGTGCTGACAATCTCACCATGAATTCTACATACCTACCTAATACGTATGTAAATCGTATGTGAAGCAACATGCGGTCTCCTAAGCTGCTCCTGAATGATTCGTGTGTGAATCTCAACTTTCAACTTTCACCATAATTGTTAGGGTTCGGCTTTCGCAATGTCTATATCTCTTAAAGCCGCGCGTTGTACAGTACAATATGGACGGATGTGACCTCGGGTTACCTGCCCATGCCTATTCTATTTCAAGTCCCTGCATGCGTACCACTTTGTACCTCAATATTTTATTACTTGTGAGCGAAGAGGGAAAAGAAGAAGAAAAAAAGACGTGTCACCAATAGAGAAATGGAACATCGGGACTACCTATGTCAATTTGGCGCTCGTTGATGATTGATTCCCCCCATCGTACGATTTTGGCTCTCGCATTCCTTCTTCTGAGATCGATCCCCGGCTCTCGTTTTCTTTATTTCAGCCACTCACACGGCGTCCTTAACCTCACCCACATGATTCGGTCTTCACGTGTATGATACTCCAGAGGCTCTCTCCGGCAAACTAATCCCTGCACTCTACATACATACATACTTGCCTATTCACACCTTGTTAGGGTCCTGCCAGTCGAAACTCCTCAACTTCGAACAGCGAACAGCCGCTCTCCCACCGGACGAGGAAACCCTCGCTAGCATCTGTCATCTGACAAGCCACCACCATACCTAACCCATCATCTGCTGACGCTGACGACGACGACTTCGGTCCTTCTTAATTGACAATCTGCTTAAGGCCGTACCATATGTGATATGTACATACATAGCTATTTTTTCCCCCATTGAATTTCGCGAAAGGGACTAAACTAACAGAACTAACAGTCCTAGTTCATCACGATCCTAGCTAGCTAGCCACCTACGTCCAATTCATATGTACGAAGTACTCTCTCTCTCTCTTTCCCTCACCCATGTCCACAGGATCTGCGCCTCGTGCCACTTGCAGCATGGCCCCAGCAATAGCCTAGGATAGGTAGGTAATTCGTAGCTAATACCCTGGGATACCTAAACAAGCCCAACTAGCCTAATGCGTACACTAGAACTGCACGTAGCATTCGTAGCTCGAAGCCAAAGCAGGAAGAGGGAAACACAAGACGCACACATACGACATACGTTCGGTACCAACTGTCGGGATCTTCCCGCCCCCGAAAATACCTAATCCACCAGCATTATTTATGTATGTACTAAGATTGCTTTCCCCGGGTTTAACGCAGGCAACGATCTTCAGCGTCCCGTCCCTCTCTTATTAAGCCGCCGCCTAGCCAATCTCGCCGGTTCGGCGCATTCTCCTTCCCATCACTCTCCATATAGTTACAATACACGATACACCACTATTTCGTATACCCTCAACGGATATAGCATAATAAACTCGACGTTGACAATTTTAGGTATCTAACTTACAGGAACCAATACTGGCCTTTACAGAAAAAGACACCGTGCCTCGGCTAGTACCCCCGTCCAGCATCGTCCATATTTCGAGTTTGATGAAGCGTCACGGTCTGCAATATCTTGGATTCTCTCATCCACGGCACATCTACATTAATCATACATCAATACGTTTATTAAGGATTAGCTGCAGTGGGTACATCGAACTGCATAACTCCTTAGGACCTCATATATCCTTAAGCACTACGACGGCACAGAGGACTACCTACGCGATCATGACACACTTCCCAACCTGAGCTAGATCCCTTTCCTCCTCTCTTCGACATCATCCGTGTTGATTACCCATTCAACAGCATTCAACCCCCTCGTTATAGTCACCGGAGGGTTTTAGCACCAGCCGAGTAGGGTTACTATGGTCGTTAAGCTAGACGCGCACCAGACGTCCTTGGAGCCCTTTGGACTACCCTGGTCCTCTCGCCACGCGCGCCATTCGGATGATGATCCGGGCCTAGGTAATAGTAGCAGGTCGCGCTACTTTCGGATCAGTGCATCGGCGCCCAATTCACCGCCAAGCATTGTCCGGATACTCAAGGCCGGGGTCAACGGTGGTAGTGGGAGTGAGACGAGCAGTGAAAGCAAGAGTCAGGATCATGCTAACCGCAGAGTTGCTAGCTCAAGCTCTCGCTTGACGAAGATCCAAGTCGAGCTTCAGCCATGCAGGTCTCAGGTTTCAACTGCGGTGTTATCGACGGAGGGCCGACCGAAGCCTAAGAAGGCGAACTCTGCCCCGGTGGTTTTGCAATCCCAGTCTGGGACCGGCGAGGAAGCCCAAGAAGAGCATGGTATTGATGTGCCCCCAACATCTCGGATCAACTCACTTCGACCCCCGGTAGCAACGACGTTAAACACCGTAGTGCCAAGTGGAGAAGGAAGGGAAAGGACGGTATTCTGCTTCCCCCGTGAGGCGTTCGCCTCATCGTCCCTTGCCCTTCGCCCTCCTAAGCGGGGCCGCGCATTGCACGATGTTGACGGGCCTGGAACAGGTAGTCTTCCGTGTAAGAAGCGGCGGTTGCGATTGCACCTTGTAACGAGTAGGCTTTCACTGCCATTTTCGTGGCCGGCGACGCACATTCTAAACCGCGAAAGCGGCGACGACTCGCCCGTGCTCAACCGATTCCTCAAGCTCGCCGCCATTGGCTCTCTAAAGAGAGCCGGTCACCAAAGCGCACTAGTCCGCAAGGCAGCCATTCTCAATAGGGTGAGGATTGGTATACGGCAGGCCGCTGTACTGAGAGGCCACACGGTGATCGCGGGAATGGCGGCTAGAGGAAACTCGCTGAGCCACGGTTTACAGCTAGTGACGACGTCCAATAGCTCAACAGGAGCCCGGTTCCCTGGTCACGCGCCTAACCCTTACGACCACCCAATACCTCCAGCGTGGCGGCCACATACAACATCATTCCACCCCTCGTCTTTTAGTTCAAGCCCCCTAGACCGGGGAAATTCCATAGATAAAAAAGGTAGCCCCGAGAACAGGAGTCCCAGCCCAGCGGCGACTTGCCCATCTCCACCACCGCGACCGAGTGTGCAGCCGAACCCACCAGATCCACCACCACCACCACAAGTGGAAGATGATGATGTGGCATTCCCCTCTCCAGACCTTGAGACTCGATATGCAGATTTTTCGGATGATGATTTAGATGACGTATATGCTGACTTTGGAGTACTATTTGGCTCCGGTACACGGTCACCTGAGGATGGCAGTGGAAGTAGTGAAACAACTGGTAGTGCACATTTCTATGAGGAATACTTGGATGAGCTGGATGGAATACGATGGATAGCGTAAGGTACTACGCATGGGTATTTGAACCGTTAGCGACTTGCATGATAGGTATATTCTTTGGGCGATCACCAGAGATTGGGCGTTTTTGTAGCTGGATGAAGGGAGAAAGGTTGGTGTCAGGGTATCCGGCAAAGGAAATAAGGAAATAACAGGGAAATGATATATCAGATGCATCGTCATTAAGCATACCGCAGCCTCACGGCAGCTTCGGATGATCAAAATTCATATAATATGCAACAAGGAAATAACCTATGTTGTAAGGCATATGCGACCAGTAACTTGTCATATACTATGTTCCCTATGATGATAGACGATTAGTAAATAACTAATTCTTCTCAGTGATTTTCGAAGTAAATTGGTAAATAGGGGCGTCTCTAAAAGTTCAGGATATGAACACTTAACAGTTCTAATTGCCACTGTGCGATGCGATATATGTACTCGCATACTCTTGTATACGGTCTAGTTTGGGAGTTGATAACGGCGGTGAGCTTGCTTTTAAATAGGCGATGCGTCTACATTCCTCCATATTTAAATGTTGAATGGGATCTAGATGAACATCCTTTTAGTCTGCAGCCTGAAGCTTCTTCGCGCGATCCAAAGCAATATCGATCATCGCCTAGAAAAGGGGTCGAGCCAAAATGTGTCAGCATAGGGGGAAATATTTATATCACGGTTAAGCACCTCTCGTTGGATAAACTTCACCTACCTGGATGGCTTCTCGCTCCTCGGCGAATATGTCACCGCGGTCAATACGCTCCCGCATATTATTCATAACGGTTTCACGGCTTCGGCCATTGACAAATACTACGTATCGTAATCCTGGGAACCGGGCCTCATACTCCTCGTTCAGAGCTTTAAGCTTTCCAGCCTCTTCTTCCTTCTCACTTGAAGTACCTGATGAGTTAAGATGTGCCTGCTCAGCCCGACTCTGTGCACTCTCTACCCTCTTCTCACCTAGACGCGGATGTGAGCCCAGGATTGCATGTAGTTCTGCTCTCGAGTCGGCAGTAGTTGGGTTTTCCGCGAGCTGAAATAGGAGACTTCCAACATGTTCGATGAGAGACGAGTAAGATGAGAAAGGGGTGTTGCGGACCGCTGGAATGGCTAGGAGGTGAAGGTCTTGGGACGGTTCGAAAAGTACATCGAGTATGGACTTGATTTTGTTATCATCAGCCCCTTGAAGTGAGACAACGGGTGGCAGCGTTGGAGAAGCCATTCCGTAAGATATTGCATATATGTACCTGTTACGGATGGGCAAATATAGTATTATTGTGAGTTAGAATAAGTTAGGAGATGCAAGAATATGACGAGAATCAACTATTAGAATAGAAGTTGTAAGTACCTGTTATCTTATATTATTACTTGAAGTTTCTAGTTCTTTATAGTAATGGTACTACGCTAAAACTGTAGTAATTGCAGTTAGCAATGATTTGCTTCAATCCAAATTATTGATTAATGGTGGGGTCTAAGGTGGGGTTAGATTCCCGAATCTTGGGGAAAGCACTTGTACCACACTAACTTGTTTAGCTCAAATCTTCGGAGTACATCAGGTAGGTACACACGTACCAAGGAATCGTCACTGTAGGTAAGGTCCACGTAAGGTTCGAATCAAGTTCCGGATAAATGACGGGCCGTTGCATGCATAATTATCTACGGGCCAACTCCGGTCTCCCTACTTTTAACCAATCAGTTCAAAGTCAACATTGCGCAGGAACTAACGAAGCTTTGCATAGAGCTATCAACTGCTGACTGGAAATTTTATTGATTAAGCTCAGCCTAGCCAGCAACTAGACGCAATCAGACACAATTATCGCCAGTCTGAGGTTATCCACGATGCTGTGCTCTCGTGAGTGTTCACTATAATATTCTGTACTAATTTTTATATATTTCTAACGCGATAATAGTTTCCGGCGAAGCTCCTCAAGAGCCTGTCGTTTCTAAATTATCAGGTATGGTCAAGTCGCTTTGTTTGGTATACTACTCAACTAAATTAATATCATCTAGGCGCTGTATTTGAGAAGCGACTTATCGAAAAGTATATCGAAGAGAATGGAAAAGATCCTGTGAGCGGCGAGGACTTAACCCTCGACGACCTTTTACCTATCAAATCTTCACGCGTCGTGCGACCCCGACCGCCTACTCTCACTTCCATACCAGCCCTCCTATCTACCTTCCAAAATGAATGGGACGCGCTGGCGCTAGAGACCTACAATATTAGAGAACAGTTGGCGCGAACGAGGGAGGAACTTGCGACGGCCCTCTATCAACATGATGCAGCCGTCCGCGTTATTGCAAGATTGACCAAAGAACGGGACGAGGCCCGGGATGCGCTGTCTAAGGTGACCGTTTCGGCGGGCGGCGCAAACAACGGCGATGCTATGGCGGTCGACGCTGAAGCTCTACCTGAGGAGCTAGCGGCCAAGGTGGATGAGACACAAGCAAAGTTCGTACTACGATTTTCTTCCATTTATATGATATAGCTAACATACCAACAGACTATCTAAGAGCCGAAAGAAGCGACCCGTTCCGGAGGATTGGGCAACAGCAGAGGATATTGCTACGTTCGCAGTCGAAACCACGAACTCCCTTCCCGTCCCCCAAGCTACAACGGTTAGTGTCGAGGCTGCCTATGCCGCCGTGGGCGGATTGCAGGGTGACGTTGCCATCTACTCGATTGATTCGGATAATGTCGAGCGTTCATTACAAGTTAACGAACCCGTGACGGATTCGATATGGGACGGCTCTAGAATCTTTTTCTCGACTTCTAAGGGTTCCGTGAAGGTATTGGAGAATGGCAGCGAGATCGCGTCATTCTCCGATCACGCCGGCCCAGCTACCGGTCTTTGCATCCACCCGAGCAAGGAAATATTGGCATCTGTCGGCTCCGACAAGAGTTTCGTATTTTATGATCTAGCCAATTTGCGTCGCGCCACGCGTGTGTACACCAATGCCAGTAAGTTAACATTCCGAAATGTTTGTATTAATGTTGTTGCTAAATTCTACTGTAGCTTTAACAGCTTGCGCTTTCCATCCCGATGGCCATCTCTTTGCTGCCGGTACCAATTCTGGCGAGATCAAGCTATTCATGACCAAGACCGGAGAGGAAGCAGCCTCGTTCCACTTGGGGGCTCCTGTGCAAGTCATTACCTTCTCCGAAAACGGCTTCTGGTTTGCAGCTACAGCAAAGGGACAGACTACGGTTACTATATTTGATCTGCGCAAGGAGGGGGAAGCTGCACAGGTCAAGGTGTTGGATATCGGCAGCGCAGTACAGGCCCTCGCATGGGATTATTCGCAGCAGTTTCTCGCAACAGCTGGACCCGCCGGAGTTACAGTACAGCAGTACAGCAAAAGCTCTAAGTCCTGGTCAGAACCCTTACGAGCAGCAGTCAGTGCAGTCAGCGTCAAGTGGACTGCAAATGCAAAGAAGCTTGTGGCTGTTAATGGAGACGGAGTGATTAGTGTTCTTGCCGCTAAGGAGTCGTGATATGGGCTGATGACCCTCGTCCAAAGATAATACGAACAAATAGGAGGAGAGATCCGGGCTAGGTACGCAAAAAATTTGCTTTATATCACAACTAGCACTGGATGATAGCTTAGGATTCATCAATGTACAATATGGATAGGCGATGGGATCACCAATGATACATTCTTGTGAGAAGTTGAAGTTTTCTAATGTTGCTTAGGTGATATAAATCAATCAAATGAGGCTAATATAAAAGGCATAGCTAAGGAGAGAACAATTCTGGTTCCTCTAGCATTATATAATGCATACCTGTAGATACCTTCATTCTTTAATAATATACTCTAAGTAATATGTATGCCCGATAATCGAGGTATGTAGATATCGTACGCTTAAGTAGTCTTCTTAACAAAGTATCTTCATATATGTCTACATAAGTTATGCACTCTTGATTTAAAATGTCCGCGTTAAATGTGCTCTTATTGGATAAAAGTTACACATGTACATACATTATGTAGCATACATTACACGGCTGCACTCGTACGAAACAGCCTTAGCGTGTAAGGCTTCTTGGATGCGGCTGTTTACCAGCTATGTGGGGCAGAACTACCTTGTCAGCTGTCGGAGTTTAGATAACCGAATAAAGTAAGCGTACCTAGGTAGGTACTCCGTAGGTAGATTTGGTAATGCGGCGTCATCCCTGCCGTAAGTAACTATGTAGTACCTGACAACTGGAAACCCTTGCGCACGTACATACAGTAAGATCTAACTGCAAGGCTCGCGTTAATGTGAATTTTGCCATTGAACATCGCCATAGTTTCCCGACTTATCTGCGCTTGTTCCCACAGCAAACCAATCCAAACCTACCTAACCTAGGTTCACTTTTCTTCGCCTCCCATTATTCTTTCTTCTTTTCACAAATCACGCAAGTTCAACAACCGTCGTCGCATCGTCTTCGTCGCTTCCCGACATCTACAACGCGGCGGCAAGCATACGTCAACGGAGAAATACTACTTCCCTATCTCAACTCAACTTTGTTATGAGGCAGGCAATGTCCGTTGACGCGTGCTCAGTAAAATGATAGCACGGAATAAATTACCCTACCAATCTATGTACCTATTGTAATCTCGGTCCCGTAAGGCCTGACCGGTTGGTAAGTTTTCGCACAATCTTACATTCTTTCAAGTTTGCACCGTTCATGCCTCGAAACATCTACCGATACACGTTACTCTGCTACTTTTTCATATACTGGCCACTAACCTTTTCGCCAACCCAGAGGCATTAAAGTGATTTTGATATGGCCGAAATCGCCGATTCTGATCTTCCGGATCCTTTATCATCGACCCCTCCCGGCTTTGTTGCGACTCCTACATTGTCTCCTCAGAGCATAGAAGAAGATGATGATGATTCTATTATGACCGAGTCTTCTCCCAGTATCCGACCACGTTCTCGACCTATTTACGACCAAAACCCCCCGCGTAGCAGCAGCTCGGCTCCTCGTATTATATCCTCTCCCATATCGTCTAGTAATTCCGAGGGAATTGTAGAATTCATCGACCATATTTACCCTGACGGGTCCTCGGTAGACAGTGACAATCCTCTCTTGGATAGCCCACACGGCCATATAGGCATCGACGACGATTTCTTTGATGCGTATGACTCAGAAGAAAGCCTATTTGTGAACGACCGCCCCGATAGAGACGGTGATATTGATATATTTAGTCGCCTGTCTCCCGATCTTTGGCCAAGCGGTTCGGAAGATAATAACGCTGCAGGAAACCATAGATCGCCCAGCATGGATGGGTTTAGAGAGCTAGAGAGCCTGAGAGACGAGTTGGTAGAGTTTGAGGTAGAGCGCGCTGGGAACCCTGCGGCTCGGAGACAAAGACAGCAGCAGCCTCAAAGAGAACCTGAGGTGATCGATTTGACAGGTGATAGTCCTGTTCAACATGCACCTCGAAATCGTTATCAGACTCTTCGTGGACGACGTTCACTACAGCGAGGCACTCCTCCCCGATTAGAACGCAGTGATGCTAGCTACATGAACTCTCAGACCGTCATCGACCTCGTCTCGGATTCCGACGACGAGCCCGCAATAATGCCGCAGCCTAGACGAAGCAATCCTCCTCCTCCTCCTCCTCGCAATCCTCCTCGCAATCCTCCTCGAGATGAACTTGTCCGAGATCACAATCGACTGCGGCAACAAATGCAACAAATGCAACCGGATCTCCTTCCTGGCCGCAACGCTTTTGATCAGATTCAACATCTCATGAACCACATTCCTTTATTTCGTCTCCTCAACAATCAAAACCCTATGGCAAACAACCACGACGATGATCTAGTCATGCTAGGTCATCGTAATGTAATGCAAGAGGGGATACCGCAGCCCAACCTTCCCCCGGTGGATCTCGACTATGACGCTCATCCTTTTCCGATGCCACAGCCCGCACCAGTAGGCGCTGGCCCGAAGCCTGCACATGAGCCTCCGAAAGAGACAAGACCAGGGTTTACGAGAGACACGGGCGAGGATGTCGTAGCTATCTGTCCCAGTTGCGACCAGGAGCTGGCTTATGATCCGGATGATGATGCGAGCAATGCAGCTACACCTTCTAGAAAAGCTCGCACGAAGAAAGACAAGGCTGAGCATCATTTTTGGGCCGTTAAGGCCTGCGGACATGTAAGTATTAATGCAAGTGCCCGTCTAAAAAATGGGGTACTAATATATCTTTAGGTCTACTGCAGGAAGTGCTACGAGTACCGCAAGTCCACGGGCAAGAATCGCGTCCCTGTAGGTTTCCGACCTGACCCCAGCGGCGCCAAAAACAAGCTGATCTGCGCCGTCGAAGACTGCAGCTCAGACGTGAGCGCGAAGGCCGCGTGGGTCGGCATCTTCCTATGATGCGTTGTCTTCACATTACTCCTCCGAGTTGAGTTGAGTTGAGTTGAGTTGATTTAGTCTGGTCCGGGGATGCTGGATACTCAACTTAAGACAATTCTACGGCGTTGCGACAATTCTCCAGTACTCATATTTGCATCATAAGGCGTTCCGTTAAGGCAAGGGTATAAAGGTGGGAATGACGGTCGGAAGGGAACTCTGAGGTCAATATCCTCACACTTTGTTTGTAACTTAGGTACTTTTTCTTTACCATTCTCCCCGCGTGGTCTGCGGCGTTTGTATTCTTACAGACTCAGACTTGATTGCACTTACTGGTTTCCCCATCATACCCAAGACTTGAGGTCTACCGGCGTAGGACGAGATACGGTGGATATGGCAGATGGGCAAGGTGTGTTTTACCTACTTGGGTTGCGTCACGCTGTACTCTAGCCTACTAGGTGGCCCATAAGAGGCTTTCAGCCAGCCTACATAGGTAGGCAATAGACGCATCGTTGTGTTCCGAAAGTAGGCCCGTCAAAACTACGACTTGTATTTCTAATGACTTATTTTCTAGCAAAGTGTTTGCAGTATGCTAAATTCACGGAGGGGCAAGGCTGCCTGCCCTAGGCACCTCCTAAAGCAATACGTATAAGTAAAATAAAATAAATAACTCAGGTTAGGAGGTAAGGTACCTAAATAAGCGATAAACGCATTCCAAGACTTTACGTAGGCGAAGATCGGACAGGGGTTTTATAAGGCGCATGCTTTAACGTATAGGTACCTATCCAATATGTAGAAGTATAAGGTACCTTGTAGGTAGGCTTCAAGGTTTACCCATCTATAATTCCTTAAGGAGCAGGCTCGGTCTTAGCCGTAGCTGCCATATCTATCGTAACTGCCGTAGACAGCGTAAGCTACCTAAATACATGATCAATCCTATGCAACTTACGGACTTACATACGCACAAGGTCTGCGGGTACATATTACTTGATTTAATAGCAGGGATTTCAAGGTTGCAGGATTAGTGCTGACATAAATCGCAGACCCGACGATCTTGTTGGTCTCGACCTTTTTTTTTTTTACAAGAAGGCTTAGGGGACACTGCACTGACTCTTTGAAAGAAATATCTTCAAATCGCTTAGCTGAGAAAAGGAAGCTCCCTATTATTACTAATCATCTCATACAAAGATCTAAACCTAGTGATTATACTCGATCCCCAACTCATTCTCTCTCTATTTACATCAGCAATTTACATCAGCATCAATGAAGCGACTCCATTCAACCATTATAAACCACCTCGATTGATATACTCATATATCACGTATATCCCGTATTTCTCTCAGATGGTTCATCAGTTGCCGACTATGTTCACCACTTTCCTAGGTCCGTCTCCAAGATCTAGTGAATCCGGTCCGAACTCCGCTTCTCCGAATGGGTCTCAGCCTCCACGGCCCCGGCAGAAACGGAGCCAGGTAGCGCGCGCTTGGTAAGTTTACTATACATCTATACGTCTATACGTCTATACGTCTATGCATCTATAAATTCATACCTTCAATTGACTCTGCATAGTGATTACTGTCGCGTACACAGAATCAAGTGCGATAATAATCATCCGTGCCTCAACTGTCAGACTAGAGGCGGTCAGTGCAGCAATGACCGCACAAACGGAGTCCGCACTCTCCCGCATGCATTCCGCGAAATAGAGCGGCTTAAGCAACGCAATCAAGAACTTCAAAGGGAACTCGAAGAGGAACGGAGCCGTAATAGAAATCAAGTCGTAACCCCGACCGGAACCTCTAGCTCTCAGCTTCCGACTCCCCCAAATATTTCATCTTCGTCAAGCATCTCTATCACAACCCCGTCGGGCCCTTCTTCTTATGATACCGTATCTTCCAGGAGATACTGGGAAGGTATCTATACTAACACAGCCAGATCCGCATCGAAAACTTGGTACGGGCCCGCATCCTTACTCTACTTTATAAGTCGTCTGAATGCCTTTCTGGCTTCAACGCTGCAGCAACATCTTCCCGAAAGCTCATTGCAACCAAACTCGGCTAGTAGACTTCTCGATGGCCCTACGAGTCCTCCAGATAAACAGACAGATGAGCATGATCAAGTACCACCAGACGATCCCATTAAGGCTAAGGAGTACTTGACTGCTACGCAGGAAGAATACTTCCTAGACCTATATTGGCAGTCGCATCACACTTCTCTCCTCATCCTCGATGAAGATGATTTCAGGCGTCATTATAAATCGTTATGGGTCGGATCGAGAAAGAAGCGCAAACCATCAGCCCTCGTCGATATCGTTATAGCCTTGTGCATGCAGTATGGCATGGCACGGGGTCGGGGTAGTAATAACTCGGTATTAGGGAATTCTAACGTCGATACTGATGATGCGACGCTCGCCGGCCGCTGGCATTATTGTCGCTGTCAAAATCTTCTAGCCTGCGAATTAGAGAGTCCTACAATATCAACTCTGCAGTGCAACATATTATCCGTGGTCTGGTTATGTTGTGCTTCGTTCCAAAATATGGCGGATAGCACCTTGGCCGTCACGGCAAGGACAGCCCAGATGCTCGGCCTCCATCTACCGCCACCGCAAAGTATGCCTCAACGCGAGAGGGAGATGCGAAAACGCCTGTGGTGGTCCATTTACGTCGCCGAGACCAAAACTAGCATGAAGTTGGGCCGACCATTTATGCTCCACCTGTCGCATGCGAGCTGTGGCCTGCCAGCCGACGACCACGAAGCCGCCGCGCAATCAGGGTCAGGCTTCGCGCCTTTAGACGATGATGTTACCTGGCTTAGCTGGAATTTACACAATACTAAGCTTGTCCTTGCTGCCCGCGACGTATACACCGCTTTTTACGATAAGTATCCAGACTTTGTCGAGAGCGACGGTAGCCAAGCGATTTATGACGTACCGGCGGCCATGGAGACGTATGCTGAGTTCCTTATCATGCGCATGGGGGCCTTGGAGCAGTGGGTTAAGGATGTGCCTGACGCATTAAAGACCCAGCGTAAAAACCATGGAATCCCCTTTTCAACGGACCTCTCGCCGGTAGAGATCGAACAGTTCGCCCCGCTCTGGGTGCAACGCCAGCGTCTGCTATTAGAATTATTATACCACAACCTCTGCACAAATCTATATCGACCATTTATATCCTTCAAGCGGTCTCCATACTCATTAGTATCATCTCAGTCTTCATCGCTTGCAGAATCTTGTGCTCATAGATGCGCTAGCCACGCTATGGCGCTCACGCATATTATGCGGCAAATATTATCAACAACAGATATACTTACTGGCTGGCAAGAAGCTTTTCAATGGGAATGGAATGTCGCCATGACTCTGGTCGGTTTCGTCCTGTCTCATCCTCACGATGAACTAACACCGGCGGCGCGAGAAGCCATAAGTGTTTCAGTTGATGCTCTGGGCATTTTTGGAAACAGCTTTTCCGTAGCCGCGAGTGCGGCCGAACTGGTGCGTGAGCTTAGTGTGACGGCTGACCATATGATTATGCCGCAGCCTATCAATGAAGGAGATAGACTTATAACTCAGGAGGGCCAGCCCATTACCATGATGCCCCAGAACGAGCAGGACGGTACAGTCATGGGTCAGCCGGATGTTGGATTCCCTATGTTTGATGAGGACACTATCGCTGTGATGCAGGGCATCTTAGCAGATTCAATGGACCTAGCCTTTGCTGTTGACGGTTACAACACTACGAATATTTTATGGCCGAATATAGATCCTACAGAATAATAAGCCATCTATGTAGAAGCTATAGTAATGAAAAAGAATGAAGCTTTCTATACTTTAAGGTAGTTGAGGAATCGTATCCTCAACTCGCTGGAGCAGATGCAGAGCTGCTTAGCAATAGTGTTTAAATCTTTCTCATATCTCTGAGATTTGAAAGAATATATTTCGAAGATAGGTCTTGAGTATAACTAAACATATTAACTAGTATGTAGTTATGTGTTAACTATACTTTTATACTTTAGTAGTTATTAACGACATCCTTAAGTAGTGATGTCACTTATGCGGCCCATTTGCTTATATGCCGAAGAATCGAAATATAAAATCATAAGCCATCACTTCGATTATCACGGGAAGATTAGGGTGTATTTCGCAGATAACTGTCCTATTATAAGATTTGCTTCTACTAGCATAAACATCGAATCTCGGGTATTTCGGGTACTATTTGATCAAGACTAATTTCTGGACTAGTAAGAGTATAATCTCGCCTTAAGATATATTATAAGAGGTAAATTGCTATTCTATACTTACAGAATAGCGTCAAAAAAAGTGCCGATTTTGTAAGTACTAACATACCAAAACGCTCACTTTCCTATCCACCTAACTTAGCGAAATCTTCGAGAATATCTTTATGACTTATATTAGAATAAAATTCAGAGTTTATTTCATATTAATATAATTTTTGATATTTTCTCTGCTTAATATATCTCGAGAGAACCCTTTACAAAAGCATTCCCCTTGTTAGGCACTTATTTTGACTTCATTCTGACTTAGTATATTCTATATAGTATTACAAATCCCTATCATCTCCTCAAATTAAAACACAGTGCCCAATCGGGGCCCGGCATGCGAAGCCCGTGGCTAGTACCACGGAAACGAGATATCCACAAAACCTGGCTAGAATGCATGAAAATGCGACTCTTAAAGCTTCAGTATGCGACTATATTTGAGACTGTCACCTTTTACCGCGCAACTCCTTGTATCAATACCCCATCTACTTATCCACAAGTGACAAATTTCTTTCCAGTTCCGTTATGGCGAAAACAACATATACAGGTAAGCATACCCCCTGCGATTGTAGTTCTCCCTTACATGTGACTTTCATTTTACCCGACTCCAACTTTTGTTTTTGTTAAGATGCACGCTATTCTGGCCGATGGACACGCATATATGTATAAAGGGTAGCATGTAGTGGAGCAAAGCCACGTAGCCACTTACCAATAGGAGCGACTCCTTTCCTCTGCAGCAGAACATGGCGTTTTCCGATATATATAAGTGGGGCCGGAAACCCGGGTATCCGGATATACGGAGCAACGCCGTAGGCAAAGAGCCGCACTTTCCCAGAGGAGTTGCGGAGGGGGACGCGGTAAGACAAAAGACGGCGGTCTTGGGTTGAGTCAGAGTGGGTATGGGTATCGATCGATGTGATATTTGACCTGCGACCCGCCCCAAGCCAAGAAAACAGTAGGTCGAACCTATGGAGATAACTGTACTACGGATGGGAAATCTCTGCTGGTGTTTGGACTCTAAACCCCGGGGATGCTGTTGCTGCTGTTGGATAATCGTCTTTGATGCCACATGCGGCGTCACCATATGGCATAAGATATGATGAGCTGACGGTCCAACAAAGGGTCTTGCTTAGTGTAAATCTATACGATGGTGCCATTTCAAATAAAAGGGTAGTTAATATAACTACCTACCTCCTTAACTACCTCAGCCAGGCTTTCTCCCGTCCTAGTGTAGTGTTCGCTCCCTAGACGCCTAACGAACGAAAAAAAGCAAGGCCAATCTAGCAACGACAATGAGCAGCAGCAACAACAACAACATTGCCACGGAGCAAAAGACCGAAGAGTCAAACTCCGAATCGACGCAAAACGTCGAGTCCAGCCCGCCGGAGGCGTCAAACCAAGTCACGCCGCGCAATGCCTCTCTGCAAGAAAAGTCCGAGCCGCAAGAGCGGTCCGTAAAGGGCTTCCGCTGGTTCCTAGTCTGCCTGTCCATCTTCTCGGCGAACCTGCTCTTCGGCCTCGACAACACCATCGCCGCGGACATCCAGGGCGCCGTGGCCGAGACGTACCAGAACACGGGGCAGCTGGGCTGGCTGGGCGTGGGGTTTACGCTGGGCTCGGCCGCGGGGATCCTGCCGATCGGCAAGTCGTACGCCATCTTCGACAACAGATGGGTGTTCATCGCGTGTCTGGTCAACTTCGCCGCGGCCAGCGCGCTGTGCGGCGCGGCGCCGAGCATGAATGCCATGATTGTCGGGAGGGTGTGGGCGGGGTTCGGGGGGTCCGGGATGTATTTGGGTACGCTGAATATCTCGACGGCTCTTGTGCTCCCGAAGGAACAGCCTGTTTACGTGGCGGGGACGGGGTTTATCTACGGCGCGGGAGCTATTCTTGGGCCGGTGGTCGGAGGTCTTCTTGCTGATAGTCCGGCGACGTGGAGATGGGTAAGTGTTGCTCGACCCCTATCTTCGAGCAAGGAGTTTGCGATGTTGTAATTACCTACCTACCTACCTACCTATGCTAACATGGAATCTACGCGCAGGCTTTCTATCTCAACCTCGTCATCTTCGGCGCCATGTCGCCCATCTACTTGTTCCTGGTCCCCTCCGTCCCGCGTCGGCCGGAGATGTCGTTCCTCGAGAAGGCAAAGCTAATGGACTGGCTTGGCATCCTGCTCAACTCGGCCATGTACTCCTGCTTCACGGTAGCATTCCTTTTCGGCGGCGTCGAATGGGCCTGGAACGACGGGCGGACTATCACTTTAATCGTGCTGGCTTTCGTCCTACTTATCGCCTTCGTGCTTACGCAGAAGTTCGCTATCCTAACCGATAAGGTTAACAGGCTGTTCCCGTGCAGCTTTTTGCGGAATCCGCAGCTCGTGCTTATGTATATCCTTATGTTCTGCAGCGGTTTGAGCTTGTTTGTTGCGGTTTACTATATCCCGTTTTACTACCTCTTCGCGCGCGGCGAGAGTGGTACTCAAGCCGCCGTCCGCTTGTTGCCTTATATCTGTTTCTACGTCGCAGCTATCTTGATCTGTGGCGCCGTTATGGGTCGTGTTGGCTACCATATTGTGTGGTTCTTGCTCTCGGGGCTGTTCCTCACAGCCGGTTCGGCAGCCATGTACACCGTGGACCCTTACACGTCAAATGCGAAGATCATAGGCTTCTCAATCCTTCTGGCAGTCGGAATGACGGCATCCCAAGCGCCATACGCCATCGGCCACTTACTAGTAGAACCGGAACTCGCAGCGGACCTAATCCAATACATCAACATCTCGCAAGGCTCGTCGCAACTAGTTGGTTTAGTTATTGCGAGCGCGATCTTCCAAGCAGAGGCATTCTCCGGAATTCGGGCAGTCTTGCCCGCGGACCGCTACACTGACGCAGATATCCAGGCGGCGGTTGCGGGCGCACGAAGTGAGGTGTTAACGCAAGCGTCGCCTGAGATGCGCGCAGCTGCTATTGCTGTCATTGTCGAGGCCATCGACAAGATTTGGATCTTGGTCATAGTTACTTCCGCTATATTTACGATATGCTCGTTGTTCCTGACGCGCGAACGCTTCGTCAAGCCTAAAGGGCGGCACGGAGAGGACAGCGGACCTGCGATGATGATCTTCTAAGAATCCTCTCGCACGATCCAGGGGTGGGAGTTCACATCTGGGATGTGTTAGACAGTCAAATGTCCCTCCTTGTATCAACTAACTACAGGCATGGAGGTAGGGTTTTGGTGCCTGTAGTCTAATAGTCACTCGTTTAATGATTTCTCCTAACTAGCTGGTTTAGATAATAGACTAGAGGGATATAGGCTGTCCTAAAAAGGGGTGGTGGTACTTACAGATGATAATTTAGTTCGGGTTTATACTTCTTTAGGGCCTACTAAGGCCATGTTAATATAGCTGAAAAGTCTTTATATATAGGTACATAATGTTACTCTAGAACTCTTATAGTGCTATGTATATATATGTGGTCTTACTATTCTATATTCTATATTTATAGAACCAGTTTTAAGTTCCATAGCCTCTTATATATCATTATAAAACAATAAAATGCTAAGTGTTAGTTTAATATCTCATACTATTACGATATTCAAGAGACACGTCGTCAATAAGATAGTATCTTTTGACAACAAACACGATTACTAATTAAGGGGCGATCCAACATATCTCAATAAGACACTCATCGAACATTAAAAGTAGCTACTTTACACAAGTATCACACAGACCGGGATGGTTTCCTTTTATAGTAATTTTTCAAGCCGTATTACACGATCATTGGCTCAGAAAGAATCCTTCACCACCGATCGTGTCTCGATCACCGTATAATAACCAAAGGATACGATGGAGCGTACCAAGCCAGTGTTAATAATGTATGATGAGTAATTCAGCAAAGCTCCGCCAAGTATTAGTTTTAAATATCTGCATAGTTTATGATTTATGCAGTTACAATTTCACTTGCAGAAATTCTCATCGTTGGCGGACTTTACATAACTCCGCCTAAAATCCAAAACAATAAATGTAATGCAGTTGCACAAGGTTCGCATTATCTATCTTCTTTTGCTTTTTTCTTCTAGTATCGGTAGACGCCTTACATCGTTCCCGCATGTGGCGACTCCGGTTCTCCTTTAGGAAATAAGCTTGAAGGCGGTCCACTTCGTTTCTAGGAAGCAAAGAGCGAAGTAACACAAAGCTTACAAAAATTCAAGATTTTCGGTGGCTTGCGAGCCTCGAAGCCTTAGGGAAGTACTCCTTAGCTGTGGATAGTCGAAGATCCCTTGTAACGGACTTGGGGAGATTTGTTATGACGCCGGTTCGAGGTTCAAAATTCGAAATAGGTAGGGAGTTGAGAGTAGAGTAGAAGGTAAAATTCACATAAAGAGCAATGCGGCTTCTTGTTCTTCTGTTCCCGGATTGTGACACGATAGATACTCTAAGATTCCGTACAGCTGTGTTTAAACGCAAAGATCGGAAAACCTAATAGTCGAAGAAATGTCTCTCCCGAAAACCTTTAAGCGCGCAGTATTCCCCGGCAAGGGTGAGAGCCTCGTAATCCAAGAAACCCCCTTGGTGCTTCCCGGAGACAATGAGGTGCTGGTCAAGGTAGAAGCATGTGGCGTATGCTACAGCGACTATTACGGCCAATATAACGTATTGGGCGGTGGCTTCCCGATATGCCCAGGCCACGAGATAATTGGCAGAGTCGCAGCTATTGGCAATAGCGTCAAGTTGTGGAAGGTCGGCGATCGGGTCGGTGGTGGCTGGCATGGCGGTCACGATGAGACCTGCAATGCGTGCAGCAAGGGGTGGTATCAGATGTGCGATAACGAAGCCATCAATGGCGTTACGAAGAATGGCGGATGTAAGTCGTTTAAATCACCTTGCTTTCTGCATGTCTTGGGAACGTGAACACTAGCTAATGCATGTTTAGATGGTGAATACTGCATCCTGCGCTCAGAAGCAACCGTCCGTGTCCCCGAGCACGTCGACGCCGCCAAATATGCGCCAATCCTGTGCGCAGGCGTGTCAGTCTTCAACTCCATCCGGAATATGAACATCCCGGTTGGCGAGACAGTCGCCATCCAAGGCCTCGGCGGACTAGGCCATCTTGGAGTCCAATATGCAGCGCACATGGGATACCGCGTAGTCGCCGTCTCTCGGGGCGCAGATAAAGAAAAGTTCGCGCGAGCGTTAGGTGCCCACGAGTACATCGACGCGAGCACGGAGAAGGACGTGGGTGCAGCCTTAAAAGCGCTCGGTGGTGCTAGCCTGGTTGTGGCTACGGCGCCGACTGCTGACTCTATGACACCGTATCGTATGTAACGAGATTACTCCATTTTTGCGGAAGTGGTTGCTGACTCTTTCTGTAGTGAAGGGGCTGGGCATACTCGGCAAGCTTCTGGTGCTGAGCATTCCTGGTGACTTAACCATCGACACTGTTACTATGCTCAAGTACGGCACTTCAGTTCAAGTTTGGCCCTCCGGGCACCAAAAAGACTCTGAAGACACCATTAAATTCACCGAACTCAAGGGCATCGACTGTATGATTGAGACTTACCCTCTGGATCAGGCGCAAGCAGCATGGGGTACGTTTCTTCTAGCGGGTTTATTTTCTTTCCCATTCGTGTTCCCCGTTTAGTGTGCCATGGATTAGACACCAGCTAACTCAGTGCCGCATAGATGCCATGAAGAATGGCACAGTTCGCTTCAGGGCCGTCATCGTGCCTTGAGATGTCTGCTATTAGGGATCGCAAATAGGGTACAAACAGCGGCCTAGTTGGATATACCAGTAGAGGAAATGTTATTCATAATGGTTTGACTTTTGAAGGCCAAAGTCAGTTAGTATATAGCCCATGATCTCACCTTAGTGGATTACCGAATAGAGCACGATAGAGATAGAGATAGAGATAGAGATAGAGAGTTGTAATTTAAGAGAATACACGAGCTTTAGATACCCCTAAGACATCCTTCAGGGTGTCCATCAAGGTTCCAGGTGCAGTAATACGTAAGATCTACTTGTAGGGTTAACAGAACCATAGTTTAGATACGTCTCAACTTGGTAGTATACTATTTTCGCAGTAATTTATTCATCGCGACTCGAAGCCTAACAACTTGGAACCTCCTAGACTACCCGTGCAGACTAGGAGCGTCTATAAAGGGTATAAAACAAAGATACTTGCTTAACTCAACGCGGGGAAAACAGCTTGCATCCTTAAGAGAATCCCTCCATCGCAAACTCGTGGACGTCTATAGACTGGCGTTCGACATAATCCATCAAGACATATCAAATCTTCTTGCAATTCGCAATACCCGAGCTTTACATATTACCCCCCCGCCCCCCAATAGAACCTAGAAGTTAGGTCCTTAAACCAACTCAGGCTCTGCCATCCTCCCTAGATCCACCACCTCCCCGCTCCCGCGCCTGCTGCAGCCTGCGCTCCGAAAGTATCACCTCCGTAACGACCTTATGCCGCAAGAGAATCACATCCGTCGAGGGAGCCCCCGCCCTCTTATCCAGATCATCTCGGAACGCCACCCACGCATCCCTCATCGCTTCCAGATTCTCACCACCCTGCAGCTTCTCCCGAGCCTTAAGCTCCCGGTACCGAATGCGGACTGGGATGGCGCTGAAATCGACTTCTGTGGGGTCGTTGACGATACGCCCTTCGAGCCGCACCTTCATGTTGTTGATCCATGTTGGCGTCTTGCGAGCTTTGTCGGTTGATAGGCCGCCTGACATCTCGTATTGGTGGTTTCCCGACCGAGTACCGGAGTTAAGACATGGTAGTAGAGCTGAGGTCTTCGAAGCCTTGCTGTGAGGACTAGTCTCCTTCAAATCCCTTATGAAAGAGGGCTCTCTACCGCCTTCGAGCCGGCCTACAATCCACCTCATGCGCGGGACCTCCCTTCTCAGCTCCCCAAGACGACCTTCCAGCCACGGGCGGGCCTTGTCCCAGCACATTTGATATTCCAACTCGGCAGCTAACTTCCCAGGATAAACGTACTTCTTCAGCGTCGCACTCCACACCAGAGGCTCACCAGTCCCACGACCAGCATGAAACGCCGCGAGCTCGACGCATCTCCAGATCTGCCAGCGAGCGCTTAGGAGCACGGCGGTAGTCCGGCGAATGCAGCGTATCGCGTTCTCCGCGTCTTCCTCCGGCAGGAAGTAAAGCTGGTTAGGCCCCGCAAGTTGGAACTTAAGGTCCAAGAGCTCCTGGTCGAAGTCCCGCGCTGTATCGAAGAATCCCCGGAGAGTGGGATTCTGACGGACGCTTTGGAAGTGCAGCGCACGCTTGCCGAAGTTGTCTGAGATGTTTGAGAATGCGTCTCTGAGGGCCAAGAGTTTTTTGCGGCGACGTTCTTCGTCGAAGATGGTCGTCTCGAGGTCGCGAGTTCTAATTGTGCTGGCGACGTGCTCGTGCTCTTCCTCCCCTCTCGATGAGAAAGGAGGGACGCTGCTTGACCGGCAGTGGCAGTAACAGCGGCGTTGGTTGTTTTGTAGGGTAGCCATTTTTCTGTTCTGTATTTCTGTAATTAGAGTAGAAGTTTAGGAATAAAAGAGCGGTTGCCGGGTCAAGGTACATTATGTATTTCCTCCTTGCTCGAAACTTCGAAGTCATGACTGGGCTGGAACTGACAAATACCTTCCGTACAGGTCATCGAATTTACCATGCGTGATACTTATCGGATTCTATTTTCCAATTCCTATGACCAACCTTAAGAAAGTCAATGTTTAACTCATTCGTCACTGTCGACAGGGCCGTCCGATTTCGAGTCATCCCCGTTAACAAACTTCGTTGGCAACTCGCCCAACCTTAGCAAACACTCTCTACATGAGATGAAAAGTCATACAGCCATATAGAAGGAACCCGAAAGAGTAGTCCTTGTTGTGAGTTGTCTGCTAACAACCACAGGGGCAAACTAGTCACTGTGCTCACTAGACTCATTGGCATTCAGGACGCCGAGCTACGTAGCCACACCATTATATTCTACTCGTCTTAATTCATATATCTCGTAATTGACTGCTATGCTGGGTATAATGGTTCGTGCCCCTTTATGCTCCTCTGTATCCTGTCCACCCAGAGTACCTACCGATATACATATTGACCCAACACCCTGAATCGTGATATCCGAATTTCTTAATCCAGTACCGATGAGCCAGGGTCTTAACACTACAACATTTCGCTAAAGACATCATCCAATTCGGCCTCCCCATAGTCCGTTTCCTGCGACGCAGTTACTGCCGGCTGTTCTTGTTTATGGCTCTCCGTGCGTTCAAGTAACTCTAACATTTTCTCATACGAGCTACGTGACTGATTTTGTCGCGGACGTACTTCCTTCGGCTCATCGATCTTTTGATTTTGGAAGCTTCCTACCGAGCTTGATAGCTGATTGATAGACCGGGGCCGCGACTGGTCCTTAATCTGGTCACATGGCCGAGTGGATGAGCTTTTAGTTCTCGATTCTGAGCCAGACACGCCGGATGTGATACTGCCTTTGTTTCCATCTTCTATCGCACATACCGGCATCGAGCTATTTGATTTTTCATCCTCTGACCTTTGGAGACGCTTTAGTTCCTGCTGTATATTCCGCTTGGTTGAAGCACTCTCCCACGCGATGGTCTTTAGCCTCTCATTAGTGTATATGCGGTGTACTTCTCGATCGCTCGAAGTAAAGAATGGCTTGGGCGAGGCCCGCGGGGGTGCCATATTCTTCTCCGCCTGTAGCGTACTAAGTGATTTCTTTTGATGGCCCCGAGAGGTAGCCTCATATATCTTATCCGTAGGCTTTTCAAAGTCGGCTGTATTTCTTAAGCTGCGACTCTGTGAATGATTACTCTTTGAGGATGTATTCGGTGTTGTGGTTTCCTTGGACACCGGCTTCGGACTTTTGAGACATTCGGCGGGTTTTCCAAGTAAGTGAGCATGAATTGATCGGCTCCTGTCGCGAGCTGGGCTAATTCGAGAATCTGGCATCGACCCTCTAGCCTGCTTTTGAGCCGGTGGATGCAATGAAGTCGGTAAGTCAATATTGCTATTCCAAGCCGGTTTCTCGACGTATAAGTTATAGCTATTGTAACCATTCCGACGTTCGAGTCCTATTGGGGATGTTTTCCCGGGTTCGAGGTCTTCTAGATCTTGTGACGAGAGGAAGAAATCCTGTGTTGAGAAATATGGCATGTCGAATGATTCCGAGTTTCCCGAGGAGTGAATATTTGCAGTGGGAAGCAAGTGACTCTCATTTGCTTGTATGGACGAAAAACGGTTCTGGATGGGCCCAATTTTTGTTTTTTCGTCTCTCATAACAGAACCAAAGCGATTGGGACTCGGCACAGCTGGGATCAACTTACTAGGTAGCTTCCTACTCGTAGGAGACTTGCTTGTAAATGCGGCTTTAGATTTCGGCTCAGTACCACTCCCTCCAATGCCAAATTTCGATTCTCCAAATATTTCCCTTACTTCTTGTGAAGGGCTTGGGAAAAGGTCATCAAGGTGCCCGAGCATGAACAACTGAGTGCTTGTTGGTGGTCGCTCCTCCTGCGTTCCCTGAAGTATGTGATGCCGTTGACTGAGTTTAGGGTTAGGGTTAGTGGCGGAACGAAAGCCAGATATGTGAGTCTGTTTCGGTAAGAAAGAGGGTGTCTTCGAACCCATAGCTGATACATGGCCACGCGATCTGGATCTTGATGGAATCGGAGGGGGTCCCATTGGAGTTTTGGGGTTCCGAAAGGACTTTGGTGATGAGATTGACGGTGTTCCCTTTGGTATATTTACTGATGGATCTAGAGCGGGACTCGGCGCGCGGTCTAATGGCTTCGCTTGATCATGGCATAGCTCCTGAGGCGTGTTGGTAATTCTTGAATTGACCTCGCTCGCACCCAGAGTTTGGAGTGGTAGCCGGTCAGACGGCGGTGATACACTCTTCTGTGCATTTTGTGCTGGCAGCAACTCTTCGACTGTGATTGGCGAACGGCAAAAATCCAGCGATTTTGATGAAGGTGGACTATTGGGAATTATCTGTTCTCCTGGTAGGAGGGAATCTTCGTCCGGATCCATGTCGTCTCTGGGCGGATTGCTTACAGCATCCACTGGATCATTAAATAATTCATCGGGAAGTACCGTCGTAGAAAGACCATCCACATCAGGAGTTAGATGTTCTACCATTTGGTCATCTTCAATTGGACCTTTGACTGTGTTGCTAGCTGCTTGAGGAGTACCTCGGGTGTCTAGGTCCCGGAGTGACGATGCCGAACAATTCAAACCCCCTGCAAAGCTCGGACTGTGTTCCGGATCTAGAGGCACTGTCTTTTGCTTTTTCGGCGGCGGTTCGGGTTCATCTTCACCTGATAGGGTAGCGCTATCGCTCTCATCGCTCTTATGCCGATCAGTAATAGGCGAGTTTATTAAAGTTTGGCTCTCTGGCTTCTTCTTTTTATCACCACGGACAAACCAGGCAATTGTAGCTTGCGACGGATGAACATCGACTAGAGGTAATCCTTTCTTCTTCTTTTCAGCACGTTCTTTTTCTTCCTTCTCCTTTTTCTTGTCCCTTGCAGCCCTTGCGCGGGCCTGGTTCTTCTCCTTCTCGAATTCTCGTCGTATACGGTCTTGCTCGAAGAGTTCCTGGCGTCGCTGCTCGGCTTTGGATAGTTTAGGCCCCTTGTTCGTTTTCTGATATGCTTTCTTAGCCTGCTTTGAGGTCATAGGCCGTTTGCTGGGGCGGGTTTCGGAAGCATCCAGGCCGCCATTGATAGCGCACGGCGGGTTTGGTATGATGGAAAAGGTGTTCTGACCAGGAGCCATCATTTCTCACTTCAGATATTGAAGCCAGTTAGTTGCATCTATCCGTAACCCACGGGATCGCTTCTGAACACCATCGTATCAACAATGGCTAACAGAACTGATCAAGGTGTCACAGCGAAAGTGTTAAAAAAATATCAATTGGTGAAGTCTAACATTGAATTGTTTTTTTCACCTTTAGGTTAGAACTTACGTCGCGTCGCGACAGCAACTGATTTGATAGTCATGTCCCACTTTACGCGTGTTTGGTATTCCTATGCACACTACGAGGCATATGACAGTGTACTAAGTGGGGCTTGTCTAAGAGAAAATACAGTTTATCATAAGATTAACACTGTATAATACGTATTAGTTCACATAGGTACGACAGTTGTGAGGTAATTATGGTGGACCATTAGTGCAACTGTGCCAAAATCAAGAAAATTGGTTGCACTATGTCTAATAAGGTAATATAATAAGCAACGCTAAGTGCACAGTACGCTATATACAAAATAATAATATCCGGGCTACCTTCTTTACTTATATACACAACATACAACACATTCAAATAACTTTACGAAAACAACAATCTAGACGTTACAATTGGTATCATTCTATAGCTGTAATTGATGCGAAAATAATGGACCAAGTTGCATTTAAATCGGCCTCTTGGCTATTATGTTGTAGTAGAATCAAATAGCGCTTGTCTGGAGAGGCAAGCACGTGATACCCTTTAAAAGCACCTCGATAAAGTCATTCCAAACAGACTCCAGATACTCTAATAGCAATATAATACTTAATACACATCGCATAAACATGCAATTTGGTCCATTATTTTCGCATCAATTACAGCTATAGAATTATACCAATTGTAACGTCTAGATTGTTGTTTTCGTAAAGTTATTTGAATGTGTTGTATGTTGTGTATATAAGTAACAAAAGTAGCCCGGATATCAATGCTCAATTTTATTGGCTGATCTTTTAAATTTGTGGAGAAAATGGCTGTATAGTAATTACATAGTTTTTTTAATATCTTTACCAATATTAGGTTAAATTATATATAATTTGGATTAAAATTTTCGTTATTTTATAATTAAATATTAAGATTTTTTAAAAAAGTTTTAAATAAATATTGGTTAGGTTATTATAGTATAAGGTTAAAAAAAGGTATGTATTACTTTATACATATAGCGCAAATAGTTGAGCCTATACTGTACATCTAATGTTACTATTACCTTATTAGACATAGTGCAACCAATTTTCTTGATTTTGGCACAGTTGCACTAATGGTCCACCATAGTAATCACCAATGAAATAAAAACATTGAACATAGGGAAATAGCAACTCAACGACAATTCAAATAAAGAAACTTACATAATATTTCTATATACATGAATTGCAGGTACCTTATAGCTCATAAGCATACATTGAAGTGTTTAATTCAATTCCATTATAAATACATCCCTGAGCCAACGGATTCGTATCTTAAGTACCCGTTTAGCTAATATTAGGTACACTATAGGCCAGCTCTAATCTCGTTAGCTTAGATGCATCATTCGACACTTATGTATCCTTACTTTTCTTACCCTTACACATTAGTTATTAATTATTCTCAACTTCTGATCCCATAGCCGTAGATAGGGGCTATCAGCCTCCGTCTCATTATCATTCTGAATCGGCAAGTAGCACGACAGATAAGTAACGGGTATTTCATATACTATCATCATCATCGTCTATCTAGCTACTCCTACATATCGTAGCCGGGGTATAAGAGACATATTAGAAAACGGCTATCAGCAATAACCAGCTGGGCAACCGGCGGTGGTGCCGAGAATGTCGCCCGAGACGCCACCGATCTGGAGAGCAGCACCGATAACACCTCCGAGACCCTCTCCGGCAATAAAACCAGCCGCAATTGCATATGCGTAGAGGTCGAAGCTCTTAATATTCCATCTCTTCCAAATCCACGCCACAGTGGCACCAAACATGGCCGCCGTTGTAAACACGGGATTAGGGAGGACAAACGACAACGCTACAGCACCCCAGTTCGGGAGGTATTGTCGGTACTTTTCACGTTCTCCTACCAGGTAGAAGTGTCTAAATATGACTTGGCCTACGCAGAAGACCGCCATGACGATGGAGAAGATCCCCGACGTTAGAGGGATGCTGACATCTGGGTCTGTGACAGCCTGTGCAACGGCAGCCCATGCGGACACCGAAGGGACGGCGAAGGCACAGTGCTCAGCTGAGGCGTCGAGTATGCAGCTACATTTTCAGATATTAGTGGTGATTCTATGGTGAGATTTTTAAAGATACCGAGATATATAAATTAAAAAATACTTACGGATATGCTGTAGTGAAGAGCACAAACATTCCTGGAGCTAAGAAGATGGAAACGATAGACCCGAGGCCTTGGGCGTACCACTGTTTGATTGGGGATGTTCCCAGCAAGAAACCAGTACGGAAGTCAGAAGTCAGTGAAAATGCGACATCAGCAGCTCCGGAAGCCAGGCCGCCAGCGACTAAGTTGACTCGCTGCGCATCTTTGACCGTGAAGCCGTTGTTTTTTGTAGCAGCACCAAAAACGAGCTGACTGGCTTTCGATGCGGCCGTCAGTGGGGTGTTATCTGTTACAGCGCCAATTTGAACGGCAAGCTTGAAATATCTTATGTTAGCTTCTTAGTTCTACGTTGGGAGATTCTACCTTATCCCTCAGGGAAACCAAAATAATGGGGTCGTTCGACTTACTGCTAGTCGTTAGCAACTATAGATGAAAAACGACAAAGACCATTAGGGGTAATACATACCGAAGGAGAACATGACACCTAAGACGCAAGCCAAGACGGTTAGACCTGGATGCATTCCCCATTGCAGGGCGAAGATAACCATGGCCGCGGCGATAGTGACGACGAGACCGGTCGACCATATCCATAATGGCACTTGTTCATGTGGTGGCGCCGGATCCTCGATGATGTTTTCGCTAGCTTTCACCTCCCTCTCGGCGCGTGTGGCAAGGTAGGTAGAGTGCTTGCCGTGCTTGGCCAAGACGGCGTTGATGTTGACACAGATCTTCTGCCAGACCACCTTGCCGGCATACCCGATCACCTTATATTGGACGAATAGTTCTGCTATTGACGTTGCGACCATGATGAGCACTCCGGGCCAAAGGAGCCAGTAGCGTGGAGACGGGGTTTCGTGGCCAAGATTATTGAGAGAGGCGAACGAGTACCAATCAGCCCATCGCGGATCGTCCTCAACCTGACGCTTGCCGATACATTCGCCATAATGAACGAGGAGAGGCCCGATAATCGCCCAGGCGAGTACAGCACCGCCAAACATAGAGAGGGCAGAGTTCATGCCGATAAGGATGCCGCTACCGATGAACGCCGGAGTCCACTCGAACCACCAACCCCAACTCTCGATATTCATAGCCCAGCTAGTATACTAATATATCAAAAACATTCTCGTCAGCTTCCTAATCTTACCCTTCCAAATGTTTCAACCTTCCTCCTTGACCGAAGGAAGGTTATGGGAATTTTGACTTACACCACTCCAGATGTGGATCCAGGTAAAAACATGCCAATCATACAAGATGCCAACAGCATAATACGATGCCACCCGTTGGACAAGGGCAGCCGTGAAAGATAAGCTGAGAGCTCTGAGTTTGCTAAGAGCCTCCGCGGCACCCGTGGCACCGGCGTGCATCGACCTGATGGTGAGAGCTACTGCAGTAGCAGTGGGAAAGAGCAGCTTCAATTCCCGGCCAACTTGGATGATGAAGAACTTCCGGAGAGGGGCGACGAAGAACAGGCCAAAGAACGAGCAGACAAGAGTGATTGTAATGATTGCGCCAAATTGGTCCTTAGGAACGCCCACCTGCGCGTGGAGTTGGTACATGGCCGGTATACCTGCAACGAAGATACCTGTGATTCCACCAGCACCCTGGGCTGCAGCCTGGACGATACTGTTCTCTTGAGGGCCGAAAGAACCGCCAATAATAGGAATGGTAGTCTTCGAAGCAAGCTTGATGATACCGTATCCGAAGATCGCTCCAAACATAGAGGCCGCGAAGGTAAACCCAGTTTTCAACCCTATCATATAATTAGCGAATCGCATTCACTCTAACAAACCTGCAATTTAAGAAGCTCACCCAGATATAAGTTGGAGGCATTAACAAGACTGCCCAAGAGAATACCGACTATAACGGCGCGGGCCGTTAGGGGATCATGTTCGTCGACAATGCTGCCTTCCATCTTTAGGGGCACGTAAAGGTCGAGATCCTCTTCGATAGCCTGGACGTCTACATCGATGATGTTGACTTTCTCGTCACCCTCTTTTCCTACAACCGGCGTCTTCTCCATGTTTTCGGTGACCTCCGACGGGCGGGCTTCAGTCGAAGCCATAGTCGCTGATGTCTAATCAGAGACGAAAGCTACCTAGGTATATGAACTGATGGGTTGGGTATCTTGGGGGGAACTCGAGACAGGACGTATTCCACGCAGAAGGAACGACATGCGTCTCTAATATACATGTATCTACCTACTACATGTAACAACGCCCGCTTCCGATAAAGTTCAAGGTCCCCACGTTACATAGCGACCACCGCGTAACACCCCTCATGGCGTTGTGTCCCAAGCCCCAGGTTCCAGTTTAGTGGTCTCTACCTTAGGTAGGCTAGGTAGGCCGACAGTTTCCACTAACAGAGATAAGATATTAAGCATGTGTACTGGCCCCGGTGAATCCTAGATTAGGTAGGCGGGCAAAGCAGAGTAAGGTATCTATCTATACGATCCACTAAAACGAGTCTCATCGAGACAATAGTTCCAACGGATCTTGTCCAGCTAGGACACCACAGACGCTGAGGGTCTAAAGCTATATCGGGAAGGTGAGGGTAGCAACCGGTTCGATTCGACGACTGGCTACTCCCCATGATGCCATTGATGTAGTACAGACGTCTCGGGACATGAGCCAACTGCAATCAGCCATACCCTTACTTCATGGGATCTCTCGTCTCAACCCGACCCTACAACAGATAAGTAGAGATGGATAATTCATCTATGTCAAAACTACCTACGTTGAAACTACCGAGCTAAACTCGTGAAACCACAACCTAATCTACCTATATCGTATCTTTCTTCGCCACGTACAACACCTCGAACTTAAATCCAGTTCATCGAAGGGTCGTATCCCCGCCCCCTTCCCGCGACCCTCTTACCGGATTGTATCGGTATGTCGTCCCGGGAGAATTGGCTGATTAGAGCTGGCGAATAGAAATAAGTATCCTGGGATTGGGGCGCCATGGTTTCGACATGGGTTGCGTGGATTCGGAGCCAAGATAAGGGACGCGGAGGTGTGGCGTCGACCGAAGCATGAGCTTGCTTTGACCTTGTCCGTTATCCTTGCCTGCTAGATACGCGACAGCAACTCCCGATATTAGTAAGGAAGCGGCATAGATGCTCAACGGTCAAACCATACTCGAGTAGGTATTATTCGTAGAGGTACTAGTCGAGAAGGATTTGAGCGAGACAACCTAGTAACACAAGCGTACAAGCTGAACTGTATAGATTTTTGTGCTAGCAACCCCCCTACCACCTGCTGAAAATTCGCCTCCAGCACGATCTTGTTACATCGCGTTATCGAGCAGTTCTTCTAGAACGGTTACTGGAAGATGAAGCTAACCAAGGCAATGAATGAATTGCCTATTCAAGAATTCTTGGTATGCAAGGGAGGGGGTTTGAGCAGATATGCTTGGCCGCCGGTTCAATTAACAGACAAGCAGATCAGCGGTAATAAATTAATACCCAGTCCCGGACAAGAAGGTATTCGTCGACTGATAGCACCATTTATTACTACCTAGGTCAATTCACCTTCTCATTCTCCAATTACTTCCTCGGCGCAAATTCAAAGCATGCACATGGGGAGCTAAATACGATTCTTATATACGCTCTATATGTAGGTAGGTATTAACCAACTTCCCCAATCACAGCGTCAAACTAACAAACAGCCCGCTGGTCATGCGACAAACAACATTACGATATTCCGGCAATAAGTTAATTACGAACCGACCTATCACCGCCGATTGGTAGGATATCCTACCAGGGTACCTACTTGGCGGCACCCAGCGGCGGGAAGCGTACGGCCGCCCTTCTTTGATCCGTCTTGGCGCGGCACGAGGGCTGGGCAACAACATCCTCTGCACATACCACACATGATTTCACTTTTTCGAGATTGCTTTTATCAATAAAAGGGCGCGCCCTACTGATACCTAGCTCGTTCCCGCGCCCCAATTACTTCTTCCGAATCTAGTTGGTACTCCGAAGCCATAGATAACAAGCTTCCACATCCGCGCCGTCGGAATCCACGCCAAAGTTGGGTTATACCAACCGCCTAGATTGTCTAGATTTTTCACCTATATTCTTAGTCTGAGTGTTATCCTTGAGGTAGACTTGCCCAAGAGCTGTTTAATGTATCCCCAGCACGAAGGGAAAGTCTGTGCCTCCCGTGCCACAGGGGAAACTGGAATCCTGCTCCAGTTACATTCCTCAGACCCTTGCTGCAGTGCAGGCCCCACCGATTGCTACAGGGTAAACCGGTGGGTATCGATGTCTTGGCATTGATATTCATTCCTGGGGGCCCTCTTGCGACCCCCAGTTATCAGGTTGATATAGGTATATTATACAGGTGTTATCCCTTACTTGTTAGAGGTTTTGGGCGTCAAGTTGTGTTTCCCCTTCTCCAGCTATTACAGAAATGCTCTTTAATACCAGAGTATTTTCTAGCCGGTAAAGGGGAAAAGTACCCAGGTATATTCTCATTTTATATGGAATCATCTTGGTCGTATTCGAAGGAGCCATCTACAAAAAGCCACAAGCCCCAAACGAAGTATTCCGGTCCAGTTGTATCGCCAATCTATCCAATGCGCTGGTTTGCTTCGCTGTGCATTATAATACAATAAAAAGCTATGATCTGAGGAGCTGTCTATAAGACCCAAGGATTGCCAATACGCATATGGGTATATTGGAAATGCCAATCCTCTGCTAAATTTTCGGTTTACTTGAGCCTGTGGCCCTGTGCCTTAGATTCCTATCGTTCGCAAGTAGCTCTAAATTCCCAACCAACTACCATGGTCCCAACTCAGATCAATTGAGAAGTGGGTGGTAGGAAATTATAATAAGGTGTTCGATACGTACATTGTCACCGTCTATAGTAGATATATCTCATGTGTATACAAAGTCCCGTTAGGCTATAGATAAGAATTCACTTAAAAGGGGTACCACGAGAATTTCATAACCTCAGACCTGTGTGACTTAAAGCGACAAATCTTGGAATCCGCCCCTTTTCGTACTTGGAAAATTCGGCCCTAAGCTGTGAGACACCATTAAGACGACGTACTTTCAGCCCTATTTACATCAATCGCGATGAAGACTTCCAGAGATCATCACACCGCTAGCAACCGTCTCGGTACTCCTTCGGTCCCATAGCTAGTAGGGTGGCGTTGTCTTGTACGACTTAGCTGAAACTTGACCTGGAAGAGAGCGTCCCTACCACGCAAACTCAGAAGCGGGATGACCTTGTTACCCCGAGCGAGAAGAACAAAACATAAGTAATAATTATCTCCAACGTGTATGTTGGGTGGAAAAAGTAAAGATTATGGCCGACTAATAATTCATCAACCACCTAATATTTAACTGTCCGAAGATGTAAATGTAGAATGTTAGCAGTTTGCTGTGCCTTGCATTCTACGAGGTGGTTAGTCTAATATAAAACTCTACTGATATCGTGTAAAATTACATATATGGTCTAGATTGCCTGGTAGAAAGTCACCTAGCTAGCTCCTGTTATATCTAGTCGCTTTGCTAAAGGCAAATGCCGAACGAAAGACAGCCTACACTACCTTCTATGTCTTTCTATCACGATTTTACATATATAGGTAAAGACTAGGCAACGAGTAATTTAGAATAAGCGCCACGCGAGGCTTATGGGATCCCCCTTTTTCATTATCCGAGCTGATACCCTACCCTACCCTAGTGTTCTATTTTATACCGCGCAAAGATTGCATAGCAAAACCCCATAGTTACTTAGGTACCTAGATATTACCAGAACTTAGATTCCAGATATCTCTGACGAGTAGGTTCGTCGCGACCAACTCCTATACCGAATAGTGTCCCTTAAAGCAGAGCAGATTGCTGACGGCATGATATTACCTCTGAAATCTTGCCTGTGCAACATCTTCGTAACCCTAAGCTAAGTCCGCCGCAGATGTATAGGCTACCGAAGATACGTTTTAATCCTTCCCTTGATACCAAGGCATCACAGATTCCAGTCCGCGAGGAAGTGATAATAAGAGGGTTTCTTCCTCTTTCGTTCTTACATCTATTAAAGACGATTTGGTATTCGCCAAGCAAGCATCTATTTTTCAATCTACGTCCATAGATATTATTTCGCGTGAATACCGTAGACAACAGGTATAGGTCTGAAGACACTAAACTCCTGGCCTGTGGCTACCAGGGTACCAGGAATCTGAGGATGCCAGTGGAGCTCCTTAGCATGCTCGGAGATATGTTCGAAGAGGAGCTGGGGCGGCATGTCTTTAACACCCGCCGTATCCTTACTCTCCTCGTCGTCCAGCTCGACAGACAGATCCCACAGGGTAACCTTATGGTCACCTGCGGCGACGGCCACCATACTATCGTCCGTAGGGTGCCACTCGACGCTGGTGATCTGCTCCTTGTGGTAGTTGAAGCTGGCGATGGGGCTCGGCTTCAGCGCGCCGCCCTTCCACTGCCGAAGATCCCACACGCCCCAAACACCGTCATCGGCGCCCGTCGCGAGGAGGTGGGTTGTTAGGCGTGACCACGACATCACGTTTACATCTACCGAGCTGACCTGTACTGTGATGGCGGGTTTCCGGCTCTTGCTGCGAACATCCCATACGCGCACTGTGCCGTCGCTGGATGCGGATGCGAACACGGATGCTTCTTGCGGGCTCCACTGGATCTCCTCTACGCTGCTGGTGTGCCCCTGGAACGCGCGTGTGTCCGTGACCCAACCCCCGCCGTCTGTGCGCGTCGTGACGTATATCAGGCCGTCGTTATCACCGGTAAGTAGCTTACCACCAGGCACCATAGGCGACCAATCGAGCGCATAACCCTCCGTCTTATGGGCTCGGATTGTAGAAAGGGGCTTGTTCTGTTGAGGCGTGATGACGGTGCCGGGGTTGTCGAAAGACGCTAGATGAGGGGTAACGTCGTGTATGAAGATGCTGTTAGACTCGGTCATAGTCGCAGTGAGAGTAGTGGGTGGTTTCGAAGGGTCTTGGGAGGGAATCTGGTGGCTGCGGATGCGGTTTGTAGTCGAGGTTAGTGGAATTGACTTGGACTCGAGAATAGGATCTGAGTCTTCATCATCGGAGTCTTCGTCATCTTCCGACTCGGAGTCCTGGCCGTCCTTCTGCATGCGACTCAGGCCGCTAAATTTCATGATCATAAGCTGGTTCTCCTTCTCGCGCCCGCTTTCGGCTTGGGTGCCGGCGACGGTGTACATGGTGGCAGGGTAGGCCTTTTCCCGGTTATCGCCAAGACCATCGCGGACGATGTCAAAGGAGAGGCAGGGCCAGGGGGTACTGAGGTTGTGAAGCATTTCGTAGGTGCCCAGGTCTGGAGCGAGATGTTGGCCGGCCTCAAGCTTATTACGCCCAACGATGAAAGTACTATCATCGACATCCATGGCACCAGCTGCATTCTCTTCTGCCTCGCGCTCTGCGTCAGGCCTACCGTCAACACCAGCCTCAAAAATCTCGTCCTCGCTCTCAAACTCATCCTCGAATTCATCGGCAAATTCGCCCATTTCCTTATCGTCTAAATCCATAGGCTCGGGACGGACTCCTCCTTTCAGAGGAGCATGCTCGTCTCCAACTTCCGCCGTACGTTTAGACATGATGTCTAATAATTCGTAAACTGCGAATTATTTATTTATTGGGTCTTTCAGACAGAAAATCGAAGGGTTGCTGGTTTAAGACGTAGCTCAGAAGTGGTCAATCGCGATTGTCTCGCGACATGCATGAATGGAATAAAAATTGTATATTTTTTTTTTCTATGCCCCTCGGCAACCCCGCGATCTGTGGCTGTTGTTCAGGGATTTAGCAAGAGTGGGGCCCATGAGCTGCTTATCGATAGACTATGCACAATACATAGGTACATAATGTACTTCCATGTTCTGTCTGCATCATGTACCTCCCATGCAAACCCCGCCAAATGCCCAATTCTCTAAGATGCACGCCTTTTACCAATGTATTGGCCAGCCTCATATTTAATCAAATAGCCTCGTACAACAATTAGCCAGCCAGCAAGCTTTGGCTATTTACCTAAGCAGTCATGGCGAACCATACTATAGTCGTTTTTCCATACCAGTCTATCCCTATGATGGATCCTCATGGTGTGATAAGTCTGTCACCTTATATTCGACGGTTGTATAATACAGGTGAAGGAACCGAACGACCAGCAGCCATTCCCTTTCTTCCAGCCCTCATCATGTCTAACGACGAAACGGTATGTACATTTTTCTGTATACGGCGCTCTCGGAAATGCCGTCAAAATGGCGGCCACAAAGATATCTTCTAGGAGGTTCGCATCAACCAATACATTTTTATCTTCGGCAGGATAATCATTGGAATCGTGAGGGTGTACTAATATTGATACACACTACCTGAGTACTTCACATATGTACAAAGTCCCAGGAGTGGCTAAACAAACTGCTTTCCGAATTATCCTGATTTCACGGAGGCCAGTAATACCTAATCCTCCGGGTCCCATTGGTCTGTAACAGCACCATGACTAGCATCACCAACCAGTCTGGCGTACTTTGCCAAGACACCCCTTCTAGCTCTTGGAGGAGGAGCCTTCCACGTCTTTTTCCTCTCCTTCAGTTCTTCTTCGCTCACATTGGCTATATCAATCCGATTCTTGATAGCATCGATGACAATCGTGTCTCCATCTTTAACTAATGCGATAGGGCCGCCTCTCGCTGCTTCCGGGGTGACGTGGCCGACTATGAAGCCGTGGCTGGCACCACTATATCTACCATCTGTAACGAGGGCGATGTTCTTTAGCCCCGCCCCCATAATAGCTGCCGACGCCTTTAGCTGCTCAGGCATGCCGGGGCCTCCGCGGGGTCCTTCGTAACGGACAATGAGGACCAAGTTCTCATCTCGCGGGATCTCGCCGCGCGATAGGGCATCGTCGAGCTCGTGTTCCTTATTAAACACTCGAGCCTTACCCGTAAAACTCAAACCCTCCTTACCAGTAATCTTGGCAACGGCGCCTTCCGGGGCGAAGTTCCCTCGCAAAATCCGGAGGTGGCCCGTCTCTTTGATAGGATCCGAAAGTGGGCGAATGATTTTCTGGTCGGGCGGTAGGCTGGGCCAATCGGCGACATTCTCCGCAAGTGTACGGCCCGTCACTGTTGGGATATTGCCGTTAATTAGGCCGGCCGCTATCAGCATCTTCAAGACAGACGGAGTGCCGCCAATCTTGTACAAGTCTTCCATCAAATACTTTCCGCTCGGGGCTAGATCCGCCAGGAATGGGGTCTTGTTGCTGACCCTATCGACGTCGTCCAGAGTCAGCGGTACTTCAGCTGTGTTTGCCATAGCTAAGAAGTGCAAAACCCCATTAGTAGAGCCGCCAAGTATCATAGTAATGACCAGCGCATTTTCAAACGATTCTCTCGTCAACAAATCACGAGGACGAATATCCTTCTCCATAGTTACTTTAATGACCTCAGCGGCGCGTTCGCATTCACGGGCCTTCTCTGGAGATAAAGCGGGATAAGATGACGACCCGGGAAGGGTAAGACCCATAGCTTCTATAGCCGTTGCCATCGTGTTGGCAGTGTACATTCCACCGCAGGCGCCCGCGCCGGGGCAAGCATGACGTTCAATATCTGACAACACGTCGCTCGGAGTTCGACCTGCGGCGCCAGGGTTCGTCTTGGCTTGGAGTCGACCATATGCAAATGCTCCTGAAGCCTCGTAACAAGTGCTAACATTCACGTCGCGCTCTAGCAGGTCCGAATAACCCTTTCGAATTGTCCCGCCGTACTAGAAATTGTAAGTTGGTGTCACGTCTGGTTAAATTGATTGCGAATCCAGCCGTGATTTCACCGCCACGGGGCTTCAACAACAATTATCAACTTACAATCATGATGAAAGGCCGGTTGTGGCGTGCTGCTGCCATGACAACACCCGGCATGTTCTTATCACAGCCGGGAATTGAGATATTGGCATCGTGGTGTTGCGCGCAGGTAACGGTTTCTATACTGTCTGCAATGAGATCACGAGTTTGAAGCGAAAATCTCATGCCTATATGGTATTTAGCGATAAGGTCGAAGCGAAAAGGGGTAGCACAACCCAACCTTCACCTCCCATGGTAATAGCGTCTGATACTCCTACGGCATTGTACTGCCATCCCAGCATCTTCTGCTTTTCTACCGCTCTCTTCACGATCTTTCCGAAATCGAGGACTATCTTGGTTAAGTTTCCTCGCATTTAAAGAAATTCGCGGTTTAGATGCCCACTCACGATGTGTGCTACGATCGGCAATTATTAGCTATGGGGACAAGTCATGAGTGCGTAGCTATTATAACCCGTCAAAGGCCAATGCCACTTACTTGCACTGCGAATTAGAAGTTAGTGGTTGTAGGCAAGCGGTAAAGCTAGGTTCCTAGATAACATACAGGATTTCCCTCCCACCAGACAGTCGCGATTCCAACGTGAGGAGCATTCTTCATCATCTCTTCGTTCGGCACCCCGGCGCCGTATAACATAGCCTACGTCGATGTGTGAGAGCAAGCTTTTCTAGATATAGGATGGCCACGCACTTGAGCACCAGGGTAGTCATGTTCCCTTGTGATCGCATGAGACCACCGATTCAAAGGGCCGCCTGCCGGGAGGCACTTGAACTGAATATACTGCGGATCGGCTTTCGGATCCTGGAGGTTGGGACTGATGCCCGTCTCAGCTGCCGATGCGTCGCTCATGTTGAATTTACCTAAACCTGGTATCTACTATATATATGACAGTTGTCTTAGTTTTTCCTTCACGAAAAGTCCCTACGACTTATACAGAAATTATATTTAAGAACCTTGGTATTGGCTCTGCGGGGTAAAGAAATTGCCGGGGAACTTTGGATCTTATGACGATTTAGACATTCGGAGGTTTGACGTAACGAAGGTTTGGAAACGGGCAAAGGCCCGGGTCCCGGAGCAGAGATGCTTCGGTTACCAGGAGCTGCATTCGTACATATGAAGCTTAGCAATTTGAAATCCTCGAGAGACGACTGGTTCATAGGCGAGCTGTACCAGGCCCGTAACGATACCCACATGACCCACGACCCAAAAACCAACTTTTCTAGGATATACCTGTTGCATTTAGTTTGATACTTTCTTGGGGTATTGATCGAGCCGCTCCAAACCTCGCGCGTTGTCGGCACCGAGTATAGGAGGGGAAAGCGGAGTCGTATGCAGGTAACACGGGAGACTAGGAAAAGAATGGTATTAAACCAGAAGTGAACCATCAAACTGTCGAATTAGGGCGAACTAGACTCTTGAGACTATTCTTGTGGAGATGATTTAGAGAAATACATGTATGCGGGGCTATATGAATCTCGCATGGCAAAGTTCCGAGTCTTACTTATACTACAACGTTGGCATGACGGAGTAAGAGGTAGTCGAGATATATTGCGAATAGTATAAGTAGCGAGGTCATCAATGTTCGCCCGAATATAGCATGGTTACCTGATAATATCCCATATTCGAACATATAATTCTAATAGTCCGGCATACACTTATTAACTAACAACCACAGAGTGCAAAGGTCTACTTATACGCCTCCTTTTCCTGCGAGGCGTCCCACTCTTCAAAGCCACCGGGAAACTTATCGACGAGCTCGCGCATACCGGATATCAACCTATGATAAAAATTAGCTCATTTCATACGGCACATTCTTAGCTAAATGGGCTTGTTTACATATGTCGGTAACTAGGATCGTCCTTGTATAGAATGGAGTCGAGGATATTAACTCGACTACCACGATCAATGTTATTAGTATCTCTATTAGACGTAGTTAAATCCTAGGAAAATATGGATGGCAAAGGGAGGCGGGAGAAGTCTCACACTGCATATAAGGCGTTCCGGTCGTCGCAGTCCTCTTCCGGCTGCGACTTGGGCATATACTTGTGGTATTCCGCCCGGTAGGCCTCGCCGATCTTGTTCCACGGCTGGCGCCAGACGCCCAGTTCATCTGCTCTCATTTCGCCTGTAAGCCTACCGCTCTAACACCACAGTCGGCGGACCTTGATAGAAGCTTAGACAACTCTTACATTCGTTGTGGGCGTAGAAGGACGCCGCGTCGAAGATGACGGGCAAGCCGGTTTCCGCATCCGTCTCGGCGTTGCCGTGCCATAGGTCGCCGTGGATAAGACACGGCTGGATGGAGCGGCCGCCTGTTTCTAGGGGGCGGAGGAGGCGCGGGACTACCTTGTCGAAGAAAGGCGCTATCATCGCTTTTATCTCCTCGTTTGGTCCCTACACATGTGTCTTGCGAGTAAGTAAACGGGAGCTAGTTGAGAATCCTGCGAGGACATATGCTGCGTGTCTCGGTAGACGCGGCGAGTAGCCCATAACCAGGTAATGAACTGACGTACCTGCGCCTCTTGCTCCAGCCCAAACAGCACCTTCGTCGTCCTCGCGAAGTACTCCTCCCACGACCCAGACCAGCCATGGTCGACGCGCACATTCCCATGGAAAGTCGGAACGTCCGACCCAAATTTACCACCACTACCACCACCACTACACCGATGCAGCTCCGCAATCTTCGCGGCGAGTGCTTCGGGGACTGGGACCGTCCCTGTCATACGCCGGAACTCGCACAGCAGGAAATGCACGTCCGGCACGCTGGAAAACGACCCCGAAGCAAGGGGCTCCGGCACCAGGTCCGGCGCGACGCGGCGCATGCGGGACATACATCGGAACTCGCTTTGTGTCATTGCGCGGCCGAGGGCGCCGTAGGAAGTCTGTTTATAGTAAGCAGTCTATTAAGTATACGTTTATATGCATGTGTGTGTGTGTGTGCAGGCTTGCAGCCAGCTTACCTTGAGGAAGTACGCCTTGCGAACGCCATCACGCTCGACGTCCAGACGAGCCGTGCGCGTCCACAGGCTAATGCCGTGGGGAACGATCGAGATCTGGGTCGCGAGAGGAATTTCTTGTGTTTACATGGCTATTAGTACGCATTATCTCTCTAACCTAGGTTACTACCTTGGTACTTGTATGAGGCACTTGACGTGTTCAAGGAAAAGTATAGAGATATAAAAAAAAAAGGGTCCTGACTAGCGATGACTTCAGGATCCACCGTCTGGATAGCCTCTATCGGGACCATCGTTTCGCTAGCATGCTCGTCTGCCATATTCGCGCTTATAGTCATCTTCGTTGTAGTTTTTAATTCGAGGAATGGCATAAAAGTGAGGAGGCGGCGCTAAGTGTTACGTGCAGCTCCCGTAACGAGTTTTACCTTAGATGGCCCTTGATTGCTTGTTCAATGCCGATTCCAGCTCAAGACTCCGGCGGAACGAACAGATATAAATATAGAAATTATATATATTATGTGTAAGTTGAGCAAATCTGTAAGTTTATAGGTAATTCGAGTGAAATGAGATACTATTACGATTGATACAATATTGTATACTTGGGATAGTTGATTGTGTCGGCAATAGAACTAGGTATGCTATCATTCGTAAAAGATAGAATATCATTTGCTTTTCTCCGTGCTCTAGATAGAACATAGGCTGCTCGTTGCGAGCCGGTTGAAAAAAAATTAATGTACAGAACCCCCCGCCCATAATAATCGGGTATTGTATTTGCATCATAAATCGTGCCGGCGGGAAATATTAAAAAGAAATATTCATCCAGTAATACGTGAAACTTAATCATAGCTAGCGGCCGTTCAAGACATCTCGCCATTTCCCCCTTCCCACCTCCTCCACCCCCCCCCCCTTCCCACCTCCTCCACCCCCCAATCGTGCTGACCAGCTCCTCCGCTAGCCAATACAGCAATGTTAAGATATTCATAGCGTCCGCTACAAAAGAGCCCTGCTAAACGCTTTAAGGCACCTTGCATAGCACAGTTCCACCTGCTCAGCTACAAGATCATCCCGGCCGTTCCCACATGCCGCCAAACCCAAGATACAAACGGTGAAAGGGGTTGTTTATTCAACAGTGGTCGCAGTAGCAACCGCCGTATGTTTCAGAATAGAATCGATGTGTAAATTGTGACTGATATGTGCAATTAGGAAATCTAGAGGCATACAAGGGCAAAACAGATGATACGGAAACGGTTGCCCAGCTGGGATGAGCAACAATCTATCCCGATAGTAAGATAGTACCGATGTGAAGTACCATATCGACAAAGGAGTAACGACGCCGTGCTCATCTTCAATATGAATGGTAGCCTAGATCTCTAAGCACCAGCGGTTACACCAACGCTTCGTTCTTCTTCTAATCGCCGAACCATTTCTCTCTCTTTCGGACTTCGTGGATTTGCGTCGATGCCAAGGATAGCGCTGATACGGGTCTTGTCATGCTTTTCGTAGATAATATCGCGGTCATTAGGACTAGTGACCGGGGTAATTGGAGTTTGACTACCCATAGCAAATGCGCTCGCCTTCCACGCTTGTTCTAGGACAATTGGGCTGATTCCCGACCCATATTCAGATGCGATAGCGCTCCAGAATGACGACCGATGTGAGGCATATATCGACTGCAGTCGAGGGATGTCCACGTGAGCCGAAGGCAGCGGAAGAGAACAGTCAAGCCGAAGGACTGGTACCTGGCTAGTTGATGCGGACTGGGAAAACGGGGATGGCGCTAGCGACCGAGACGAATCGGGACCCGAGGCAGGACAGCTACACGAAGCCGAGGGGACTGCATGTGGGAGAGCAATTACCGACGGTTTTGGCAGGATTGCGGGAAGGCGGGGCGAGGTCCCGGCATTCGTTATAATACTAGGGAGTTGCACTGAAGTCGTATAACTAGGCGAGTCGAACTCGTGGACGGTAGCACTCACGGGGGAGGAGTCGTCGCGAGGGCTCTCCTGGATAGGCGATGGGATAGTTGCCGGTAAGATAGGCGAATGCCCCGTGGAGGAACCTGATGACACGGACGTAGTCCGCTTCCGGCGATTGCTTCCATGACTCAGCTGGTGATAATGAAGACGGCAAGCTAGCTCAGTCTTCTTCAAGTGGGCGGCGATGTGCTTATAGGGCATCTTTTGAAGGCGGGTCTGAAGAAGATAGACCTCCTATTTCGTTATACATTAGTTGCTATAACCACGACAACTTGTTTCCCCTTTATGGACCCCATAGTATAGGGCCAAGAGGAATGTAGGTTTAGTTTCTACACACCTCGTCCTCGCTCCAAGCTCTCCCCCCGCCAGTTGACGCTGTTAGTTTCCTATTCTTCGCGACCCCATATTCATGTCGATCAAGAAAATCGCTTGTTGGTGTGTATGGCATAGCGGAAGATGTGGTTAATTGTAGTGGTGGAGACATCATGTATTCGTAATCTACCACAGGTAGATGGTTGCAAGAATAGCGAAGACGGCGCTGCCTCAACGAATTTAAAATGAGTTATGTGTAAAATAGGCAGGCCAAGCTGCTACAAGAATCGAAGTTGCTGAAGATGGTCTCGTTAATAAGACCGTATATCCGGGCTCTTTTTCGTCACGTCAGAGATTAAGCGTATAAGCCGGATACAAAAACGAACCGAATAGAGAGGCGTAGACTAGTCCAAATGTTACCAACGACCAAACTGATTATTCAAAAAAGAGCGTAAGCAGCCAAGCCAGTTGGACGATGAAAGAAAGTGGTCGCTAGCTGCGAAAGAAAAGAAAGGAGGCTCGCAACAACGTTGTCAATGATACAGTGGTTGAACCTATACGGTGGTAAAGAGGGAACAAAAGGGAAGAAGATCAGTCAGAACAAGTGAGACGAAAGGCAGATAATAACGATAATGCATCTTCTACATCTTGATACTCGGCCGACACATTCTAGATTGACTGGGGTTGAGGCTGCCGGGGGTGGGTATTACCACACCACGCCTTTGCGCTTTTTCGATTATAACCCTGTAACAAGAGCTCAAGCTGGAGTGGAGGAGAGGAAAACGGAGGCATGGTCTTGGCTTGATGCGCTGGGCTGAAATCCATGTGCATCGATCCAAAACGGACAACCCTAGCTAGGACAAGCGCTTGAGGTGGATTTTATCCATTCCGTTATCCGAAACCACGAGGGCAAACCTACCAGTAAACCCTACCGGCGAGACGGACAAACCCAAGAAACCGTTGATATAAACCTGAGCCTTAGGTACATCATAGACTCTATGCTCGAGAGTGTAGCCACAAGAAAGATGGCTTTGATAGAACTCTAGCAGAGCTCCATCTAGAAGACGGAGATACAATACTTCGTATCGTCTTCAGAAGCCATGGTTACTACGTAAATGACGCTGGATGTAACATAAACCGGCCGCCGCATGTAGCCGGCGAGCATGAGAAAGACATCCAGATCTAGATGGGATGCACTTTTGTTTTCCTGTTCCGTTCCATCGCACCCATGTCCGTTTCGACGGGAGGTTAGAAAAGAAGAGCGGTCTCTAGCTCAGGTTACAGAGAAGAGGGGCCGCCTCCCACTTGAGTCCCTTATCTCGTACAACTTTGGTTGGTAGTGGAGGTCATATTTGGACTAGTCGGCCAGCTGGTTCTCGATGTTATTATTGTCGGAGAATTAAGTAGCAGAGCATGTTTAGCAACAGTTGATGCTACGATACGAGTGTAAGCTTGACTATCTGGTGTAGCTCGACGCATAAATTATAATAGACCCGACTAATACGTAAGCCGAGGCTATTCGACATAGAGATATAGAGGTACTGTTGTGGTATCGGCGGTAGGGCTTCGTATGGTTTCGAGGTGGTAGAGAGAAAGGGTCTGTGTCGGGAATTTGGTTTTACATCTGTTGGGTTTTTGTATGGACGTTGCTTCACTGTGTTACAGGGACGCGCTTATTCAATTTACAGGGGTTGCCATTGGTTAAACGAACCCCATAAGAAACCCCACATACGACATAGCGTGTCTTTAACCCCTTGACTAGCATGGAACCTTGGAACCTTGGAACCTTAAAACAAACCCCTTCTTTTTCCCTTTTCGTTCAGCCGCCCGCGGCTCTGCTACATCAAGTACAAGTACTTTACTCTCTTACTTTATTTCTGCTTGATATATCCAATAATCAAGTATCTTTACTTATCTGGAAACTGCCGAACTCCAGCGACCTAAACATTACACCATAATCTATACCCCGTATAATCTCCCCTCGTTTTGTTCCGTGCTTCCATCTCGTTTCTTGTTCGATGAGCCTAGCTCAAGCTGACGATGAGGTTTCTATCACTACGACAGAAATCTTGAGTCGCTAGGTACTTGGAATCAATAGCATGAATTTCCCTTGACAACTATCAAATCCCATCGATCTCTCGATTGCATGATGAAGAAGATAAGTTATTGTTTTGCTTCACCTCGTATGATAACACGAACCTTGCGATACTCTATCCCTCATCCGCCAGTTCCATTAGTAGCTTGATAAAAACCTTGCTAACTTTAAGAAGACCGAAAAAAAGTTTGCAGGACTCCCTTGTTAGTCGTGCTTTTAAGCTGCGCTATTAGCGGAATAACATATACCATACCCTATATCGCCGTTTAAGCCGCCCTTATCTATTTTAGTTAACTGATATTTCTAGTTTATCTATGGAGAAGAACGGCTATATTTCGTATATCTAAATGAGAGCCGTGGCCCGGCAAGCCGGATCCTCAGCGCTTGGTCAGTAAAGCGGCAGAGCGGGAACAATATCCCTGCCGCAGTTCGCCGTAAGCTAGGTAACCTTGGTTGAAACTTGCTAAGAGGTGAACCTAGAACGAACGATCCTTGTTAGCTCCGGAACATCGCGAATCTAGCGTGTTGACCAATTATCTAATTCCAACCAAAACACCATCATGCTGACATACAGGTATTGTTATCGATCTTTGACTCTCTTTTTCCCCAAACGATATTTATCATATTTATGAAATTAACTCTCGAACGATTTAACTGATATCCCAAAACATAAAAGATATAGAAGGAAGCACCCGAAAACCGGCCCGACAATTCGCAACTCCAGCCTCTATAAGTGAGAACGGGTATAAGACAAATGTAAAACTAGCCACGGATAAGCATCAGAATTCCACCAGAATGGCACGCTACTTCAATCCCGGCTTAGAATGATTTAAACCTTGACTCCTACGACCCTCTTATCCTCAAAACGCGGGCGGGATATTCCGTAGTTGTGTCCTCAACACCCCAAAAGTCCGCGTTGAAACATCCCGGTAGTCACCAGATCAAATATGTGGACGACTTATCTCAAACATTGACTATGCCAGGATGTCAGCGACACACGAAACTAACAACTTACGGCGTCTATCTAGATTTAGTCTCTTTCCGCGAAACGCGATAATATACAATGAATAAGCCTCGGAATTCTAGCTAACTAAACTACTCCCTCTACCCAAAGAGCTAACGTTCATGCTAGATGTATATCAGTGGGGTGAAGGGTGAAAATACCCCTCAGAAGGCTATCTTTCCTTAGGGTTAGAGTGTTTTCTTAACTAATTTGGCTTCTATAATCATGTCTTGTTTACATGAGATATAGAAACCCCGTGACCAACCGCTTACCATTTGTAGTACAGTTAGCTATTACGAATATCGTAAACTAACCTTGCCGTGGGGTATTGAGATTACGATGATATCTTATTGACAACTATCTAGGTAGATTGGCGTTCCTCGACACCGTCATCGTCTATCATCCCATCCTTGCCGGTTACATTCTCACCATTCTAAAACTATGGAGTGTTTATCGTAGCAGTCTGCATTTCAAGATTGTTTCCTAATCTAGCTTCAACCTTAGAGAACGAACGTCGCAGAGTGTAAACAAGAGGTACATGAGCGATACCTACAGAATTGTATATCATGCAGCTCCTGGGTACGTAGCTCTTTATGAAGTATGTACGTACCCCAAAAGAATCCATTACATACCTACCGTATGTATGCATCCAAGATTCAATCCCCTTACCCATGGAGTATCTGGCCCTGGTTACCACACCTTGTTGTATACTGCATGTAACTAGTAGTTGATCGTGGTCAGAGTCACATTCTCAAACTGTGTTCCGACAGTCTGTTACCTCCATAGTTTCAATCCGCTCAGTTTCTTAGAAACAGACTTACACGTCATGTCAGAAGTAGGTCATTACGGCTTAGCTTAGCTGTCGATCAAGTGTTGGAGGAAACCAGATGACAAGCCGTTTACATTGACAACCTTACTGACGATGATGGGATGAAAGGCAAGATGCTAGAACTCGATAAGCGACGTTTCTTGGTATAGACAAGACACGGGTCCACGGCCCGTGAAAGTTTCCCTCGTTCATTATCCCTGCGTTTCTTCGCGGGTTTCTACTTTTTAACTGCGTCCTACCTCTAATTACCTTACCGGTCCTTCAGTGCTATAGAAAATTATTGCATATACCTCCCAGCTATAGTATAAGATTTACCAATCCGGTTAGCCGACGCTAGAGTCGAGTTACAAGATACCCATATTTAGCCCCAAGACGCCTCCAACCCAAGATGGTCTTCTTGTGCTTCCCCGTGCCCTGAAGGCGCGTACTCAGGCATGTGAGGGGCACAGGCATCTTATATTCGTGGTTACAGAGCCGCATTGATACCTAAGCGCCTCAGGGCTAGCTACATTATATTCCCTTAAATGTTTGCTACAGCCGACTTCAGATTCATGTTCTCTTCCATTAACAAGAAACCTAGTACAACATAAATCCTACTAAGGAAACGGAATTATTGAGGGGGTACCTAGCTCTGCTCAACACGGACAATAAATACCTAGGTTACTTGGATTAAGTAGTCGTCAATTTTTCGAAATAAATCGATGCATACCTATCTACAAACTGTGGCGGGATTATACATATTGTACAGTAACTCGCAATGAGGCTTAATGCCAAAGCCTATATTATTTATCATGTTTCCGAGATCCCCCAGTTACTGCGTCGTCTCCTTCTCAAGAGCTATCTCATATCAGATATAACGTCGAAAAGACAATTACCTAGAGTTCGTATATTTAGTATCGCGTTATCAGCTCACATCGACCATTCAATTTCTTTAGACAATAGCCGGTAATGGCCCTGCAAGTTGTTTTATAAAGGAACCACCACATTTTTAATATACACCAATATAGTAGCAAACTAAATACCATAGAATGATGTACTTTTATCTCTAGTATGCATATAGCCGCCCAGTAATAACGAGATGTCACTCATGTATACCAGTAAGCCGTGTCCTTCGCGAGCTAGATATTAGGAGAGGTGGTACATATTGAATTTTCTTACAGGAAACTGCTGTGCTTCTGGGAATATAGATAATGGTATGACTACATGTGTACTACTGTTTCATAGACAACCTTGCTTAGCTAGATAACGAGATGAGACGGAAAGTGAGCACTTCATATATCTACCTAGGTATACAAGGAAGATACCTGATGATTATAGCTACGCTGTTCTGGGATGGCCTAATGCTATGGTAAATAAAGGGCATGAACACGGTAGAGTTATACCGTCCATTTTAAGCATGGCATTTACGC